AAAGCTTTTCAATTTTTGTTTCCAGTAAGTGGAATAGCTTAAAAACAGCCCTTCATATTTTAAACTGGTATTTAAAATGAGCAAGAAGATGAACTAAAATTTCAATATGGATTATCTTTGAAGAATTTACCCAAAATCAAACAGGGATAATTCTACTATACTACATACTAATAAAAATGAAAATATGATACATGGAATGACTCAGATAAATCATTTGTGATACTTAATTATTAGTATATGTTACTGTGTGTGCATAAATTCAGGATCAGTAATTTGAAAATTTATTATATACTACTTTTAACTGTTACAATCTACTTTATCTCACATAAATAACCTTATATTAAATTACTGTTAATTATTTCCTTTCCCTACTTTATTGACTTTGTAACTTATATTTCAATGTTAAATATATTTATTTTTATTTGAGACATATTACTTAAATGAAGTAGCAATTCTATATCTTCAAGTTGTAGATTTTAGATGAGAGATGACCGAAATAAATGATACATAATACCTCAAATTTTATAAATATTTTAAAATAGAAACACTTAAAATAATGTCATGGTTTAGCAACAAAGTCAACTGTAGAGTATCAGTCATTTGCCCATACAAATATTAGCTGACTACAGCCACTGTTAAAAACCGAAGTAATTGATCTATCTTAAGTTGGTGAAATTTATTGTTTGATATTAGTTTTTTGAGATGAATCAATGTCAACTCAGGCATGAATAATGAATTATTTTTAAATCATATGAAATGTTCTATTTTTTATTTATAACTTGATGGATTTATAATTTCTATAATTGAAACTATGAATAAAGATGATATAAACATACTTATATGTGGACACATAATTGAGCATGAAAAAAATATTATTTAGGCTAAACATTCAAATGACAGAGAAGATCATGTTAGAGTCTATTAGGTAAAAAGAACTAATTCTCAAAGACACCAGTGTCAGTTCACAAACAGTACAAGTTTATGATGATCATTATTTAGTAATAATTTCATAAATAAGAACATGCCTAACAGTCAAAAATGGTTATATGAACACTTATTGTTTGCATATTGACTAACTTTTAATTTATCCAACCATAGTGGGTAGGTACCTTGAGAAGCATAGGATAAGTAAACTGAGCAAAGTTATGTAGGTGGTAAGAAGTTAAGATAGTTTAGGAATTTGAATTTGATTTCATTACCCTATTATCTACCACATTATATTTTATCATTTGAGGTCAGAAGAAAAGCAAAAGATTTCAATTTCCTCAAGCAAGATTTCAACCAAATTGTGAAGAAATTTTATACCATTAATCATCCAAAAGCTCTGAAATAATACAACTGAAAATTTAATTGGTTTTATAATAACTAAAATTTCAAAAGAATTTTTGAATTCCTTTGTAAATTTTTGAATTTGTAAAAATCAACTTAGATTGTACTGCTGAGATATAAAGGCTCAGTGAGACAATATTTAACATGGAAAAAATGTTTATAAGACTAAGATAACTCTAAAACTTAGTCGTGTTTTTAATTACTCTGTGACTTTGGATCACTGAAGAATGAGCCATTTGAGAAAGTAAATTTTGACGTTCACCACACAGTCTGTTAGGAACAGTATAGAAATTAAGACAGAAAGAAGTGTCTATATAGAAGACATTAAAAGATATGGGTGGTGCAAGAGATAGGACTATAGAGCACTCACTATGAAAACAGTAAAGTATTAAGTGCTTAGCAGTAAAGATACAGGGCATTTGGATAGAATAATATTCAAGTAATGAGGTTAAATGTCTAATAAAAAGTCTTCCACCAAGAGTAGCCTATGTAGAAAATCAATGCATTCTTACTGAATTTTTCAAAAAATTTAAAGAACTAAGACTAATTATTCAATAACTATTCCTAGATTAACAGGGTGAGAACCTAACTCATTCTACAAGGCTAACATTGCCCTTGTAAAGAAACCAGACAATGATACGAAAGTAACAATTGAAGTATATCCTGATGATTACAATTTAGAAATTATAAATTAATAATAAATGAAATCAAATATCACATAAAATTACTCATTAAGATCAAATGAGACTTATTTAAACAGTGAAAAGACAGCTCATATATAAAAATTACTAAATATATCACACTTAACAGTGAATAATGAAAGTCACGTGATCTTGTCAATGGATGTAAAAAGTATTCAATAACTCTCCCATCCTTCATAGTAAAATCCCTGAACAAATTAGTTACAGAAAGACCGAGATTCAGCATTAAATATATTACATATAGCACATCATCAGGTGACATCACGCATAACAGGGAGAAGACTGGTAGTGGCCTCTAGAATCCTCATCCAGATGAAGATGTACACTCCCACACATTTTAAGTGAAATAGTACTGAACATTTCTACAGCAATTAGACAAGAAAAATAAATAAAAGATACACTAGTATGAAGAGAGGAATCAAATCCTTTCTTATGGTAGAGTAACCTAAAGACTCCGTCACAGAAGGACTATTGATCATATAATTCAGCAAAGGAGAAGGTTAAAAATGCAAAATGTAGTATTGTTAAGATACACTGATAAACTTGATAGAGATAAGAATAAATGATAGAAAAAGATGAAAATTGCAACAAAGAAAATTACAAAGGAAGTAAAAATCTAAAGTGAAAATCCACAACACTGAATACCTATCAAGATACTAATAATGTTCTTCATAAAACTACAATTAATCCTACAATACATGTAAAAGCACCACGACTCTCCCAATAGCCAATGAATGCTGATCATAAAAACAGAGCTAAATTCAAGTCATACTAAGGTGTCACAGTAACTAAAATAGCATGGCATTAAAAAAAAACAGTCTAATGGAACATATAAGAGATCTCAGAAAGAAACCATATATCTACAGATAGCTGATACTAAACAAGAGGTCAAAATCAGGCATTTTAGAAAGAACAGGCTCTTTATTAAATGGTGCTAGAAAGAATATTGTGTATTGACCCTAAAGTATCACTCCTTACAAAAATCATCTCAGGCTAGAATTACAGACCCATAATATAAAACCCAACATGTGGAACTACTTGAAGAAAGCATAGCAGGAACACTTTCAGACATCTGCATAAACAATAATTTTTGATGATTGCCACTACAAAGGAAAGTAGTAGACAAATGGCGTGATATCAGATAAAAAGGCTTCTACACAGCAAAGCAAACCATCAGTAGGGTCTATACACAGCACAGAAGAGGGAAAAAAACATATGTCAACTATTTGACGAAGGATTAAAGTGCAGAACATAAAAGGAACTGGACACAGCAGTAGTGACAACTACCAAATGAAGGACAGGATTAAAAAGGGGCCAATTATCTGAGTGGACACTTGTCAAAAGAGGTAAAATGAACATTTTTCAAGATGTTCATGAGGTAAATGCCATAATACTCCAATTAGAATGGTCATATACTCCAGTTAGAACAGCTATTACAGAAAAGGCAGCAAAAGCTGCAAAGATACAGAAAAAAGGAAGTGTCATACACTGTTGCAGTAATTTAAAATAGTAGATCCATGTGGAAAACAGTGTGGAGGTTCCCAAAAAAGAGTAAAAGTAGATCTAACGTATGGTCTAGTCCTCCCCATACTTATTATATTTCCAAAGGGAATTAAATCCACCTACCAAATGCTCCCTGCACTCTTGTGCTCTTTGTGGCACCAGTCATGACTGCCAGGATATGGAATCAACAGACATTAATGTCCACAGAAAATGTGGCAATTATATCTAATGCGGTATTAGTCAGGCATAAAGAAAGGTGAAATCCTGTCATCTGTGAGAAACTGAATGGAATTGGAGGACATTATGTCATGTGGAATAAGGTAGACATGGACACTAGAAGACAAATGGCTCTTGTCCTCATTTATATGTAAAAGCTAAACTGAATATAGGATAGTTCTAATACTAAGAATAGTGGGGGGAGCAGAATGAAACATTAGCAGGTCCAAAAACAGTGGTAGAGATAAAAACTTTTATTTTTACCGACCTCACAATAGTTGTGGAATGACTACAGTTCACATTAACCTAATATACAGTCTATGACTATCTCAAAGGCAGAAGCTTCAAATATAAGAAACAAAAGGTCATAAGCCTGTTTTATCAATGCATTATTATAGATCTGCATTAAAATATCAAAGTCTTATCTATTAATATCTGAAATTATTATTTCTAATTAATCTAAAATCTTTAAATCTCTTTGCTTCTATGGTAGTCAGTATTTTGGGTTGTTTTGTAATATTTTACATCTATTTATTTTGTTTGTCTTCTTGTGTGCAAAAAATGTGTATGGAGGTCAAAGTCAAAGGAAATGTGTATGGCGGTCAAAGTCAAAGGAAATGTGCATGGAGGTCAAAGTCAAAGGAAATGTGCATGGAGGTCAAAGTCAAAGGCAAACTTGCAGGAGTCAGTTCTCTCATTTTCCCGTGTGGATTGGGGAACTGAACACAGGACATCAGGCTTGCTGGCAAGCACTTTTACCCACTGAGACATCTCACCTGCACAGAAACCATTAATGTGACCATAGCTACGTTTTTGCTGCTATAGTCCTTTATGAAAACTCTCCTTCATTAAAAATCCTGTTTCCAAGCCCATGCAATCTGACAACATAAGACAGCCTACAACATAGATGGATGCTTGCACTCCATCTACTGATAGGCATTCATGCTTTCACAATGTGTACACCGATCTTTGCACATTTCACCCCCATGGAGAATACCAGGGGCTGAAACTGTTGAACAGCAGTCAACATTTATCTAGAGAAGCAGGTAACTCTCGACGGAGGAGTTGTTTGATTCATTCAAACTGTGACAGTAAAATGGTTAAGCTGTACTCTGAGTTAGTGATGAATTTTGACATACTGAAGAAAGTGGTTATTTTTCAGCCTCAGATGCTGCCTAGAGCTTGCATGGGTAATATCAATCTAAACACACAGTGAATAATTCAAATAAAGAATGAAAAAAAAAAGCTTACTCTCTTTCCGGGAGGACCTGGTGGGCCAGCCTCACCAGATGGACCAGGGGGACCCTGGAAATGAATACAGTTAGATATAAATGTATAATGCACTGTTTAATAAGCTGGGTATTTTTCACAGCTAACATAATTTCTCCAAATAGGAAATGAAACTGACTCTCTGCTCATTTATACACATCTGTCTTTCCTAAAAACCTCAGCTCCCAGTCAGTGGGCTGAACTGCTTCTACATATCCACAGAGTGAGCTAGAAAACTTATTTAGTAAACTTCTTCATGGATATAGGAAAGTGCTTCAAATTTTCTTTTTGGAAGCCTATGCCATTTAAAAAGCAATAATAAGGTTTCAGCAAACCCCTAACATATACATGTATACATCTTATCATATCTTACAAACTGTGCACATATTGACTTACTACCTCTAAACTGCTTCTCATACAACACTAGCATTTTGTGCCACTGTGTAAACAACTATATGAGTATATGTGCTCTAAGTATACCTTAGACTTCCAACACCTGAGGGACCGAACCTTGTAAGAGACTCAGCTGTCCTCAAAACTATTTAAGTTAATGCCTTCCAAATTTCTCCTTTCCTAAGGAACTCATGTGGCCAAAACACTTCTGTGTCGTTCAAAAAATATTAAAATGTCTATACTGTAATTTCATTTAGCTTCTTAGCTAAAATAGCTTAAGAACTACAACAAGATATAGTCTGATATTCTTATTTTTATACTTATTAATATTTAAAAAGTATTATCCTTCTATAAACAAGTGGGAGTCTAGGTGTCTCTGACTCTTTTGCCCATGTGGGGGACCCATTTTCTCCCACTGGATTCCCTTTCCCAGACTTTGATTCCAGGGTTTATGCATACTCTTATTTTATCTTGTCTGCACTCAGGCCTCCTCTTTTCTGAGGGAGTGGGGAGGATGGGTCTGGAAAGGAGGGGTGGTGAAGGGGGCTAGAAGGACTGGAGGGCAGGAGTCTGTGCTTAGGATGTATTGTATGACAGGAGAATGGATAAAAATTAAGAAAAATAGATAAGTAACAGTAGGACAAGCTCATAAACATATTATGACACATTTCTGAGAAATGTGTACACAATATACACAATGAGCTTCAATTGTGAAAGACTGATCTTTCTGAATTGTCTTTTAAAAAATATTTGGGCTATGTAAGATGAGGGGAAAAAGTAAGCTTTCTTGCCTACCGGTTGCCCTGGATCTCCATCTTCACCCTTGTCTCCCCCGACACCATCTTGCCCCTGTAATTGACAGTAAAAATTAACACAGATTGTTATATCTTATTATTATAAAGTTACAAAGTTTACACAGACTATCTTGATGTAGCGGTGAAATAAACTGTGATCTGATGAACAAGTAAAATTACAGTATTTATTTTTTTGGATAATAGTGCCTCTTCCTCTTTCCACAAATACTTGGGAAATTGTTATTATACTTGACTGGGTATAAATTATTATTTTTTTTTTTATAAAGAAAGGAGGAAGACTCACTGGATGTATAAGACTAGCGCTTCCATTCACCAGGAACAGACATAATGCAATTCAAAATAGGATTTGCACAATAAATAGCATTAAGAAATAAAGTCTGAACTTAGAAATAAAAGTATAGCTGCTACTTAGATAATTTGTTTGGGTAATCCAAACAAGTTTCAATAATAGTGCAAATGAAGAGGACAGTTGTGCAAGAGAGGTACAAGAGTCACCAGTTGGATAGACCTTGTGGTCAGTGTGATTTCTGGTGTTTCATATGGCTCGCTGACCTTAGAAGTTCACTTGTAACATAATTTTTCTAATTATTACTACAGACTGAGGGAACAACCCCAGCAAAGCATCCTTTTATTTCTCCACGGTACTTACAGCAGGGCCAGGTTCTCCAGGTGGGCCAGGATCTCCAGGAAAACCAACAGGCCCCTAGAGAGACGGTATGAAAGGAAAAATAGAATCAAAACAAAGTTCCACAGGGTTGTTTGTAGTTTAAGAAGTTAAAATCATGGCAGCTGCTGGTTAGATATATTCTCCAGCTAGAAAAAAAAATAAATTAATAAAAATGAAAGGAACTAAGAAGGGATGCAAATATATCAAATGACATAATGACTTTGATTTTACCGGAATTCCACATTTTTAATCTGTCTATGAGAAGCTAATGAGGGAAACTGACACACATTTCACTTTAAAGGGGATAAACTCACCGGGTTCCCCTTGGGACCATCATCACCGGGCGGCCCCTTAGCACCAGCAGGACCCGCAGCACCAGGGGCCCCAGCTTCTCCTTTCTCTCCTCTCTCTCCTTTGGGACCCTAAAGAATACAAAAAAAAACCAGTTACTTTATAAACACTGTTTCCAACTCTTAATACCAAAATAGTGGGCTGGAGAATTTTCAGTTTTTCTACTCTGTATTCTATATTGCAAAATTTCTAACAGACTCTGAACTGAATTAATTAAATGCCAATAGTCATGAACCCTCAATGCTAGATTGTCAAAACATTTCCAGCTTGTCAAGGGACTATAGAAGATTTAATGGCAGTTTAATTTATGTTATAATAATAAATTTTAGTTAGCAAATGTTTATTTAATACAGCAAGAAAATTGTTTTTTATCTATTATGGACAGTTCACTGAACACAATGTATATAATGATTGTCTTATCATTTTAATGACTTAAATCATGTAAATGTGACCTTTTAAAACTTAGATACTATCAAAATATGCAGAGGATAGTCAGTTATTAAATAATATGTTTATGTATTCATGGTCACAGTTAATAAGTTGGAAAGGAAGAGTAAAAACAGATACTGTTAGGATTCAAGTTCAATGTTCAAACCCTCTAAAAATAATTCCTAAATATCTAATGAAGCCTAATAATGGTTTTATGACTATGGGACTTACACTTGAGCCAGCTTCGCCAGGGGGCCCTGGGTTCCCGGCTTCTCCAGGTTCACCCTACAAAGAAAGTATCATATGAGGGTAAGAACATGGAAATCTTGTTTCTATTTGTAATAATGACTTTACTATGGCCATCCTAATTTAGACCAGCCTCTATCTTACTGTACTGCTTAAAACACACCAAAAATCTAATAAGAAAGAGAACTTGGATTAATGGTCTCAATAATTCAAGTGAGGAAACAGACTAAATGCTGATTCAGTTTTCATAGATGAAATCCAGCACATCAACCCAGGTTACCATGAAGCTACAACAAAAATCAGAATGTTTTCTAACAGTTTGCATTTGTGTGGCATCAAAATTCATATTATATCATGATTATTGATTTTAAAATGGGAATATTTTTACTAAACTATAAATTCACTCTCTTGCTAATAAAATATATCAGCAAAAAACTTGGCACTATATTGATAATCCTATAGAATGAGTTAGTGGAGATCAGTGTGAAATTCAGAATGTACTTAATCAAAAGTCTTTTATTTAAGTGTTTAAATATTATAAATTTAATAGCTTTTATGATCTCATTTTAATCCAGTTGGATATTTGCCAGGTCATCTGACAAGTAAAAAAAATCTTAGAAAACAGCAATCCATATTTAAATGAAGATATCATGAAGGGTATCCAATTTGTAATGTTTATGTACAAAGACACTTTCCTCAGATTTAGCTATGAAGTCTACTGCTAATGTGTTCTTCTTAGAAATGCATAAAAATATGTCTTATTCCAGTGATTACTTAAGTGAAAAGATGCAACACACACACACACACACACACACACACACACACACACACACACACACACACACTCACGCACACGCAAACTCACGCACATGCGCCCGCGTACGTACACATGAGCCAATGTTCCATTCAGCACTCTCCTAACAACTCCAACATCAGTGATTGAAGGCATTATGAGGTGGGTGGGAGTCTTGTAGTTTTTAATTTTAAACACTGATATCCCAGGTCTTCCTGGCACATACCAGTAATGCTAGGTTGGTTTGAAATTTTCCATAGTAAAAGCAAACATATTCCAAAGAAGAAATTATTTCACAAAATTTCTTAGTCTTCTGAAATACAAAGACATTTTGACTTCTTGAGGTGTTTGTATAGTTATGACAGCATCAAATACTTTCAAGGAATTCCTTAGTTGTGGAATTGCATGTCAGTTTTGTCTTTCCCAAGATAAATGGCAAATATATCCTGTATTTTGGACAATTATTACAAGTATAATATCACATCTACATTATATATGAAGAAAAGACTCATTCAACTATCCTAATATGATAAAATAATATATCAATAATTGTGGGGGTTGCTATTCACATATTGAAAATGAAGCAAGTACTTTGTCATTCAAATAAACTGTAAAGCACCCATATTAAATATTTAACACATGGAATATAAGCAACATTTACTAAAAATCTTGGAAATGAACTGAACACAAAATGTTTTTCTTATGTGTCACATTATCATGTATTATTGTGGAAAGTTGGAACTAGAAATAAAACTATATATTTTTAAGTCAACATCAATATATTTTGCTCATCTCTTTCCATCTTTGTTAAACATAAAGGAAGTTATATTCTGAAAATATTATTTCCAATTTTCAAAAATGAAGAAAATAATCATATCAAAAATGTATTTAAACAGTAACATGTAAGGGTAAAAACTTCTATGAAATCTTTGAGAATAGTACATCAATATTCACTTGCTTTCAGAATATTAAAATTCTTTATGCATATTATAAACAAACGCATATGATATAAATCACAAACTAATGAAGATAAAAATCAGTAATTCCTAAAAAGTCTGTACTAAAGTCTTTTAGAAATGGATTGACAAAATTGCAAACAAATACAGCAATGCAACAGAATATGTCATGTTAAGGAAGTCCATTCCATGGTGTGAATAAGGTAACAGGTATTTACTCTATGGAAATATAATGGTGAACGGGATAAAGGAGTGTGCACTTATCATGCCGTATTGCTAGTGCACTCTCCCCTTACTTAAGAGTGCTTCCTGCAGAAGCAACAACAAATTGTTCTGCATATTCAGAGTAATTACAAATTATTGTTATTATGAAAATGTGTTGCTTATTTGGTCTGAGTAAACTGTTGAGAAATCTCCCATAATTACACAGTTCATGAAGAACAGATTGGTATATTCGCACAAAAGAAATCATGGCTCATGGTCATCAGCCTCTGTTTTTCATTGTAATTGATGGATATAATTTTCCAAAATAGAAATTGCAGTGAAATCAGTCAGAATCCATGTTGATGTCACAAATTTATAATATATAAGATATTATATGATATCAGACTTTTTTAAAGTTAAGATTAGGGTTTCCTATCATTTTCTCTGTCATGAAAAAAATTTTTAAAGGAAAAATATTGTTATCAAATAATATGTTTCAATTTAGGTATTTACAGAGTATAAAAGTCACCATAGGAAGATCCTAGCACATGCACGCGCACACACACACACACACACACACACACAACTTTAAAAATAAACAAATTTTAAATGAATAGATACAAATTAACTTAAAAACTAACAGTCAAATCACCAGCCTTATTGAATATTACAAGACTCAAAAATGGCAAACTGTTATCATTTGACCTTTTACCTATATAACAATAGTGTGAGACTTCCCTCTAACTCCCAATATTGGCAAAAGTGACTATTAATGGGATTCATAGAAGACAAAGTATAAAAAAAACAAAGTACTTAAAACTATTCGCTTGTTATTGACAATCTTTAGGACATAGGTGAAGCACACTGAAATGTCTATTCAAATTACAGACTATTCTTAACTCTCTAGGCAACATCAGAGCCCAGAGGACATGTTCTCAAGAAAAAAGTTAGAGGGGGTAAAGTCGGTAGGATTTTTCAAGACAGTGGTGTCTCGGATGCTGGTCTTGCCTTATGCTTTTTATGCTAGGACTAGTAAGCTTAATGAGAATTTTTTTTTCCAATAACTGCGCCTATCTCAACATATAGCTTTCATTTTAAGACTATAAACAAACCTCTAAAAGCAATTGTTAAGGAAACTGTATTCTTTATCCACTAAGAACTGTAAAGTGTAATTTGTTTTTAATTTAGTAATTAATGAGCTATTTGAACAGTGAGTCATATGCAGTTTATTATAAATACAAGAGTCGGGATGAAAAGCAGATATAAACATCAATATAACACAGTCTAATCTCATTATGCTGCTTTTTGGAGGGTTAACTCATTTAATGAAAATAAATGAATTTAATTATAAAATAAAATGTGTCAAAAAGAATGCAAAGCAAAGAAGAGAATCATGTTTCAAGGTTGAAATAAAAACATTACAGCTATTACTCAATAGTTAAAGTAGATGTGAAAATTTTACATAGTTTCCTTGTATAACATTTTATGGTATGAATTAATTTTTTGTCCTTCAAAACTGGCAAATAATTTTCTTAAATGAAGCAAATGTCAATTATAATTTTCTTTAAAATTCTATTAAGACGTGAGGTTGAATACATAAATAAGAAATCAAAGAATCATTTTGACATTTCAAAAAAAGAAAGAATAGATTTTTAAGATGAAATAATGTTTACCAGGAAAAAGAGCTGTTCTGAGCACAGATGTTATGGCATACGCCAAGAGCTTTGAAAAGTGCCAGAGATAGGCTGAAGTGTTAGTAATGAAAAGGTGACAAAAATCAGTGATTAATTGTTTTCTGACATGAAAGACTCCTTCAGCCTCTGGATCAGTTGTAGAAAAGTGTTTCTCCTGCTTTAAGTACCAACTGTCACTAACTGTAGTCTCGTCAGACATTCAGAAGCTGAAGTGTAGCTTGGCATTGTCGCTTTCTAACGAGAAACATTCACCAAATCACTGCAATTAAGCTTCAGCTTTCCCTGTTCATGAAAGCAGATAACTATGACTCCAACACTGTTCTGAGACAGGAAGTAATCCAGATGCAGCATCCATCACCACAGGTGTCGATACAAAAGACACAACATCAGATACTAATTTCAATCTGTGCAGGGTCTACAGTAAATAATACTGAATTTGTGAATATATGTACAACACTTAGCACTGACCTTACGTTAGCAGCATGCAAAGTATGTCCCACAATTATCAAAGCTTGTGATTTCCGGCTGTCTTAGCCAGTGGTCCTTACCTTGTCTCCCACGCCACCAACAGAACCAATAGAGCCCGGGGGTCCTTGTGGTCCCTGAGATGTAGAAAAAGAAACAGTGTTATACTTTTAATGAAATGTTCATTCACATGCACGTGTCTAGAGTTTTTAAAGAGAGCATTGTGTACAGGAATTTGGAGTAAATTGTGGGGTGGAACAAAAGTAATGACTTCTACAGTTGTCACACTTACTAACAACAAATAATTTAATATATTATACCAGCTTTCAATTTCTCCAGAATTTGGAGCATAGGGCAAAAAGACTTCCAGATTTTGTCATGTACTTGGTAGTTGAAACAAAATTCCAGTGCCTATGCCCATGGAAAATCAGGACAATTTTATGATATGATTTTATATTGAATCCCAGTCATGACTGTATTTAAGAATGACTTGCTGCATAGGAAAAACAAACCCCCTATAAACTGCCAGGCATTAGATTCCTCTGGGGGATGAAGGCTCCATATCTTTTCCAGTTTACCAGCTACTGATATTTTTTATTAGTTCTGACCTGATAAAATTAAAGGCAAGCATGTGAGAAAATAAATCCAATTGAAAGGAATGTGGAAAACATGTGGCTTCATTTGCAAAACATGAAGTTAGAAGTGGATCACATAGGCCTAGAAATCTATAGACGATAACAGTAGCATGGATACATTATTACATTTCCAAATTCTATAATATTCCATCAGAATGCTGGACCAGTTTCTAAGGGGAATGTTCTCTTTAAATGACTGAGAAGGAACTGTTTCCTCTCAGTGAGAAAGGGTGCACAAATGCACATATTTCTCTGAATGCTTTATAGACTAGAAATGCATGAAGTAAAGCATTTAGATAAAAGCCTTTCTGTGGATACATACCTAACAGGCATTTAGAGTACACATCTAGACCAGTACATTCAAAGCCAATTACAAACTTCTCAATCATTGCCAGAGAAAAAGCTCAAACTGAAGAATTTAATAACTGTTTACAGAACAATATCATATCTTAGCTACAGTGTAAGTATACTCTTCTGAATAATAAGGTTCATAATGATACAAGTGATATTTTTCACCAATAAATATATGTTAAGTGTGAACTGGATTTCTATTTTTATACTAGTTGTTAACTGGTCAGGAAAAAAGCTATTTCTTTCTGTCTATAATGATATGGGATGAGTAGATGATCATTGGGTTCTTGTCCACTTCTAAGGATAAACCATGATGAGATTATCTCCATTGTATCTCATAAGCCATCTGCCAGAATATAATACTGGCACAGAATGTCCTTTGCAATTAATTAGCACACACTTCACAGTTCTTACATCAGCTCCATTGGGACCTTGAGGGCCTCGTGGGCCAGGAGGACCTGGTGGACCCTAGAAAAGACAAATGACAGAGTTTGCCAAGATCACACACAAATACGGTAAACATTTTCATATTTTAAGATAACTAAGATAGTCTTGTGTCTATGAAATCACAGGCAGAGGAGAACATCAGGTCTACAAACAAGCAGAATGAAGACAATATTATATCACACTATCAAATGACCCTTTACTCACTGATAGGAAATTAACACTTAAAAAAAATTAAAGAATAGGAAAGCAACACACGAAGCCTATTGCTGCTACAAATTATTCACAACAAAGTCAGTGACATACTATGGAAATATATTTTACAGCATAAAATAACCATAACGTTGAAACAACAACAACAAGAAGAAAACTATTACTGGACTAGTTCAGAATTAGGGAATAAAATGAACAAATATTGTTTTAATTCGTGTGAACATGATTGAGTGTATGAATCTCAGGTTTGACATTATAGAATTGGAAATAACTAGTTGCATTCCTACAATGAAGATGCTATGTCCTGAATATACACTAAAATTATCCCGGGATCCATTTGTTAAAACACTGTTGACCAACATCCCTTACTTCTAGGTTGCAATTAAGGTAGTTCAAAATAAAGAAATAAATAAAATGAGATGACAGAGAATGAAATAAAGAGAATAGACAATAGTGAATACCTAGTCATTAGTATTTTTTTTTTTAAAAAAATCTCAGTTTAATCCAATGCAACAGTTGAAGCTTTTTCTAACCTGATCTATCATATGCTCCAGGAGAATGTATCAGTAACTCTGGGAACCACAGCACTGGCTCTAAAAGTGTACGACAGTGTGTCTCCTGCTGTTTCAGAGTATGACCTCGTCCCCATATATACCGTGGATCCCTCACAGTTAGATTTGCTGAAGACAGGAAAATTTTCAAAGTATATAATAAATCTGGGTGTTGCTCTTAAAGTGAATGAAATGTAACTTACAGCTATAAAACTTCAAACTAGGAGTAGACCCCCACAATCAGGTGTAGTTGGTCAAAAACCTCCATGGTATTTTTGTAGATTTTTTTTTTTTTGTCCTATTGGTCTTTTCCTTGTATATTTTGGTTTCTGTTTTGTGGGGTTTTATATGTTTTTTTTTTTTTTTTTAAGAGAGAGGGCATAGAGTAGGTATGTGGGGAAGAGTTGGGGGAGGGCAAAGCATGATCAGAGTATATGGTATAATATGTTAATTAAAATATGTATTTTGAGCTGGGCGATGGTGGTTCATGACTTTAATTCCAGTACTTGGAATCAGAAGCAGGCAGATCTCAGTGAGTTTGAGGGCAGCCTGGTCTACAAAGAGAGTTCCAGGACAGCCAGGACTATTACACAGAGAAATCCTGTCTTGAAAAACACATATATACATACATACATACATACATGGATGTATTTTGAAGTCAATCAAGATTGTCAGCAATGATGGAAGGAAAGCAACTAAGACATACATTCATCAAATGTTTCAAATACTCTGAGCAATTATTTCTTTATCACATATACTTGAAAGTTTAGGTTGAGTTCTTAAAGTAAAAAAGTGCTAATTGATAAATTAAGAAGTATGCTACAATTCTCAAATTAATAATGCATTCTTCATTAAATTTAGAAGTTGTTTCACAGTATAATGCACTTTTATTCTCCTCCTGTAGTTCATAACTATAGAAATCCTGCAGGCATGCTATATGTTCTTTACCCGTTCCACACCAAAGTCCAAAGCAAAAGAGTCACAAGGTGCTAGTGTGGCATCGGATCACAAAAATGGTTTAGATTCATTAAATATGTGAACCAATAAATGTCATGTATGCACACAACATTATTCTGAAGTGGATAAAGATAAAAGATAAATACTTTTAAGATCGTATTAACAGTTGATTGTTACTGATGACATATGAATAGGAAACAGAATTTAGCAGGAGAGCAACACAATTTCACAATCCTTTTGTTAACATGGATGAATTGTAATTAATATGTGAGTAGTGTTGGCATGCACAATACCATCGAATACCTGGAAAACGCAACCTACCATGGGTCCAACATCGCCATTTTCGCCCTTTTCACCTGGAGGGCCTGGTAACCCCTAAGAAAATGCAATTTGAAAGAAAGTCATCTATGTGTTTTAAAAGATACATCTGAGAAGCCAGAAATGGCTAAGATAGTAAAATGCTTTCTGCACAAACATGAGGACTTGGGTTTGGATTCTCAGAGCCTGTGTAACATCAGACACAGCAGCACCTATCTGTAATCCCAGTGTTTGTACAGAGAGATGGACGGCAAAGACAAGAGGATGCTCTGTAGCTTGTTGGCATTTTCAGCAGTAGTAACACAGCAGCAAATATTAAAAGACATTGTCTCAAATGGTAGAAAGCAGAACTAAACTGGAAGTTACCCACAAACTTCACTCACACACAATGAAACATGTTCATTTGTGCTCACACATAACACACACTCACCCCAAAGACCAAAAAAATATGCTTTTTATCAATTTATGCCACCAAATAAATAAATATAAATTTAATTAATCATGTAGAAATGAACATTCAGAAATAAACATATCTTAAAATACTTAAAAAACAGTCAACTGTTTCCTACATGTTATAAAATCTGACTATATTAACAAGTAAAATCCATGTTCTATATATTTTAGCTTGTTTTGCTAAAATAAATAAATCAACAAACACATAAAATTTGATCATACAAACAGCTCTCCCTTTTTCTATTTCTTTTACTCAATTACAGACTTTTTAAATTTATATGTTTTATATTTTGTATTTTATATTTTTTGTATTACCACAGTCAGGTAACAGTTTGGCACACCTTTTTAAAAGTAAATATTCCAATATAGTTCCAAAGTTACACATAAATTCTGATTTTTAGTCTATTAACTCGCTCCTGAATCTCAAAAATCCACAAGCTACGAAATCCATTATTTCGTGTCCCCTAATCTCTCTCTTTTGCATCAACCGCACTGTAAATGAAGACTAGAAACACGATGTTAGGGAAAACTCAGGCCGAGCCAGGGCAGACTGCACTGCTATTCAACCTGCCTGTATCTCCATTTGGAAATCTCTTTACTGCTTCATCTTCTGAATTCCTCCAGACAGAACTGCGTGTATTTGCTCTTTCTTGTCATAGCAATACTCTGTGTTCCTTATTCATAAAATCATATTCCCAATCTATTTGGAGGCAATACTTTTCTTAGACGTTGACTTTTAAATCTCTTGTAACTAGTGGGAACATGAAGCAAAACCTGCCGTCTCAGAAACTATTGGCTGCATGAACAGTTAGGTGAACTAATCCTAAGTAAACAGGAAAAGTTACCCAATAAGAACTTCTTTTCAACAGTTGCTGTGATACTCAAAAACCTCAATTATTCTAAAATTTTAAGCTTTGAAACATAGCTTCATGTATTTAATTAAGTCATACGGTACAATTAACGTGATATTAATGCTGGAGTGAAAGACAAACTGTGAAGAACCATGTCTGAACAAATGAGCATACACGACATGACTAGAGAACATGCACGTGAAATAGTGTGAGTCTTACTGGGTAGAAACAACACAAGTGCCATCTGGTTTTTAATGTTCTGAGTAAGGATTTGCCCCATTTTTAACAATGTTAATAATATAATCATCTATATACATGCTATAAACTATACACAGTGAATTTTAATGTAACAATTATAAAATTTCATATTAAACCTAATAAAGAAGTAAAACCATCAACAGTGCTAAAAGCTAACATACTAATAAAACTATTGTATGATATTTGTAATCTAAGAAAGCTTGCTTGAAGATCAGAGGACAAGGCTAGCCACCAAGTTAAACATAGAGGTCAAGTAGTGATGGCACACACCTTTAATCCTAGCACTCTGGATCTCTGAGAGTTCAAGGCCACACTGGGCTACATGAGATTGATCCAGTCTAGGAGAGAAACAGCTAGGCAGTGGTGACACACACCTTTAACCCCAGAATTTGGTAAGCACACATGCACTAGGAAGGTTGAGATAGGAAGTGAAAAGGCTGGGCATAGAAAGGCATATAAGGTGTGAGGAGACAGGAAGTAGAGGCCTTTTGACTGAGGACTGCATTCAGTCTGAGGATTCGTGGGGTTGGAGAGGTCAGAAGTAGCTGTGGCTTGTTCCTTTGTTTCTCTGATCTTTCAGCATTTACCTCAATATCTGGCTCTGGGTTTTTATTATAAGACCACTTAGGATTCGTGCAATACTACTGGCTTTGGGACTTAAATGTAACAGCTGCAAATTATTTAGTTAGCTCACAGCAAAGCATCCATGCTCTATCTTCCCACTGTGTTCCAGGGCAGAGTGGATATGGGACTGGCTGAGTGATGCTTGCTCATTTCCACAGATGATGACCTTTGATAAATCCATTCTACTTTACTTGCACTGTCCTGTTCTTGTTTTAGACCAGGTAACAGCCCAGGAAATAGTTTTTCTTTTTTTATGTTCTACTCATTATAACTGACTCCGAGGAAAGAAATCCTTTAGTGGACATATTTGTAAATATTTCCAATGTGGCTCATACCATTTTTTTTCAGTAAGAAGCCTTAAGTAGTGGTTTATGATAAGCAATATATATATGAATTTTGTCTGCTTTTTCTTAACAGTCAGTATGATGCCCAAGAAAAGATATCAGCTTATACATTCCCCAAATGATTATCATTTTGTGATGGTAGCTCCTAGAATTTAAATCAGATGAAGGAAGAAAGAGGAGAAGAAGGAGGAAGAGGAGGAGGAGGAGACTGGAGTGATATATTGTGATGCCTTTAATCTCAGGAAGTGATGACAGGGTGGAGAAAGATATATAAGGTGTGAGGAAAAAGACACTAAGACAGTTCAGCTGAGACCCTTTCAGGTGAGGACTTAGGATTTCAGTTAGAGGATTCCTAGAGTTGGTGAGGTGAGGTTGGCTGTGGCTTGCACTGCTTTTCTCATCTTTCAGCTTTCACCCTGATATCTGGCTCTGGGTTTTTTAATTATAAGGCCTTTTAAGATTCATATTGCATCTGTTGTCCAACTTATAGGGCACAAATTCATGAAAAAGCCACTTGGTTGTGGCCTTGCAGGGCCTGGCTCAGGCCCAAGATGCACGCAGATGGAGTCTCCACCCCACATAGGCCGGAGTCTCTTTGGCTTCTTCTCTCCAGATGAGTTGTGGGCTTTCCCTGGATCCCCATCTTGGGCTGCTACCACACTAGATAGCCACCTTGAAACCCACTCAGTCTTCTACTGTTCTATGCAGAAGCAGTCAGCCTCACATCTGGATCATCATGGTAAGCAGAATTGGTGAGTCAATTGGGAATTCTTTTTTTTTTTTTTTTTTTTTTTTGGTTTTTCGAGACAGGCTTTCTCTGTGTAGTTTTGGTGCCTGTCCTGGATCTCACTCTGTAGACCATGCTGGCCTTGAACTCCCAGAGATCCGTCTGGCTCTGCCTCTGAAGTGCTGGGATTAAAGGCGTGTGCCTCCACCACCTGGCTAATTGGGAATTCTTAAAGGAAGGAATTAGTTAACAAAGTTTTTCCCACATTAAAAAATGGGAAACGCCGGGCGGTGGTGGCGCACGCCTTTAATCCCAGCACTCGGGAGGCAGAGGCAGGCGGATCTCTGTGAGTTCGAGGCCAGCCTGGGCTACCAAGTGAGTTCCAGGAAAGGCGCAAAGCTACACAGAGAAACCCTGTCTCGAAAAACCAAAAAAAAAAAAAAAAAAAAAAAAAAAAAAGGGAAACATTTTTAAAATGGAGGGTGTTTGGTCTACATTTGACTATATATTAAGCAGTCTAAAAATGGAACAATTAAATGAGAGGATAATTAATGTAGATAGGATTTAGGTAATGTCAATTATAAATATTATTTGATCATTTTTGTTTGATCATTAAAAATGTTGGTTAATATGAATGTCAAGATAAAAGTTTTAGGAAAACTTGTTAAAACAGATCATAGATATATTCAGACTCAGAAAGAAGAATTTAAAGGTGAACCAATCTTCAAACATGACAGCTATGCTTCAAAGTTCAATTTTAAAGGATTGAGGATAATCCTTCAACTTAATTTAGAATACAGAAATTAAAACATTTACATATTTCTTGCAATCTGACTTTATCTCCTACTTCTTATTTTTTTAAATGTGTTACTTCTCACACATGTAGATAAGCTCCACTCACGGCTATATTTATAATTATCAACAACTTTAAAATAGTTAAACAGAAAAAAAATAAGAAAGTAATGACTTTCTACTAAAAATAGAAAACTATCTTGATATTCAACAAAGAAGAAATTAGAATATCATGTTCACTAGTAATTACTCACTGGCTATTTTATAAAGGTATTTATATTATAATTTATAATATGGCATCACAATGTAACTTGTAAAATTATATCATAAGGTATTTAATATTAAAAATCAATCCTGTGATTTTTTTGTAAATTTAAAAAATTACATATATATTTATTCCAGTTTCATACACTATTCTGTAACTTCACAAAATTTTGTAGGTACTATGATTTGGATTGCTCTCCTTTTGCAATATCACTAGTGTGAGAAAAGTAATATCTATAAAGTACACAAATGTCATTGAAAACCAAGTTATCATTGCTCAAAGAAGAAATAGATGTGTACATAACAAGCAAGTCGAAGATACACAGGAGATCCAAAGGTTTGCAGGAAACAACAAAATAAAGTGGAAAGGGAAAAACAATTGGGAGGAGAAATTGGATACAATGCAATATTCTTCAGGAGAAGTCGATACATTTGGTATAGAAGTTTTAGGGCTTTAGTGTTGTACAATTTAATATTTATTTTTAAATACATTTCATAAACTATAGAATTATACCTTAAGCTATTTTTATTGATATATTACCTATTCATTTTGTCCATTATTTAATACTTGCTGCTGCAGTCAGTCTGCTACTTCAAATTCTTTGCAATTTAGTTACTCATTTGAAATACTAATTCTTCTAAAGGACTATTTCAAACAGCTTCTTTCAACTACTAGAGCTACAAGACTGTGGTTTGCATTTGAAAACAAATTGGCAGTCGAGGTATAGCCTAGTGTGTCAGAAACAGAAATCAAGCAGATGCATATTTGAGTGAGATGTTTTGCTTTGATACACACACACACACACACACACACACACCACACACACACAGTGCACACAGCATTTAATTTTACATAGAAAAAAGTGTGTTGCTTTGTTTCCCTGCCCCTGGAAACCAATAATGAGCAGTCAGTGAATATCATACAGAGGCTTCTTACCTGAAGACCTATGGGCCCAGGAGGTCCTGGGAAGCCTCGTGCGCCCTCGTCACCTTTCTGTCCAAACATTCCCTGCTGTCCTCTGGGACCTGCCTCACCATCTCCTCCCTTGGGAACAGCAAGGCATACATCAGTATTGAAAAAAAACATTATGATACATTATTCTAAAAATGGCAGCCATTTTTATAGTCTACCATATATTTACAAAGTAGACTAAATTCCCACAGTCTTCTCCAAATATGTCATTAGTTGGTTCACAAGCATTCTTTGTCTCTAGAGTTTAGTTGATTATGATTTGATCATCTCACCAAATAAAGTAAAAATGGTCCAGCAGAAAATGTAATATTCAAATTTATTAGATATTGAATGACGTTATACTGGTTCTTAAACGGTGCCATGATTTTTTAAATGTGGCAAGTTATAGTAGATCATTTAAGTGTGACTCAGTGTTTAGCATGCAAATAAACTTACTACCACACAGTGTCAAATAGATATAGGACTGACATAATTAAATCCTAAATTTAATCAGAGAGTTAAAAGTACCTAAATTTGTTGATCAGAGAGGGATGAAAACTTACAGCAATTCCAGGGGCACCAACAGGTCCTTGAAGACCTGGGGGACCAGGAGGGCCCTGAAGTGACAAACAAATCAGAAATCTTAAAATCAAAGCTTCTAAGGCATCAGTAAAATTAAAACAAATAGAATACAATGGCTGACCAAGATAAACAATGGCTGACTAAAATCTATTAAACACCTTTACACCTCATTGGAAACACAAAAGTATTGTTTAGATGGCTTTGTAATTACACAGCAACCATCATTTATTTTATTCCCTGCAGACATATACTTTCATATGTATAATCAAGATAAAACTGATATTTATTAAAAACATGAAAATGTTCCACTCTGAATATTGCAGTTATCTAAGACTAGGTTTTCCTACTAACCTATACCAATTTAAAGATGTTTTTAAAAGTTATATTTCTCTAGTTATTTATATATATATATGTATATACACATATACATAAACACATATAGAGAGAGATCAGGAGTATAAGAAATAGTATACTATCTTCTAATTATCTCCAGGTTTCTAAGATGCTGCACATAGAATATATTAATATATGAAAATCAAGAATTTCTGTGCATACACACATGTGTTACACATTCAAATACATGAGACTATTTTGAAGAATAGATTTCAACAGGTAATGGGTCATCTAGGCATGGACACATCCCTTTTTTTCTTGCATTAACTGATAAAGCTTTGCATAAAGGGAGTCTGTTTTTTTTAGTGTTTTGTCAACTTCCCACAAGTGAGAGTCATTTAAAAAGAGAAAACCTAGTTATTGAAAAGTCCCCATAAGACTGAACTGTGTGTACAAACCTGTGGGACATTTTCTTGATTAATGATTGATGTGAGAAGGTTCAGCCCATGAAAGGGGTTGTGCTACCACTGGGACTCTGGTCCAGAATGGTATAAGAAAGCGGGCTGAGTAAGCCATGAGGAGCAAGCCAGTAAGCAGCACTTCTCCATGGCCTCAGCAGCATAAGTTCCCTCTTCTACATCCCTGCCTTAAGTTCTGGCCTGACATGCTTTGATGATGGATTATGATTCTGAAATGTAAGATGTCAAAAATGTCAATAACTTCATCTCTTTTCCACCTACATATCTGTGTGATTCTGATATTCAACCAATATTTGTCACTACAGAATGAAATAAAATTCAGTTTTGTGAAGACAGGTCCTCTATAAGGCAATAAATATAAAACAATTGTAACCTTTGAAGTCTGTATATGAATACACACACACACACATATATACATCAATATATTTTTATTTTATTTATTTTTTGTGTGCACATATGTGTGTGCATTGTATGTGTGCTCTATGTACATATGATCAGGTGAAGTACATAGTAAGATGTCTGGGTAACCTGTTCTATTACTCTTTGATTTATTTCATTGAGCAATGGTCTCTCACAGAACCCTGACCTAGGCTAAGTTACATTTGCTCCTGCATTGTGCATGGATTCTTGGATCTCAAGATAGGTCTGCATGCTAAAGCAACAAGTGTCCTTGCTTGCCGAGTGAAGGCATCTCCCCAAACCCTTATACTACAAATTTTAATTAAGGTCAAAGTTATTTTTTTTACTGTTTATATAAAAATCAACACATACATATTTAAAGTATTTCCATTTAAATTCACAGTACAACAACTATCTGACAAAAAATTTGCGGGAGCTAAATGTTCCTATGAAAAACCACCCATGTAAAAGGATTAAAAGGATGATGCTCCCTCACCAAATTGTAAGGAACTCACGTTTTCGCCCTTGTCACCTTTGCTGCCCTTTTGGCCTGGTTCTCCAATTTCACCCTGTGTTTGAAAGATGCATGTTAAAGCTAATTTCCAAGTCACCATACCTGAAATTTCATCGGTATTGTTAAATTTTACCATTTTACCCTTAATGTAATTTCATGCTAGTATTTAAAACCATGGTCTCAATGTAAAAGCTTGCTCAGCCTCTGACGGTCTATAATTGACCAATAAATACATAGGAAGATGAAGTCAGCCTAAGTTGAGGACGACAACTAGAACTACACCTTAAAAACTGATTTTGCACTGGGCGGAGGTGGTCCATGTCTTTAATCCCAGCACTTGAGAGGCAGAGGCAGTTGGATCTCTGTGAGTTCAAGGCCAGCCTGGTCTACAAAGCGAGATCCAGGACAGGCACCAACACTTCATAGAGAAACTCTGTCTCTAAAAACAAACAAACAAACAAACAAACAAACAAACAAAACAAAAACACCCTGATTTTATCCTGAATATCACTACCAACAATTGACAATGGAAGTACGTTGATCTACATATATATAAACACATGGTGATCAAAATGTATTATTTCTTTTTTCCCAGTTTTCCAAGTAGTAAGATTACAAGAACACTACTTCACAAAATTTCTACATATTACAACAAAATTAGAAACTAACTTGAAACAATGAAACCCTCCATCTGATATAAAAAGTTGAGAACATTCATTATTCATATGTTGGTTAAAAGGATTACCAATCCTTTTACCAGTGCTACTGGAGCTTATTCATAAGTCTTATGGCACAAGTTCTCAGAACTAAACATGTACAAATAATTATATTCAATTTATAATATTTTAAGGAAGATAGTTTTTAAAATATGAAATTATTGTTCTCTTATACATTTTATGTTTCTACTATGTATGCTGTTTTATGAAAGGCATATTTCTTAACTTTTGGAGGTATATAATACCTTTCATTACATAAAAGGTACCAAAAACTAAAAAAGATAAAACCACAAATCTTCCACTTTAGAATTAATCTTTGATTAATTATAGAGTCCCTGAGAAAGCACTAAATATGCTTTAGTATGATACACTAACACAAACAATAACACCAACCTTGTCTCCATCCTCACCAGGAGAGCCAGCAGGCCCAGTAGGCCCTGGGAGACCCACAGGGCCTTGGACTCCATCTCTACCTGCAGGGCCTTGAGGACCCTTCTCTCCCTGCATTAAAATACAATATATCATTAAATTGCTCCAAGAAATCCATAAAGTTTTACATGGTTTAAAAATAATACATGAATACATAAAATACGCGCGCACGCGCACACACACACACACACACACAAACACACACACACACACACACACACACACACACACACACACCCCTACATATCCCAGTTGTTATGATTAGAAAAGAAATTGTTTAATCTTTCTGGGAAACAGATTGCAAGCTGTTAGCAGCAAACAGAAACAATGAAGTACACTCTGTAGGTAATTAATAATACCAACAAAAATTATGTCACCTTTAATAATTTATAAGTCTCTGGCTACACTCTATAAAATTTATTAAACACAAGTGACAAAATAAATACTTTTTAAAAATATTTTCCCCAAACAAATGTTGGCAAATCAGGTGGTACTGTCTCTCTGAGCTCATACCTAGCCTTCCCAGAACTATTGGGGTAGCTGTTCAGCAGATGTTAGACTTAAGCATACATAAAATTTTATGATATGTTTTATATGCAATGGGTTCCCCCATTTTTACAGGTGTTTTGTGGATTCTATGAGTTTGGATATTTTAATTCATGTCTGCTTTTCCTGATGCCAAACAGCCTTTGTGTTGGGTTTCTCATTCTCTCCGGTTCTGTTTGTGCCTCTCTGGCAAGAACATTACTTTTCTACTTGTAAATTTATGTACAACAAAAGATAGAGCCTTGCTGAAGAAAACAACTTCTACTGCTATAAAAAATATGCTTTCTGGCTTGAAAATAATGTATTTTCCCATACTAGAATTTCTATAGGTTTTGTTGGAGACAACGTTCTAGATTGTTATCAGTGGTTTTTCTCCTGTTGCATAAACTGAGAAGCCTCAAGGGATTGATTGTCGCCCCTTTACATCACCCACTTACCTCACAGTCTCCTAACCCTTTATGCTGATGTATGTTTATGTGTTTTGTCTCAAGTTACCTCCTTAAAACAATATTTTATTAGTGCTAGGTGTCAAATCTAGGGCCACATGACTGCTAGGAAATTGACTTACCACCAGGCTACCTTTTGATCATCACCAAATGTACTTCCTAAAAGCATTTCCATTATATCTTCCTCTTCATTGAAAGTTCTTGTCAAATATTAGTGTCCTTTCTCTGAGCTACTGAAATAAAGTGCTGCCTCCACACACTCATGTCTTTTTCTTCCCCCCACATCATTTCACCATTACAACCAAAGAGCTGGTCAGGTCATGTAATCTACATCATTAGATGAATGTATTTGCTTATCATTCCTCAGAGTGAGCACTGTGATGATTAGTGTCAACTGCTGGCTTGACAGAAGTTAGATTTATCTAGGGGAAGGCTCTGGGCATGACTGTGGGGGATTGTCTTGATTACATTAATTGGGACAGAAAGATTTACCCACCGTGGTTGACATTATTCCTAGACTGGTGCATTCTAGATTGTTATAAGTGGAGAATGGTTAACTAAGCACTAAGTACACCATCATCCTTTGCTCTTGGTCTTTATTAGAGGTGCAAAGTGATGAGCTACTTCAAGCTCTTGCTGCCTTGATTTCCCTTCTATTATTCTTGGTACCTTGAACTATAAGTTAAAATAAACTCTTTCTCCCAGAAGTTGCTTGTAAGAGAGTATTTTATAAGAAAAGAAATGAAGACACTACCTTGACCTAGTTCCTACTAGGATCCAATGACATCTAGTAGCAAGAAGAATAAAACAGCTCTGCTACAAATGTAACTTTTCTTACTGCTTTTTTTTTTTGCTAAATTTATACAACTCAACTTTTATCACAACTCCTAGAATGCATCCTTCATCACTCAAAAGCTCCCATATGTTATTTTCTGGCCATTGTTTCGTCTATTTTTAATCACTGTTCTGTTTCACTATTGTGACTATTGTGCCAGTCATGGTTATTTACTGAAGGCATCACAACTCTACATGATGCTTGAGAACTGTAACTGCACATGATCCTCAATCTCCTATGACTATCTTTTCAGATATGGGAAAATAGGCTCTGAAGTGAAGAACTTAACCGACATCATTAACTAAATAGATGAGAGAGCCGAGCTCTCAACTCAGTTCTGAGTAGAAGTCAGCAGCCTATTCAACTTCAGTGTTCTTAGTTCTCATTCATTGTTTTCTTTAATATCTTCACTTCCCATTTATCTCATTTTTTATTGAGAAATAAACAAATATATTCATGGTTTCCTAATAACGAGAGGGATTGCATCCAATCCCACTAGTACCTTTAGCTACTGCATTCTTCTTTTAGCTCCACGCTTACTCACACTCTTTCTCTTCTATGGACTCATGGAACTAACCATCCATACACAAACTTATTATCAGTAAGTGTCTATTTTCTCTGCTTTTGATGGAGACTTCCACAACTCATGTCTATAATGATTCTCTATAGTGTGATTCTAGATCTCTGTTCTCTCTCAGCACTGTATCACATGAGAGTAGAATGCTTTGGTTTTAAACCTATTATTTCAAATGGCACTTCAGACTTGCAATCTGGCGCTCATCATTCTAAAATCATACAAACGCATGCTTGTATTATAGAAAATATTTAAAACTGATTTTCCTTGACATTATTGACTCCTGTTGTTTAATTCACATTTAGTTAAAGCATTGACCTCACTTTGTTTCAGACTGATGCTTCTTCGTCTCATGTTACTACAACTGCACTATCAAAAGATGCATAATTAACAGAGCTTATCTATAATCCAAAAAGGTGGCAGTCATATACGCAAATCATAGTTTTTTAATTTGTCACATAATCAAAATGTCTATCACCAAATGATAAGTTGAAAGAGGTTTGGGGTTGGGGATTTAACTCAGTGGTAGAGCACTTGCCTAGCAAGCGCAAGACCCTGGGTTCAGTCCTCAGCTCTGGAAAATAAAATAAAAATAACAAAAAAAAAAAGAAGAAAAGAAAGAACTAGGTTTATCTTCCCTTTCCAATCCCACCACCAAGAGATTCTAATTTGACTGATAGTTTGGAAATCATGTTTAGGCCATAGTCAATCATTTTAAGTATTTTGTACAGCTTTGGATTAGGTAAGTGTATTATAAGCTTGACTTCCGCATGATCTAGCATGTCTTTTATATTTCATGTAAACCTGTGTCTTTTGGTAACCACTTAATATTTTCAACTCAGGCCAAAATTTATATTTGGAATTTGGGAAACAGAAGGTGTTTTAGTAAAAATTTGGCCAACAATTCCATGAAGTTTCACAAGACTTTTGCATGAATATCTGTGAGTATTAACCCAACATTGCCAGAACTACATTCTGCTAATGTATGTAAGCTAATACTTTCCTTAAAAAACTACTTAATTCAGTATCTACCAGTTTGTTTTTCTCAATACTTTTAAGGACAAAAGGTACAATATTATAAATATTTGCAGCTCTAGATGTGAAAAAAATGAGAGAGCCTAGCTAAACAAGGATTTCATGATCTCGCTAGCCATGATACATATATCACCAACTGTCAAACCTTGTGAGACCTTAACCTGCTTCTTAAATAATTTTTCATCACTCTCTAAATTAAATTTTAAAACAATTGGCAGTGCTTTTTACTTTGGTATTTAATTCGGCATTTTACTTCCTAAACCAAAATATGTATTCAATTTAAACCATAGGATTGAATACACTATCATCATAGAAAATATATTTTCTATGTTCCAAAGTTCCTTTTATCTGTATTCATCCTTTATTGTACAAGTTATGTATGGCCTAAATGTTTTAATTAGCTGGAATCAAAGACATTGAGCCCTTTTTTTCCTGTCACTTAACAATGAACAGTATATTGTTAAAGAAAGATATGGCCTCAGAAAAATTCTCAGCAAAAATATGCAACATGCCTTTGCTTCAAAGCATAACTTATATCCAACAGTGTCAATGTCTTATTCTAACTTCCTGATTAAATAACAAAGAAAAAAATCAGTAGGACTATTAAGGTCTGAACATGTCCCTCAAAAATATGTTGAAAAGGTCATTGTCCATGCATTGATTACAGGGTCAGGCCTAATGAGAGAAGATCATCCCATGAGCGCAAATAGAAATTATGGCATTAGAAATGGGTTGAGTTAATTGTTACAGAAGGAAATAGATATATAAGAGTTTTGCCCACTCTTAGACTTTCATTGTCCTAGGATAGAACAACATGAGGTCTTCCTGAGAAGAAGACCCTTCATTTTGGATTTCTCAGCTTAACACCATGGATCAGGATATTACTGTTCGTTCCTAATTATGCAGTGTAGTATTCTATCACAGGATTGAAAAGGACTTTAGTACTCTATCACAGGACCTGAATATCAGAACAGGGTAATGAAAGAAAAATGTATGGACAATGAGTATAATTCCATTACTAGAGCTGAAGACAGTAACTGAAGGACAGTGATATTTGAATTACAAGTTTAAACTCAATTGTGTATCTCACAGCTTACAAGAAAGAAAAAAATATTAAGTTATATTTTATGTGCATCATAGCACTTTGTAGGCTACACTAATTAATTTGTGTGTTCATCTTAGAGGATGCTTTATAAAATTTAATATGGTTGAATCAATACCAGAAACAAGAGGCAAACCTAATAAACAGAATAAAGTCCACAACAATTAAGATACACAAATTTTAAGTCAAATAATTGTGACATGAAATAATCACGTTTCCTATTTCACCCACCAAAGAGCGAAACTCAAACTATATGAGAATCTCAAGTGCGTCCTGTGGGATATATCTATGAACCATGTAAACAACTGAGATGGAAGGTGTGTTTTGAAAGATGTAAAAAGTTTTAACATTTCTCTAGTATAAAGCAGTGAAGTATATAACGTTTAATCAAAACTCCCATTTTCCTTTTTAAATGAGCAAAATTAGAAGCTTTTTACCTTAATAACATTCCACTCCCTCACAAATTTCAGGGCTTCATAACTTGTGGGAAAATGCCATCTCAATTAATTGAATTTCAAAGGTCCTCTATTGTGAGAACACAAGGAGTCGTCTTCATATGCCAGGCACATAAGCAGGGAGAATGCAGTGGAGTATGAAGAGCTAATACTCTCGAATAAAAAGTAATCATGTGTGCAGGTTGGCAGCGTCATATATTTCCCTCAACATTACTTACAGGAGCACCTTTTTCTCCTGCTGGACCAGGAGGGCCCTGGGGGCCTGGACGTCCTGGCAAACCAATTGGGCCCGCTGTGCCTGCAGAGCCTCGCTCTCCCGGAGAGCCCTGGAACAAGAGAATGAGGATATCTTGTCATAATAGTTAAAACAGATACTTCCATACGAATCACTTGCTTAACAATGAAAATGTAATCTAGTAAAAAAATGTCAAGCTAAATGTGAGGGCATTTTAATAACTCAAGAAGTAGTTATACCTACCACTTGAGGGATGAAATGCTAATTCCAGTACCAAGTGCAGATGTTGACATTAAGCAACTTTGATGAAATGGAAGATACCCTAAAGTTCTCACTTTTGAGATGGGAGCTTTGAAAATCTGTCTTTACACAATGCTGGATAAATATGCATACATTGTTGAACCTTCCTTAGTTTACTTCTTGTATCATAAAGAATCAACATATCCTTCCCTACACTGTTTATTGCCTGAAGCGCTTTCTGGACTTCACATCAAAGTTCCCAAATATATGTTTTTCTAAATCCAAAAGTTGAGCTCACAAGGTCTCAAATATACACCATACAATAAAGTATGCTGTTGGCACAGACTTCGGAATTTTTGCTCAGAACCTGCAAATTTATCTTGGTCCTCTACTGACCACTGGCCTCATTAACAATATGAGACAACTCACATCTGATAAGTTTGTACAATTGATTTTGAAAAAAGATAACTTATGTACATTAATTAATTTGCTGTAAAATACACTGTAAATATTTAAAACATCATCTTAAAGTGACTATATTTATCTGAGGTAACAATTTAAGAAAATATTGAGTGTAGGAAATGTGAAATATACATATACTAAATTATGCACAGCTCAAGTAAAATCAGTTACAATATTCAATACTCTGCAGTCTTTGTGTTAGATTGCTAGATGAATCATTAAGCTATAAATTGCCATGTTATTTTATGATACAGATGGATCAAAGAAATATGATTTTTAGTATCTTTCCTTAAGTTAACATATACATATAAATAACATTTCAAAACACCTAATAGTGGTTATTAACAAAACATATATCTTATATTAGTAGTAATTGACTGACAAAAAAATTTCCATATATTGGTAATCTTATTAAGCAAATACAGTTTATCTAAATTGTTCTAATTTATATTTTCATTAGCTAAGGAATTAACGATACTAGATGAACAATGGTAACACAATCAAGAATTTGTAATTACATAGTACCTCACCACTTACCAATTGGTCATTTTTTCAATTTTCATTTTGGTTTCAAAAAATTCCAGGAGTATCATTTCTTTTTAAATGAGGGGCACTAACTTTGTAACCTCCTTCCCCACTCTCTGTGAGAAGCTTCCTATTGTTCTTCTCTGAGGACATCAATGCCACAATTCCCAGGCTACCCACCCCGGGATTCTTAGAATTTAATACCCACTCAATTTCCCTACGGTGTTCACTGATTGCAGATGATAGATATATGTGTTTCTTAAATTTCTCAATGTTAATTTGTTAAAAGTCTTCTGTGACATTGTACTTCTCATCCATGTATTTTATTTGTAGTCATTAAATTAAAAAGATTCAAATTTGATGTTATAGAAGAAAAAGTAACATGAAAATGTGATATCTTTTTCTCTTCTTTATTTTATGAGTAAATGAAGCATTTGATTTACTTTTTGTAACTGTGAGATATCAAAATTAAGGGAAAGAATTTTGAAGAATTTTATCAAAATTTCAACTGGATTTAAACAAAAAGGCATTTATAAGCTAGAATTACATGAAAAATCACATAAAATGTTTGTTATACTGCATAATAACCAATGAAGAACTGTGTGAATATTACCTGCTTACTAGTCAAGTGTTAGAAATCATAAATATGAGAACGCAACTGCAATAAAATAAATTTTTATTTAGTATTTTCTAAAATATATGTATGTGTGTGCATGTGTATATATTACACATCCTTATGTCTCTATTTCTCTCTCTCCCTCTAGATATATGTATATGATGTACATATGTAAATATATGTATGCATATATATGTATATATACAGGGTATGTATGTATACATACAGTATATATACAGGGTGTGTATGTATACATACAGTATATATACAGGGTATGTATGTATACATACACACATACACATATATATACAAATAAAATACATGGTTGTAGAAATGTCAACATAATTTATTAATGATGTGCATTTGTCTATTTACGAGTTATGTGGAACATTGGTCTTGGTTAAAACCTGAGTCACTCAATTGCCATTAATAGCAATTTGCCGAACTTTAATTGAATATTTATTTTCCCTAAAAGTTGTGGTCATAAAACATGAAGACATATGTGTCATACTAATTGACGTATCATTATTGACATGTGACTCATGGCTTTTATTTTGGGAAAAAATGTGTTTGTTGAAAGTAAACTCTGCTTAATATTTAAAAGTAAACTAAATATTTTATATAAACATTTTAACAGGTCTTAAGCAGAGATGGAATGCTGCTGTTTTGAGTCTAAGGAAGTGTGCAGAGTGTGTAGATATTATATGTTATTATTAAAAAGGAAACTATTTTACTTTCTGCCTTAAAGCATTCCGAAGATTAAATTTCAGATTATCATCTTGCTTTTGGAAGCTGCATTAAAATTAATAACAAAATATATTACTTTTCTGTAGTTAAAATATTTCTCATGATCTTGTCAGATTTCATCAGCATTAAGACAAATGATGAGAAGGCAAAGAGGCTTGTCAGTGTATACCTGTGCCCTAAGGTACAGTGGCAATTCCCTCTTTTTCCTTGTTATTACAGAAATTCCATAAGCCTGTATATCTGTAATAATGGAATGCTCAGCACTGATTTTATTTTATCCACCAATAAATGTAAAATGAAAATCTCTGATGGTGCCTGTTGATTAAACAAATGATGTAGAGTGAAGTTGAGAATCTTAAGTCTTCGACCAGCTTTGAACAAACAAAACTTTCCAGTCTTTCACTCACAACTGAAACACTGGTAAGGCAATCTCTTTCTTTTCTTTGAGCTTCAGCTCAATTTTAGAAGAATTTTTTATGCATTTAGCATGAATAAATTGGGATTCTGTGCTCATGTAATACATTCTAGGAAAACTATGTAATATAATAGTTCCTACCATTGGGAAACTCATTTTCAAGCTTAATATCTTCATAAAACTTAGGTATCTAAACTGATTAAGAGAAAATTTGAATTTGTGTATAGTAAATATAATTACTTTTGTGTAGTAAATAAAATTATTATATTGACAGTTATGTATAAAATAGACATATAGATTAAAATGAGAAATTGATAGTGCTCACAAAGGCAGGGATTTCCACTCATTTTTTCCAATGACAAAGCACTTGTGGCAGTTACTGGCACAAGGCATTTCATAAATAAATGTTTGCTAGTGTGAGCCTTCTCTTTCCAGCCCTGGAACCAATAGTTCTGATCTTGACCAAATTCTCTATGGCTCATTTTTTCATCAATAAAATATGGGAAATAGACTCTGATTAGTTTCTTGAAATGTTTAGTATTGGGATGTACCTAAAGATAAAATATGAAAACAATGAATTGATTTTTGATAATTATGCCTAGGTATGTCTATGAGTAAAAGACACACATAAACTTTAGTAGCTATAAAGCTGAAAGTGAAGAAGAGACATCTAAGATTAGGAGGTTCTATTGTGCCACTAAGTTTACATTGTTAGATAGGCAGAGCTTATTCCATATAGCATTATTGTGTCCTTGTGTCCTGACCAGCAATGGCAGTATATCAGAAATGCTAAACTGGAAAGAACATGCTGAAAAACCTAAAAAAACACAGAACTATCATTTTTGTAATTTTTGAGTTAGAAAGCAAGGTTTCACAAAGGTTGTTTCTCTTTCCTTATTCCTACAAACAGTGTTCCATACTAAAAATATTTTCTTACGCTACTAAATATAAAAAGAGAGTATGCTTTCCACATTGTGAAGATTAAACCTTCTATTCAATTTATTTCTTTAATGTTATCTTTCCCTATTTCTGCAACCCATCCCCTTAAATGTCCCAACATCTCCCTAAAATCCTTTAATGGTAACAAGACAGGAAGCTACGGCATTAGTGTGCATCTTGGGATGGGTGAGTGTAGAGAAACAGCCCGGGCTGTTTCCCTAACCGTTGCACAGATGAGGACAGTAAAAACATATATTTATATCAGTTTCTTTCATTATTCCTTTCATATTCTAGGGAGATTTTTGTAAAGCTATGAAAGCAGAAAACAGACAAAACATCTCATTAGCATTCAGTGTAAATGGAGCTCACTGAGGAAAAACAGAAACACAAGCAAGTTCTTGTGTTACAAAGCTATCTATGTAGAAAACAAAAATGTGTATTTCCATATTTTTAAGGCCAAGGTGACCTTCATTTCAACACTTGAAGTGAAGTCATTACACTCTCCTAATGATATACTTTAAATCATACAAAATAAAAGTCCAGATGGAGCATCAAGCATTGCTAGAATTTGAAGTGTAAACTCTGATGATCATCTCCATGTTTTGTACTAGTGCTGCAATAGTTTGTCATTGGTCCTGGCCACATTCTGTGACTAAAGACCAATCCTCCTTGGGTGTAACAGCTTGTTCTTGAGAAGCGGGACACAAGAATCAAGAGTCATCAGTGCAATCATTCCAAAATTTCTATTTCGCCCTCTGAAAAATGAACAAAATACAATGGAAAGAAACCTCTCAGGAATGAAGGGTAAAGAAGGGAGAAGAAAAAGGAACTATGACAAAAACATGCAAGCTATTGAAGAAATGACAAGAAGAAATAACTCACAAAGGAGGGAATAGAATCTGAAGGCTTAGTAACAAAAGAGTAATCGATAGTGACGGGGTAGAGTGCATTGTAAGTTTGTAAAATGTTGGACATTATTTGGGAAATTTGGGTCTCCTTCCTCTTATATGCTTTCTCCATATAAAGAACGTTCCACCACAGCCAGAACAACAAAACAACAACAAGCCCATCAGTCAGTAAATAAAATAATATATAATTATTAAATTAATTAAAAATATAGAGGGAAGGCTTTTGACAGTCTTCATGCTTCATTTAGTTAAATGCTAGTTTTGAAGGTTTTATTTTTAATTTTTTTTAATGTGTGTGGTGTGGGTTTGTGCAAGCGAGTTCAACAATGACTTCAGAGGCCACAAAAAGGTGGTGGATGCCCTGGCGTTAAAGGTTAAAGGCTGGTAAATTAAAATTGTTTAATACTGTCAAAAATCACAGTGATTTGAGTAACATGAGGGTGTCAAAACATCATATGGTAGAAATTAAGGGGCGATAAGGATAATGACCTGGGTAGCCCATTGTTACTAGGATCACATAATGAACATGATTTGTCAACCATGATTAGTAAGTTAATTTTGAAGGCAGTATGGACCCACAAGTGTGGTTCAATCAGATCATGGCATAGTTAGAGAAGTGTATTAAACTGAAATTCTACTCCCAATGACAAAAGGACTGTTAGAGGATGGGTAGCAAAATGAACGGAGTCAAGGAGAAGCGTTACCATATTGTTAGGAAGAGAACAAAGAGACTAAACAGAGGATATTGTAGCAGAAATGATGAAGTCATAAGCAAAATACTATAAAGTGGTTAGCATGGCTCCAGTCTGCCCTGGATAGAAGTTGTGAAGAGAGCTAAGAAAATGTTCAGTTCTATAAGCAGGGGAAGAGGATTAAATGAGAAAAGGCTTCTAAATATGGCATTTTGTATGCTATAGTGATATTTCAGAGCATTGCTGAGAACAGAGGGGGCATGAAAAACATGAGGGCCATACTCTGTTTCTCAGTTGAGTTTACACGGAATTCAGGAATAAATGTGAAGCCAAACCCTGATGCTTGCTCATTGCCAATTATTTCATGATGTTACAGAAATGTGTGACAATCACTACTAGCATGGGAAATGACATTATTTTTCATTCTTATTTGATAATTTTATATCACAGAAAAATTCAAGTCTCATCAAGTACTTAATTCAGACAGAACACGTATGTGAAATTGAAGCTTATTTTATGACTAATTATTAAAGGAGGGGCTGAATAAGAAAACAAATTCAAACCACAACCTTTCCAGGTTTTTTCCTATTCATGACATTATTGTACTTACCATTGTGATTTATTTCATTGAGAACAGTAAGAGGTATAGACAGTTCCGTATCTCCTGCCAGAGCAAATCTTTCCAACCTCCTAAACCCTTGTGCTTCTGCACTCGTTAGTGCCTGCAATTAGCAGAAACCTGGCATTGAGTGCTTTGATTGACACATGTTTATTTTCTCTTCCACACACCTTGGGATCCCAGCATGAGAGTAATAACAGGAGAGCTGTAATTTGCAACTATGGATAGCGTGGCTATCTATTATCATCATACTTACAACTGGACCCTGTGGGCCCTGGGGACCTTCTCCTCCTTTCAGTCCAGGTGCGCCCTGATAAAAGTGAAAAAAAAAAACAAAGCAATTGAATACATATAAAGTGACTATTAATAGGCACTGTGTGACTGACAAAATGGAGATGACAGGAAGTGTTTTCTGAAGGCAACACACGCAGGGATATACATGTATATTAAGATAATGAAATGCATAGATTTATATATAGCTCCTTATTTACTCATGACTCTGAGTAAAAATTTCATCCATGTGCTTTACTTATATGTTGAGCATACCTGGGCTCCAGGAAGGCCTCTTTCACCTGGGAAACCACGTATTCCTGCTGGTCCATCTTTCCCTGAGATACCTTGAGGACCTGGGTCACCCTGAGAGATAAAATACATACCATTAGCAAAATGTAATTTCTACACAGTTTCTATGAACAAAATGGTGAGTATCTCTCATCTCACCCTTACTTAAAGACAATATGCATCATTTAATTAAAAGGTTGTCATTAGGAGTGCCATACATATTAAAATACTGATACCCAGATGTAAGGGTATTATACAAACTGGTGATATTATGGTCAATGAAATGATTCTTGGGCTATTATTCAGTAATGTCTTGAAATACAGTAACCTTACACTAAATATCACCATGGCAAATTGTTCTGACATTGAGTAGTATGGAAACGCATAATACACATGTATAGTGGATGAGGAGTACATAGAGGTTTTGAGTAAGCGAATGTCCTTGATCTTGCTGTACCTTTGCACCTTCTTTCCCTGCAGCACCAGGAAGTCCTTGCTCACCAGGAGGACCAGGAGGTCCAGGATGCCCACGTTCACCAATTGGACCTGTCTCACCAGTCGGTCCCTGAATCAGACAAGTAAAGCCATATTAGAATGTCCTGTCACGTTTGCCACATCAATAGAAAGCAAACTCAAAGATTACTGTTCTTCACAGGATTATTTTCCTTTATTTTCATGATGCATAACAAAACACTTCCTGGAAGTTAATGAAAGTAGTATATGCAGCAAGTGTTTGAGAAGCTTATTGCAGTGTTGGTGAGAATAGCCAGAAGTGCCAGGGAACTGTATGATGTATGCAAGGAGAGTTTCCTTGCTCAAAACTAGAACTGCTTGAGAGGGAAGCTAGACCAACTACTCTTTAAAACTTTATGTTATAAATGATAGTTTCACCTTATTCCTCTCTTTATACAAGGTGTCAAATCTGCTTTACAATATTGAGACACTGATGCCACTCTGGTGGGTACTCAAGGAGTCACTCATTGCTTTGATAATAAATCAAAGTCTCTTGGACCCCCCCAAAAAATGAGCAGTTTTTTTTTCCATTTCCCTGACCCAGCAACCCCCATACAAACAGTTAATTCATATTCACTTGACAAAGTCTGAGGAATAAAGCTAAGGGGTCCCAGAGTTTAGTCCTTGAGTTTGTCCTGGAAGCTGTACTAAAAAACCAGCTGCCTGAAGGGACAGCAAATGCTGAGGGGAAATGCCAGGTTCTCTGTGTGCCCCCTTGTGGGTGCTGTTTGAAAGGCTGGAGTATGATAAGCCTCCAGTGTAAAAAGGGAATGGTGACCTGTTGCACTATGCTGCCACAGCAGAATGAACGATTTAAGTTAAACACATATACTGAGAACAATCCTAGCGTCTGAGACTCTTTGAAAGTGGAACACATTACTGCAGTTGCTTGTGAGACAGCATCCCCTGTGTTTTATTAAAAATACATCACGTTTCCATGTTCTGGACATGGGTAAAGAGACACGTCCCCTCTTTTTGCACACATTTCCAGGTCTAAGTTCCTTTGTCTGTAATGACTGAAACACTTTAGCTTATTGTTAATGTGCAAACACTTTTTCCACAAAGGCATTCTCAGCTACATAATGAGTTTAAAGCTAGTCTGGATGCTCTGAGACATTAGTCTTAAGCCAAACCAAACCAAAATAATAATAATAATAATAATAATAATAATAATAATAATAAATAATAATCACTTTACTAAAAATACACCAATTTAAGTCAGCTTAGTAAAGAGAAAACATAAAAAAAAAATAAAATAAAATATGCTAGAAGAATAAAAAGACATACCTGAGGTCCAACCACACCTCCTGGCCCAGGGGGACCAGTCTTGCCTTGAAATCCCTAAGAAAGTAAAGAACAATCTATAAAAGCTATAGGTAGGATAAAGCAAAAATTAAAATTCTGCAATATAATTGAAATACATGTTAAATGAAAGTTTAATTTTGGCTAAAAATTAATTCTTTTCAAATGTAATGAGTTATTGTATTGGTTCTTTATAAATGTCCAAAATATTATATTTTCATTTTGCACATTATAGTGAAAGTATTATTTTAAATAAAATAAAAGACGGGGTTATGATGAATATGGAACAAAATTGTGTTCTTTTCACTGTTCTACCTCATCCAGTAACATATAGAATTTTAGCCAAGCAAGATTTATGGATGATATGTGAAGGAGTTCTATATTCTTTAAGATCATTAACTGATTATACATAAAGTTTTGACAATCTCTTAAGACAAAATATAAAATATATTTAAAAAGATAATACATTTCATGACTAATAATCCTATCAACTTTATCAATATTCTTCCCTAGAACACAAAAGAATAGTTACAAGTACACTTTGCAAATAATCTGATCAATAAATATATCTGGTCAATGTGAGCAGTGAGTGCCCACTGAATCAGGCTTTGGGAATATATTCTGGGATCCATATTTTTCCAGGTTCATGGATTATTTTTTCCATGGGATTTTATTATGATAGATTTCTTTTGTAAGTCATATAATCTACGTTATAGATTGAGGAAATAAATACAAAAACCTGAAGAGAAAATCTGAATTTTTATTATTGCAGTTGATATTACAGGGAAAGGAAGTACATTTCTCCTCTTTTTAAATTTGATTTAAGACCAGTAGATGTCTACTTGTGCAATCCTCTTCAATGGCAAGACCAAGTTGTTTAAAGAAAATTATCAGAGAATTTATTTATCATTTTATAATTTTAACATTGAATCAACTGGTGAGTTTGAAAATCTATGATCAAACTACGTGCTATGCACACTCACATGTAAACACATCTACATATGTGTACACCATATGCATGAGTATTCATATAGTATATGTGTATGTACAAATGTATATATATATATACATATATATATGTATATATATATCCACATATACTTAATACTTCCTGCATTATGTCAACAACCTCTATTACTGCAATTATATCCCCATGCTGGTATACTCTTTCATCTGCCCCAGACTATTTAGAAATTGCTAATCTGTGCTGAACTCTGCTCTTTCTCAATAGGTCTCAACCGGACATTACCAATGGTGTCTGGTGCCATCTCCATCTCAGCATGGAGATAGATCCCTTGCTGTGATTCTCTAGTAATGTTCCTCCTTGGTGACACATGGATGCTATCAATAATACTTTTATTAATAAAGCACCTTCAGTTCCTAGGCTTTCTTCAATCTTCACATAAAGCCTATTGCATCATGGGAGAAAGTATTTAACATATAACTGTCTCTTGATTGCCCTAGTAGACATTCAAGCTGTATCCAATTCTTGCCTTGATGACTTCAGACTTTAAATCCGGTTTACCCACTTGTCTACATTACCCAGAACCACTATCTCAAACCAGCAAATCTAATCAACTATTTCGATACATATATTATCAACCCACATCAGTGAGAATTTTTCTCACAATATCAGCCGAGGCAGCTACTAAGGTGTGTCTTTTCTTTGGAAGTGGCCATAGGTTTGAACCCCATTGATCTTGCCTCTCTCTCTCTTAAACAGCCATAGCTACCTGTTTGAATTTACCCATTCCTTAGGTCTACATTGCCTTCTTCTGATCAATTGAGTTTGATGTGAAGGGAAAAAAAATGCAATTCTGACCTTTAAAAAACATGAAGGATTTGTCTTAGTAACTGCAGGAACATGAATGGTACACAAAATTAATAGAGTAACAACTTATTACAATGAATTCATTAACATCAATGCTCCACTGAAGAAAAAATGGAGAACTGAAAAACTTACATACAAGTAGCCACATGGCTGCTAGCTCAGTAGTAAGAATGATGGTTATAGAGAGAGCTGGAAGATAGTACTGTCCACATTCCTGCCCATACAAAAAAATCGGAGCATGTGCAAATATCTAGTGAATTTGACATTAGAATCATATAAATAAAATAAAATTAAGAAAATTATTATAATTCAGAGTGGAATTTTCTTACTTCATAATGCCATACTATAAAACTGCATTTGTTTTAATTTTGGAATATTTTAGGTTAAGTTAATGCTTTCTCCAGAGTCTCTGGAAACCAGAGAGAATCTAGTGTAATGCCCGACAACATATATTTTCTATTCTGATAATATCAAAAGGAACTTAATTCATTTTATGGACAATACTGGATTCTACAGTGGCCCTCATATGAATTTGTGTGTTTTCAAGATACACAAAAAAAAACCTATTAATAGTTTTTATTGGGCAACCACCATCACAACAACCAAAAGGCTTCAAAATATAAGACATCAAAATTTATTCTGAAGGATTTTGACTGGAGATGAATTTCAAATATAACAAAATAATTTCTTCTTTGAAATAAGGAAACACATATACTACAAAGTATATCCACTCTCGATTCAGAATCTTCTGCAGGAAACCTTTGAATTATAGTCAACAAGAAAAAAGTTGAAGGAAAACAGTTGATTTCTAGCTATAGGGTTGTTCATTGATCTCTTAAAAGTAGAAATTATGACATAATTTCTCAAAACTAACTCTGTCTGCCTATGAGAAACTACTAGATAGAAACTTGCTCGAAGTACTACCTAACAAATTATTTTTCTTCTTGTTTTACATTTTAATGTTTTATATAATATGGGCTTTTTTGGAAAAAGCAAGTACTTTTAAAATTAATTCTTTTGGGAATTTCATACAATATATTTTCATCATATTCAATGTCCCACTTTTGATTAAATTTAGAAATGAGGGGAATCGTAATTATTAATTCTCTAGTTATTGATTCTTCAAAAGACATGTTAGAAGCATGCTGGCATTTTCCTAGAAGTTCCATGACTTTGGTAAAAATGTGGGCTGCAGGATTTGAATGAGAATGTCTTTGCAAATTTGAGTGTGAGTTATTTTCATAGATTATTGCCCTTGCTCTGGAAATACCATTCCAAGAGTAAATTTTATTCTTTGATCCCGGTATGTATTTCTTGATTTGCTTTTGGAAAAATTAGACTGCAAGTTTCAGATAAAACTAATACTTTATAACCCAAGAATTGTGACATGGTGAGCAAAATAGGAATCATACTGCTGTTGATGGAGTGCTTCCCATGGGATGAAATTAGTAAACAGTTCAGCATTTGTGAAGATGTATTGCAGTGCAATTCTAAATATGTTTTAATGCTAACAGAATGCAGTAAAGGGGATTACAACAAATAGTCAATGGTAGTTTGTGTCCTGGTTTCCTCAAGAAAAATGAATAAAATTAACTAACTGTGAGATCCAATGATTGATTCCAAGGAATCATGGCCAGCAGTGAGGATTTCCGATTAATATAACAACCTACTGAGCTAGACAGATGGGGAGTTTAAGAGTAGCAAAATAAGCAAATAAACAAACACAACAGCCCACCAGGGGACCTTCATTTTCCCTCTGCTCATGAATCCAACATAGGGTGAGCTGTTCAGTTAAATTACAGTTGTATTTCCTACTAATTTTTTAACAAATCTAATTATAATTTTCAACTTTTTTTCCTATTAGACAAGAAGCTTACATTCAAGTCAATTATTTCCTTACAGTTCCCATTTCAGAAATTATCTCATCCTCTAAGACTGGCTTATAGTAATACATTTTCCTGAGATGAGTGAACACTGGGGGGTCAAGTGAGGTGTAGCTGTAAGGAGACTGAAATGGATGGATCCAGGTGGCATCTTGTGGGGGTATCCCAGGCATGAGACCATCTCTATCAGTTCATCCTTAAATGCTGCTGGTTGCTACAATAAGGACCATAATAACAAGCATTCTATTTATGTAAAGACAAGGTTAACACTTGGGTCTAATTATGGTTTTGGTAAAATATTTTAATAAAAAAGCTCAATAGCAGCATATGGGAACAGATGCAGAGACCCACGGCCAGACGTTATTCGGAGAGAGAATCTAAACGGGAGATCTCCATCAAGGTCTTCGTCTCAATACTCAGGGAATCCTATGGAGATTGGAATAGCCAGAAGGGCTGGAGGAAATCAGGAAAACAAGGCCCTCTGACTCAGCTAAGCAAGGCACATACGTGCTTACAGCAAGCACAGGGCCTACATGGGTCTGCACTAGGTCTTCTGAGTATGTATTATGGCTATTCGTTTAGTGTTTTTACGGGACTCCAACTGTGAGAATGAGTGGGTCTCTGAATCTTGTCCCTACTCTTGGGACTCTCTTCCTTCTGTTGGGTTGCCGTGTCAAACTTCAGTGTGATAGTGGTTGCTTTATCTTGTTATATTTGATTTTGTAATGTTTGGTTGTCATCTCTGAGAAGCCTGTTCTTTTCTAGTGAGAAACAGAAAGTCAGTGGATCCAGAGGAGAGAAAGGAGGAAAGGAACTGGAAGGAATAGAGGGAGGGGAAACTATATGATATATTGTATGAGAAAATAAGAGGAGGGATTGTATGAGCGAGAATTGTTGAGACCAAGGTTGGATAAAGCACAGGGACAAATAGCCAAACTAGTGGAAACACATGAACTCTGAACCAATAGCTGAGGGGTCCCTAAGTGGATCAGGCCCTCTGGATAAATGAGACAGTTGATTAGCTTGAACTGTTTGGGAGGCACCCAGGCAGTGGGACTGGGAACTGTCCTCAGTGCATGAACTGGCTGTTTGGAACCTGGGGCCTATGCAGGGACACTTTGCTCAGCCTGGGAGGAGGGGACTGAACCTGCCTGGACTGAATCTACCTGGTTGAGCTGAATCCCCAAGGGAATCCTTGCCCCTGGAGGAGATGGGAATGGGGGTTGGGCTGGGGGGAGGGCGGGGGGGGGGGGGCAGGAGAAGGGAGGACAGGGGAATCCGTGGCTGATATGTAAAATTAAATATATATATATTTACTTTCACTAAAAGAAAAAAGTTAATTACAGTGGGGAGAAGGACGAGTACAATAAAACTGAGTGAGCTATTACTAGTAAAATAAAGCTAAACATGACACAGCACAGAAAAAAAGAAAGAAATTCACTAGTTTTCAGCTGGCAATTTAACTGTTAATAATAACACAGGTTTTTATGAAATTGTGTTCTCTGAGGGCGAATTTCATTCTAAAAAAAAAATTTAAAACAATAAACACAAAAAAATGAGCCACTTACAGTCTCTCCACGCTGTCCAGGGTGTCCTGGTAGTCCGTCCTTCCCAGCAGGGCCCTGTGATAACAAACATTAAATACCCAAGTCATAAATAATTCTCACATGATGTTATAGCCCATGGGTAATGTAGAAAACAATCATCTTGTATTTCATAGCAAATTTCATTTTGATGGTTTTATTTTTTAAATGGTGGTATTTAGTGGATTTGATATACTTGTTTGTGAATTGCCTTCTTAATGAAAAACAGAGACAATGGAAAATCTGTAAAACTATTCAGAGCACTTTGCACATCAATGAAACTTTTTCATATGCTTCTGTATGTTAAAAATATATATGCATACGTTCATAGTTTTAGTTTAACAAAACAGTAGTTTCTCAGTGCTTGAAAATAAAAGGTGTTTTCCCTGTTTCCTGTTTTAGAGATCCTTCACAGCTCCATTCCAAGTAAAAGAAAATGCGAGTGAAAGGGAAAGCGAGTGCCCTCTAGTGGTTATGGAATATCTGACAAAAATGAGAAAGAAATGCAAACCTGTAAAACCATCACCAATTTACCCTTCTTTAAGTTAAAAAAAAAAAAAAAAAAAGTTCAATTCTAGAAGTCATCAGGAATAATTATTCCTTTAAGTTTCCTGATATATCCTTCAAGATGCAAAATACTTATGAAATACTAGGGAAATTTTTATTACATTATTGCTTTCTGCAAAGGGGCTGTTTACCACGTTTCAAGAAAGAACTGAAGAAATTAAGTAAATACTTACAAAAGGCAATTCTGTAAGGTTCCTACATTCTAAATACTTAACAGAGAATAACCGATTCTTTCAATAGTCTTATAGATTATACTCCTAAGAAGCTATTCCACATCAGTTCATTTTTCAAAACATATTTAGTAGGGACATACAAACATTCTCTCTATTCTAAATAAATGCAGATAGACATTTTAATTTTTTTAATGACAGGCACATCACCCCTCACTACTGTTAATTATTTAAATAATGTTGTTTTCAAAGATCTATTTTTATATATGCTAATATGGAGCCAGTTTGAACAAAAGCCGTTGACTCAAATCAGAACACTTCCATGGGTGTCTTTCTTCCACTTTGATGAGATTTCTAGAGTGCCTGGCATGCTTCCTGGCTGCTTCTGTCAATGTTCTGAACCATGTCTGCTACCTGACCCATTCCATTTCAACACAGAGTATGCTGTGCGAATTACCAGACTTTATTTAAAATCTGTGATTGTAGCCGGGCGGTGGTGGCTCACGCCTTTAATCCCAGCACTCGGGAGGCAGAGGCAGGTGGATCTCTGTGAGTTCGAGGCCAGCCTGGACTGCCAAGTGAGTTCCAGGAAAGGCGCAAAGCTACACAGAGAAACCCTGTCTTGAAAAACCAAAAAAAAAAAAAAAAAAAAAAAAAAAAAAAAAAATCTGTGATTGTGACAGTTCATACAATCAAGGCTTGCTGAATGTTTTATTTTCTTGATGTCTAAGATCAGTGTGGTGATTCCACTGTCAACCTCCCCCAGAAAGCAAAAATTGAGAGTTATTAACAAAAGGCCCAAAACATTTTATAAAATAACTGTAATTTTAAAACCATATGTCAATTATCTCTGCATTAGCCATTAGGTGTTTAGTAATAAAGTATGCAGTTTTGTCTAAAGCTTAGCAAGACACAGAAACATATAGTTAATTGCTGGTAGATTGGTCTAGATGCAGCGTTTCAAAACAGCAGACTAAAACACTTCCCATACTGCCTCTGTTTTAACACAGATGGAGTAAATGTGTTATTAATCTGAGGCCATTATAAAGTTTTCAGACTAATAGGATGTTACGTGAAGGACAACACATGTACCTGGCTTCTTCCCCCAGGACACTAAAATACCATCAAATATGTGCATAGTAATCAGTGCAAGACCTGTGCATGATTCTAATAAACCTAAAAGTATAAGCAGTAAGCACCCCACTCTTTACTGGTACAAATTATACTTAAGTTTCCAAAATGATCATCCTTTGAAATGGTGATCTTAGCTCTAAACGATACTATCTTAAAATGAAATCACAATGACTTTTACTGAAGTTCCTAGATAGTCTGAGGAATAGAGTTAATGGGCCAAAGAGCACCAGGCTTTCCTTGAATTAAGTATGAATGTCAGAAACATGCAATTAATCTGAAATAACTGTTTTGAATCTATACTACTAATCAATAAAATAAAGCCAACTAATTTCCCAGCACGTTCATGACACTTATTTTAAAATAACTATTTTATTCATCAAAGGAGGATGCTCCTTCAATAGACTTGGAAGAGGAACAAAGGGGCAAACTCATCTACGTGAAAATTGATATATTCATCATGGTCTCTGTGACAACACAAGTAACTGCTTAAAGATGTTTGCTTCTTCTTAATTGACACTGAGCAATGTTTTTTTTTTAAAAAATAAGATTTCTCTCATGATAGTCATGTTAAAAATTTTAGTATTTCCTAAATTAGATAACTATATAGCACTGAAATATGGTAACATTGTCATTAGATAGCTGTGTTTGGTTGATTCTTAGCCTGGAATTCCAATATTTGGGAGGCAGAGATAGGAAGAAATCCAGGAGTCTGGGAATTCCTATTAGAGTGTTGAGACCACATCATGAAAGAAAGAGCGAGAGAGAGAAAGAGAGAGAGAGAGAGAGAGAGAGAGAGAGAGAGAGAGAGAGAGAGAGAGAGAGAGAGAACAGAGGAGGGAGGGAATAACCAACCAAACACAAACCTCAAAAAACAGCAAACAAAAGTCTAAAACTGACATGAGATTTACAGATTCTGAATGAAAGATTCCAAGCCCAGAATCTGTGTGTTTCTACATAATACTCTAAGACAAGGTGAAATAATTAATTATAAAAATCATCTAAATACATTATACCAAAATACTTATGGAAATGCTCACAAACAATGTGCATGTATCAGTTTATGAACTATGGTTTCACTTTGATATGAAACTTTACACAGCGTTTACTGTTCGCTTAAACGAAATACAGAGAGCACATAAAAATTTACATAGAAGCGGAGGACATTCTATTTTCATGTCAGCTATTTGACCTGTTCTTCAACTCTGGGAACAGACGAAATTGTTTCTTGATATGTGTAAAGTGATAAACAGAACTGTTTAGTTTAAAAAGCATACTCATACTTCTGCATCTGAAATTACTGCAAAAGGTAAGATACAGTGTCTGCATTTAACATTTCGTTCATGCTGCTATTTCAAGATGAGTAATTTATCAGAAAGCCTTATGTAAATGTTAAAGTCTGAGGAAGACTGTCTAGCCTAGATTACAGTAATGGTTCAAAAACATTTGCATTGTTCAGAGAATGTGGAAGGTCTGTTGAACCATGGCTGAGGCCTTTCTCCTGAGTCTTTAAGAAGATTACATCTTGAAAAATGTGCCAGTGTTGCTGGTGCTGGGAAGAGAATGTATTTTAGAGCCTCTGCAACAAACAGGTGCATAAATTCATTATAACTCACATTGAGAGAGAGAGAGAGAGAGAGAGAGAGAGAGAGAGAGAGAGACAGAGAGACAGAGAGAGAGACAGAGAGAGAAACAAGTGAACTGGTACTACCTGACATTTAAGTTTGAAAATAGTATTTCAGTAACTTTGTGAGGACTAATAATGATAACATTCAAAACAGCACTGAACTAAGACGACTTTATAAAACGTTCTAAGAATCTACCGCAGCCATGCAGTAATCCTAAATTCAGGGCCCAGAAGTAGATAGATATCTGTGAATTAGAGGCTAGCCTGGTCTATATATTAAGTTCAAGCCACCCAGGGATACATAGTGTGAAATTAAAAAACAAATACATTATAGAAATAAAACAGAAATAAAAATCTTTATGTGGTTTTTGAAACACCAGAATGTTGGAATGGGTTTAGGGAGTGATTACTGAAGAGGCATGGAAGATTCCATTTGATTACAGAAGATAGCAGGAAAATTCCAACAAATCTTGTATGCCCTATTTAGCAATTATTTTCAATTTTATGAATGATATTGATTGCAAAGTGATTGAAAAATAACAATTATATTATTCTAGTTTTTATTTAAGATATTGCTTAACAAGAGACATTTAAATTATGTTCCAAAAACATATATGAACTTAAAACACTGAATATGCATTCTCTGATATTTAAATTCAAATTTATTTTGTAAGAGTTTCTTACAATATTTACATTTTGAAAGCAAGGACACCACAAGAAAACCCATAGAAACAACTAGAAGCTCATAGGAGCTCACAGAGTCTGAACTGAAAAGCAGGGAGTCTTCATGGGACTATATATTTGTGACAGTTGTGTAGCTTGGTCTACTGGTGGGACTCCTAACAGTGGAAGAAGGGGCTGTTCCTAATGCTTTGGCAGGCTTTTGGGAACCTATTCCTCATACTGGGTTGCCTTGTCTAGCCTTAATACAAGGGGAGGAGCTTACTGCTAATGCAAATTGATATGCCATGCTTTGTTGACACCCATGGGAGGTGTGCCTCTTTCTGAACAGAAACAGAGGATGAGAGGAGGGAAGGGAACTGCAGTCAGGATGTAAAAGTAAGAAATAAACTTTTTTTTTTAAAAAAGTGTTAAAATTGCAAGCTATGACTGTCAAGCATTAAAATATTATCGAATAAATCAAAAGAGAATGTGTTCTACTTACAGGAGGGCCTTTCGGTCCAGGGAATCCAACTGGACCCTGAGGTCCTTGAGGGCCCTGAGAATAAAAAGCAGCAGAGAAAATTTAACAACAAACTTTCAAGAATACATCTTCATATTTTGCAGTTCATTTGTTCAGACAAGACACTGGAGGATTGAATTTCACCCACTTCAGTCATGAAAGCATGACAATATAATAGTGTGGTCCTAACAAATTTTAACTATGTGAAATTGCTCATCACACCAATGTTCTTATCTCAAGAGCACTTGACTATTTAGAGTTCATATAAAATGCTAATATTCCTAAATAAGACATTTATACATCCCCCAAGGGTTCAGGGGATATTGAAGAAGAGAGGAGAGGAAGTAGACTCACCACAAACAATTATTAACAAGCACACATTACTGGCTTTTTCAACAGTCAGTCATAAAAGGCGGGTGGACTCACAGGAAGGTGCTATCCTTTACCACTGAACTGCCAGCTATTAATGGAATCTGGGAGATTGGAATCCACTGTCTTTACACTGTACCCACTGCTGAGTCCACCAGGCTCAAACAGACAGCTCCAAACCAAGGGTCACATAGATACCCTAGTTAATGTCAATGGGTTACAAAATAAAACACAGACATGGAGGTGAGACAGAATTGTAGGGAGAATGGGGTGATAAACGATGGTGAGAGGGAGAAGTGAAGAGAGTGTGGAAGAGTGGTCAGTACCTCGTGTGCTGATGTGAACTTGTCTAAGAGCAAATTAAGTTAATTAAAAAACCATTACAGCCGGGCGGTGGTGGCGCATGCCTTTAATCCCAGCACTCGGGAGGCAGAGCCAGGCGGATCTCTGTGAGTTCGAGGCCAGCCTGGGCTACCAAGTGAGTTCCAGGAAAGGCGCAAAGCTACACAGAGAAACCCTGTCTCGAAAAACCAAAAAAAATAAATAAATAAATAAAAAATAAAAAACCATTACATAAAAGAACAGTAGAGACTATCCATCTGTACTGAGAAGTATCATAGCATTCACACTTTTAGTATTGGTTGGAAACATTTATGGAGGAAGACACTAAAAACAAGGTCGACAGACCTCCAAAATGACAACTGCAATAGACTCCAAGAGAGTTCTGTCTCTGGTAATACACAGCTAACAGGGACATATGCAATCATCTCTAAAGCACCACATACTCTTATCCTCATCAAATAAGCTTTGGCAATAATTCTATCCTTTGTCAGCTCTGCTCCCTGCATTAGACCCTTTTGTAGACAAGATAAGATTAACTTTATAATTATTCTTATTAACATTCTACCCCAATATGCATTTATAGTACTATTCCTAGCTTGATACATAATTAGTTATATTATTCAGGTTCTTATTTACATACCCTTAAAATGCATAAAGTACTTCGAGTCATAGTGATTGTTTTGGTATCAAAGAATGGATCAGTAAAAGTTAAGCCTATACTTGACAAACACATATCTATAAAATGAAGACATATAAAATGGGATATACTATATATGAAATGTCTTATGTAATAAAACAAATATTATTTGTTTCCAAAGCAAAAAAAATAGCTTGCTGAAGTGGAACTTCAACATACTTTACTTTTTATGTTATCAGTTTTGGCTTCACAAGGAAAATTTCATTACCATTTTAATCCAATGCTACATCACAAATAAGTATAACCTTTTGCTATTGCCAGCAACTATCTTAAAATCTAAAGAAAATTTCAGTGTATTCATATAGTTTTAAAAAATGTTATGAAATTGCCAAATACTGAGATAATATTAATAATTAATAATTTATTCTCTTAAATCATAAAATCATTATTCTTTAGCATCTACATAAGAATTAATTTTTTAAAAAAATTCATTAAAAGACTAAAATTTTTATTTAGTTCATAATGTTTTTGTAAATTTCAATACACAGCTAATATATTTACAGTATTTTATCCTCCCTATTCTCCTTTCAACTTCTTGCATTTAAAGCACATGACCTCTTCTATAATCACCAATATAGAGGCACACTCACATACACAGGCATGCACATAAACCTACTGAGCCCATTCAGTGTTACTCTTGTGTACATGTATTCAGGACTGGCCACTTGAGACCATATCAAGAGAAAAAAAGGAGTTGAGGAATTTGCTGTAGGACATTGTGACAAATAAATAAATTAATTACTTAACAAAATGCTACTGTGTGTGGAAAGGAAGAAGGAGTTATGGATAAAGAAGGTTAGGTCAAAAAAAACCAAACTATGTTTTGCAATGTCATAAAGAAATCTAATATTCTACATGCTAATTAAAAATTAAATTAAAATATACATATACTAAAAGAATACATAACATTTAAAATTGCTGCCAGTAAACGGGGAGATAATATGGGTATGTATGCCATTTACCACATACAAGAGCAGTAATATTTTCCCCCTATGTAGAAAATGCATACTTGGATAACTTTATTGTAAATGAGTCATTCTAGGTTACAAACAGGAAAAACAAAAACAAAGTATGCAAACAAACAAAACCCTTTATTCTGATCTTCAGAATGTACAGTCTCACTCTCAATGTCTTTTCCCATATATTTGGGTTGTTTAATCATGCTATTTTGCCAATCAAGATGTACTCTCATTGGTGCTTTAAAGCATAATAAAACTCAGTTGTTCAATGATTTGCTAAATTGTCCTATTAATTTGATGATTCAACCATTTAAATGCACTGTATCTTTTTATGAACATTACTTGAACCATATAATATATCAAATATATACATTATTTATGAGTTCAAAATGTACAAGATGAATGAACTTAATTTGTGAATAGTTCATCTAGAGAAAAAAACCTGTAGTAATTTAATTAAATATGAATCAGGCCATAAGGAAACTTTAATTAAATGTGTATTCTTTTCTTCTAATCTACTCCTATTTTGTTACAAATAGAAACAAAAATTCACTCCACTTATTATTCAGAAATTCAAATTTTATGCTCAGTTTCCAGTTATCTACCACAGGTGTTTCTGTTTTCCCTTCATGAAACACCAGCTTTAAAGTTTCTAATAAAATTATACAAAAAAAAAAATGTGGGCTGGAGAGATGGCAGAAGCGCAAAGACACACATTTGAAACTCAGAACCCTTATGAAAAAGCTGGATGCTGTAGTCTGCATAAGCAATCTCACCACTCCCTCGGGGAGATGGATGGCACAGACAGATGAATCTTTGGAATCACCTAGGGCAAACAGCCTGGCACACAGAGCAGAAATACAATAAAGAGAGAACATCTCAAAACAAAGTGGAAATCAAGAACCCATACCAGAGGTTGTCTTCTGACCTCTACACTTGTACCTTCATTCACACACAGTGATGCCCAAGTGTGTGCGTGCATGCGCACGCGCGCGCGCGTGCGCGCACACACACACACACACACACACACACACACACACACATACACACACACACACTTACACATCTTATAGACAAAAGATCTACAAAATGACATAAGCATAATTTAATGTTGCATGGAGTCATCATAGAAAACTAAGGCTGATTATAATTCCGTTGGATGTGATACAAACATTAAAATTTAAAATTACTTCAAGACCATTGCTTTCAAATAATGCTTGCTGCTTCTTGCCAAAACAGCCAAATAAAGGTCTTGGTGGCTCATCTGTATTTGGCTTTATTTTATATCAATTGAAAATCAATTTACCAAGTAGTTTTTCATTTACTGGAATAGATGTTTTGTCTTGCCTTGGATGCATATTGATTGTGACCTAATGGCTACTGTTACTTGCATTTTACCAACATAATGTTAACTGTCAGTTCCATCGACAAACTGAGGACTAATATGTAAAACAAGAGAATGCATAGGGATCAAAGTATATTTCAAATAACAACTGTATTTTGATTGGAGTAAGTGTTGTAAGTCAGGCCAAAAATACACATTATTTCTCTCATTTCTACAATAGTGTTTGTACCTCACCTCATGAATTAGCAGAGGAGAGGAAGTATAAAATATAAGAATTTCTTAACTCAGACTGGAATCTGTAGGTGAATATGTACACGTGTTTTGGACATATGCATCCTCTTGCAGAATTAAAATGCTCACAGAAGTATTCATTTTATTTGGGTTTTATGCAGCTGTGTGATACGTACTCTTTCACCGGGAGGGCCTGGAGGGCCATCACCACCTGAAGTACCCTGGCAACAATAATAAAAAAAAAAGAACAGAGTGAAAAGAAAGTCAAATTTGATTCTTCCTCACAGCATTGCTCTCATCAACAAGGATTTGCAACACAAATCAATAGTAAGTTTGGATGATACCTTCGGCCCTGGTTTCCCTGTGGGACCTCTGGCACCTCTGGAACCACGAGGACCCTGCATAAGAGAAGAGAAAGCTTACCCAGTGCAAAGCAAACCCAAAAACAAATGCGGAAAACTAATATCAAAATAGAATTCGCTATAGTAAGACAAAGTTCCTACCGTTGGACCACGTTGACCCCGGGGGCCCGGTTTGCCAGCAACTCCCTGACAAAGACAGTTCAAAGAGTTTTAATGTGTAGTAAGTATTCACAGTAAACGGGGGTGAGAAACAGGGACTCATGTAGGGACATGTTCACTAGCCATCTCTGGACAATATACTTATGCGCCATACCCGGGCACCTTTCTCCCCGTTGGCACCTGGAAATCCAGGAAATCCAGTGGAACCCTGAAAATAAATATAATCAACAATGAATATGAATTTTTTTCAATTTTCATACCACAAGCTCCAATAATTTTGGAAAACATTGATTTGGTCAGAGATGGCAGTATTTAAGTAAAGAGTATGTGCTTGCTTTGAAAGCTCATAAGAAAAATATACAATGTTTAAAAATAATTGCTTTTAGGTCATTATACAAGGTCTCTTCTTGCATTCAAAAGTGAACTTACAGTGACGTCTGAAAGCCTTGAAGCATGAATTGATAAAAAATATTACTTTAGTATTTAAATTTAAAAGTAAAATAAAGTATTCACTCTATTATTATTAAATAGATGTTAATGGATATTTCACGAAAAATAGATTTTAATTTAACATTCCAAACATTTGCTCCAATTCTAAACAAAACTCATAGTTTAATAAAGGGAAGTTACAATATAAAATGTCTATCCTTACTTAATATTACACCTTCCCTCTTCCCCAGATCCACTCAACCTCAGTTTCTCCTCAGAAAAGAGCAGGTTTCCCAGGGATGTCAATCAAACATGGCATAACAAGTTATAATAAGACTAGGCCCCTCATCTGATATCAAAGATGAATGAGGCAACCCAGTAGGAGGAAAAGGGTCAAAAGCAAGTAAAAGAATCAGAGACAACCACCCCCACTCCTACTATTAGGAGGCCCACAAGAACATCAAGCTATACAACCATCACATTTACAGAGGACCTAGCTCAGACCTATACTTGCTCCCTGATTGTCTCTGTGAGCTCCTTGCAATCCTGCTTGACTGATTATGCGGGCCATGTTCTTGGGGTGTCCTTGACCTCTCCAGCTCCTACCATCCTTTCTCCCCTTCTTCCTCAGGATTCCCCTAGCTCTGCCTAATGTTTGGCTGTGGATCTCCAGCAACTTTTTTTTTTTTTTTTTTTTTTTTTTTTTTTTTTTTTTGGTTTTTCGAGACAGGGTTTCTCTGTGTAGCTTTGCGCCTTTCCTGGAACTCGCTTTGGAGACCAGGCTGGCCTTGAACTCACAGAGATCCACCTGGCTCTGCCTCCCGAGTGCTGGGATTAAAGGCGTGCGCCACCACCGCCCGGCTAACTTTTGTTTTTAAACTGTATTATATCACACACCCTGAAAAGCTTCCTTTACATTTTCTAACTCTGTTTTAGAAACAGGCATAAAACTCTGTGTTTGAAATCCCAAACACCTTAATTCACATCAGTCAAATAAAGTGAGGGCATATCTTGTCCACTTTCAGCCTATTTTTCTGTAGCAAAAAAAGGGCAATGGTCTATTATTAACATATCTTAAGACTTTGAAGTTTGTCGGAGAATGGAAAAAAGAAAATCAAGGTTTATCAATAAAAAATGTGGCTTATAAAGTGATAATACTGGACAATAAACAATGATTGTTTTAAAATGTAAAAAGCCCATAGTATACTTAATATGAGTGGATATAATATTAGTAAAACACAACTTAAATCCCAATAATAAAAATTGCCCATTCATCTTGGGCATAGGGCCAGACTTTCATCTTTTCAGATATTTCTTTGACTACTGTCCAAGCAGATTTATATCTTTATTAAATAAAGAATGAGAGAAGATAAATTTCAAATCTTTATTTCTCTATTTTCTAAATATTCCCTTAAAAATGGAAGTGGAGGGAGTTTCAAAAAATTTGCATTTCTTATTTAAACCATAGTATGGATAAAATTCAATAATGTATAAAATGCCTTGCTCAGAAATGAGCAGACTTTTAAATTTTATACACATCTCCATGCACTAAGGGGATATAGAAACATTCTTTGACTTTTTGTCTTTGTGTTTTTAAATGAACTTCTTTGCATCTAATTGCCCCCTAGAGAAATGCCTCCCAAGTGAAAAATGACCCATATATAAATAAACTGTAATGCTTTTAAAAATACAGATTATGAGTAGCACTCCAGACTTACTGAAACTGAAAAACTATCAGCTAGGGACTTAGAAATCATACCCCTGGGCTCTCCAGATGACACATACTTCATGATGGAGATAAGTTGGAAGCTGGATGTTATATGAATGGACAATAAGAACAGTCACCTGCATACCCACATCAAGAATTTGGGAAGATGGGCCGAGCGGTGGTGGCACACGCCTTTAATCCCAGCACTCGGGAGGCAGAGCCAGGCGGATCTCTGTGAGTTCGAGGCCAGCCTGGGCTACAGAGTGAGATCCAGGAAAGGCACAAAGCTACATAGAGAAACCCTGTCTTGAAAAGCCAAAAAAAAAAAAAAATGTGGGAAGCTCCCTGCCATTTGAATGTAGCAAATATTTCATATTTAGCAAGCAAGCTAGTCAAGAAAACTGTATGTGACGTCCCATTTCACCACAGGGTCAAATAATGATCCAAGGAATACACAGTATTGGTTTTATGATTTGATGTTCAATATATTTTGTGTTGACTATAGAGGCAAATTATGATTCACTTGAAAATAAAAAAAGTTTAAGATGGAGAAGAAAATTCTATATTACAGTCTTAAGGGATTTTAAACCTTCACTTTCTTCGTCTTCAGAATCAGAGCAAGGTGTTATCTGTTAGTTGCTGAATGACAAAAAATTTAACACATAAGTACAATCTGGTATCTACATGACATGCTTTACCTAAATTTTATACACAAACGAATATGGCTACTCTAATCAAAATAGCTACCCTATTTACAAATGCACTATTAAAAATTCTTAATAGTTGTTTTTATTGTTTTAAATTACTTTTATATAGTATGTGGGAAAAACCAGAAAAATTCTCAACCAACTAGTTTTTCATGTAAGGTGTTATAAACAAAGTACACAATGCACATTCAAAGTAAACACTACCTTTAAAACGGCAAATAAATAAATAAATAAAAGATGACAAGGTCAAAGTTGGTGATGAAATTATTTTGTCAATAAATAAAAAACTTGCAAAACTATTTTGCATAGTGTTAATTATAAAATATTCTACTTTATGTTAGATCTTGGGTTCTAAACTGTCATCTCTTATAATATTTGGAGGTTTTATAACATTTGGTGGCTTATTTTGATCTTGAGACGTTGGATAAATGAGTGTTTAACTATAGGTCTTCAACCACTTAGATTTAGCAGCCAAAGGTGATTTTTCATGAAATGCTGTCTATTACCATGTCATTTGCTTCTATATAGTGAAAAAGCTTAAGGTTCTCTTTGATTTCTGATGTGAGCATCACTGACTTTTGTTTTAAAATAGACCTATTGTTTCTAATACAGCAAAACAATAGGAGTTATGAAAAGAGTGATATTAAATATATATGTGTCAAGTACAGACATTGAGGTTAAGAATAAAGAAAAGCATCATCTTATTGTGAGGAAGAACACTTTCCTTTTGTAAATGCTTGCATTTTTATAATAAGAATTCAGAGAATACTGATCAGAAAATAGATGCCAGCAAAATAGAATACATCATAATTTCATATAAACTTGCAAGATACAATTGTGTTCATTCAAATGATATTATGAGTGTTTCCTATCATTTTTAAATCAAAATGAAAGTATATCATGATTTCTGTGTATCTTAGTAAACAGATTAAGAATTCAAAACATAAAATAGAGATAGTTAATGGTTTGAAGTTGTACAATAAATGGATCTCTATAGACATAACTGTTGTAAATTCCTAACATTTGAAATGAATGTAAATGGAAGACAGAACAATAAATTACATATAAGATGGAAAATCCAAAAGACAATTGACCAGCATTTTCAATCTGAGAAATATTTAAGTGACACTTGTATCGTTTTTAAAATATATCTTACTACATAAGGAAATAAATAGCTTTTTGGAAACAATAAAAAAATCACTTGGCAAGATTAATATACACTGTATATGAAAATGAGTGAAAAGTGTGGTACTCAGTCCATATGTTGGGGAAGGACAGTTTTGACCCCACAGGTTATCTATGAAGTTTAGTAACATGTGATGCAGGTTGTAACATAACTAGAATTTCTTTATCTGTTATACTTGCTATGGGTAGTGTGTAAAATAGGAACGATAAGAAAACAGACTAATACGGAAATGCATCTCATGTACATATATTTAAAAAGTGAGCTAAGTATGGTTGTGCACGCCTGTAATTCAAGCATACGGGGTTTGAAGCAGGTGGACTGAGAGTTCTAAGCCAGCATGAACTGTATAGTAAGCTCCTGTCTTTAAAGAAAAAAGAATAACTACCCAAATTATTAATTAACATTTACAAATTAATTCATATAGCCATCAATATAACTAGTAAATACATCAAGGCTAATCAATGACAGGTTTTATAAGCTGAAGCAAAGTTCATGTTTCAAAATAAACAGGCAATCATAAAAATATCATATATCTCTTATAATTAAAGTATTTGTAAATATTTCAAATATCACAACTGAAATTTGAACAGTATAGTTGATTATACTGTGCACCCAAAAGATAAACCCATGCCAAAATCTCTGAAACCTGGAATGTTACTTTCTTTGAGTGAAAAATAATGAGGTAAATACGTTAAGAATCATGAAAGGATTCAGAATTGTACAGGGGTTTCTTAAATCCAAAGGCAAGTGTCCTTATGAGATAGAATGGGAAGGGACGAACAAAAGAGACCATGTGGAAATGGAGAGGTTGGAAGGGTGCAGCCCCCAGACAGGGAATGCCGGCGGTAGCTTGAGTTGCAAGCAGCCTGGACAGATTGTCTCCTAGAGGTTTTGGAGGGGGTCGGTCCCTAACAGCACCTTGACCACAGACCCCTGGCCTCAAGAAAGGCTACAGTAAAACTTTCTATTGTTCTAAGTCATCCAAGTTTTAGATATTTGTTATGAATGTCTTGCGAAATGAATGCTGCTGCAAATGAGAGTCGGGATTTTAAAAAGGGAACAGAGCCAACGAAATGGCTGATTGGTGAACGGCACATTCCACCAAAACAGAGAACCAGAGTTTCATCCCTGAAACCAACATGGTGGAAGGAAAGAATTGATGCCTGAAAATTACTCTTTATCCTCCATAGATGTGCCTTGTGAGCACACATGTGTAGACGTGTACTCGCATGTGCACACACACACACACACACACACACACACACACACGAGTAAATAAAAGAATATAAAATTAAAAAAGAAGTTCAAACCACAATAATAGAAATAAAAAAAGCTATCATCATCCACATGATATCTACTATATAACTAAAAATATTTTAGTTTTCTTTTCTCAAATATATTTATACCATCTATATCAAAGGATCTAACTAAATCTTTCTTTCATAACGACCCTGTGTCCACAAATTCTCCAGGATGTAACATAATCACAGGCTCTCTGAAACACGTGAAACCCAGGTGTGTGTGTGTGTGTGTGTGTAGTATTATACATGTAATTGTGTTTTTTACTTGGTGATAAGTACTGGAGAGAGGAAAATTACGCGTCATTCTCTCCTTTCTCCATCTCTACAACTAAGTTTCTAAGTGTAAATTCTTAGTTTATCTGTGTATCTCACAGATAAGACTGCTGTGGGATGATCTGTATGTCAAATGTGTTGCTGATTAGTCAATAAATAAAACACTGATTGGCCATTGGCTAGGCAGGAAGTGTAGGCGGGACAAGGAGGAGAATAAAGCTGGGAAGTGGAAGGCTGAGTCAGAGAGACACTGCCAGTCACCACGATGACAAACAGCATGTGAAGATGCCGGTAAGCCACGAGCCATGTGGCAAGGTATAGATTAATGGAAATGGATTAATTTAAGCTGTAAGAAAAGTTAGCAAGAAGTCTGCCACGGCCATACAGTTTGTAACCAATACAAGTCTCTGTGTTTACTTGGTTGGATCTGAGGGGCTGTGGGACTGGCAGGTGATAGAGATTTGTCCTGACTGTGGGCCAGGCAGGAAAACTCTAGCTACATAAGACTATAAAGTTCAAACTATTTTACCTTAGGACCTTGTCTTCCTGGATATCCTGGCAATCCTGGAACCCCAAGTTTCCCCTAAAATTTTGAGAAAAACAAGATAAATGTAAACAGCCTATATAGAATTGCGTCAGTGAGAATTTTCTAGTTAGTTCAACAAAGTATATACTTGAAATAATACAAGTGTTCAGTCTACTTTATTTTCATTATAGCTTTTTTCATTTTCATGAAAAAATAAAATTTTTACCATGTATATATGTTAAATGATTCACTGATTCCCAAGAACTACTATTGTGCAAATGATAGTATCTTCTTTGGAGACACAGTAACATAGGGGAAGACAATTCTCACCCATCTGTGAGTTATAAAGCATAACTAAAGAAAGCAAGCTTTTTAATTAAACAAAAGAATGTTAGTTAACATAGTTCAGCATATTCAGAACTTATCACTCCAACTTAAGAAAATCTTTATGATAAATTATTTCATTTATCATATTGTAACTGCAAATCAAGTTATTAGGTTATGGAGCTTTTTCCTCATAAACTAGAATCTAAGTAATTATATTTGGATACAATATATTGTGGCCTAAGAAGTTTTTCTGATGAATTAGTCCCCAGATATTTCTTTCTTTAGTAAAGAAAAAAAGTACAAGTAAGAAACTAAATAAGTGAATTGACTAAAATGTTTGTGGACTTCTGAACATCACTTTTTATAACAAAAGCATAAATAAATAACATACAATTTTCACATTAAATTTTTAAACTTCAGCACATAGAAAGTATCATTATTGATAATGCACATTTTCAAAAATGATAAAAGCCAATACAGGTACAAATTCACATGTGTAATGTTAAATATAAACAAAACTTTAAAAATAAAAATAGAAGTTTTACTGGAAAAATCCAGGCAAGAACATGGTTTATGACCTTGTCATTACAGACTGAAGTAAAAAGTTGTAAGAATTACAACTGACAATGCATGGATAAGCAATTCTCAGATGGAGAAGATGCAAACAAGCACTAAGAAGCTTGCTTTTAATGACATCCCTTTGGATACATATGCTACCACAGCTTCTTTCATGTTTTTACACCAACCATTTCAAGGCAAAGAAAAACATCTAATGATCACAAAGCTATCTGTGTTCTACACTAATTGATATATCAGACTACATATCTTTATAGTTTAGAATCACTTTAAAATAAATGCAGATAGATAACTTGTATTCTTTTAAATGATGATCAAAATGTCAATAGGTAGACATCTAATAATGAGAAGCTACATGTAGAGAAGCAAAGGTCTGTGCTTTAGAATAGTTTCTGAGGCCATGTGTACATAACAAGGCATAGCTGAGAAGGGAGGAAGGTCATCAGAGAACCTTGAACAACTGACAATGAACATCAAATATAGCATCTACAGCCTGGATGCCTTGACTTCCCATCATCTCTCCCTTACTGACTGAATACAACAGTACTCATCAGCACAGCAAAGGCAATGGCTTCCCAAGCATGAGCCCTGTAAAACTGCCACATCAGTGATTCTAATGGGAGAGCCTTCCGTCCATCTCTTCACAAAGTCTACACAGTATCAACAAAACACCCTTGTGAGACAAAAATGTGTGCAGGTGGAAATATTACAATTTTCTAATAAAGAATATAATTTCTTTATTTTCCAGAAAACAATGCTATCACTGGAGAAGAATATTTAGACAAAAAAAAAGGAGAATTTATAAGAATTCTATCAACAGGATAAAGCAGCTATGTTTAATTTGTTTTATTATACACATGAAATAATGCTTATCATTTAAAGTTTCTCGTTTTTCCTTTCATCATTTAAGTTCATAGACTGTGAATAAGCGTAGTGTGCACAGCACCACCTGCTTGGCATGATTAAGGCCACGGCTTTAATGCCCAATACACTCCCAAATCATAATAATTTAAGCTCATAATACACTAAAAAGTTTCCTAAATAAATAAATTGTCCATGGGGCAAAATGAATGTTCTTTATTGTATTTAGAGTAAAGATAATAGAAATATTTTGACACAGCACATATGGTCCAGGTTCTCTCAAACCAATGAATATTGTATTTATCTGCAAATTCTTTCTTAATATAAGATTAAATTCAAATCTCTTGAAAAGAAGCCTGAATATACTTTAAATAATACCCTGTGGAAATCTATTTATACACGAAAAGAAAACATCTACTTTGTTTGGGGGCAAATATGGTTTGGTTTGATCTCATACAGTAAGTAAGCCATCATTCACTGTTTCCTTTAAACTCAGGACATTTATATTCAGCATCAAATGTGGGCAAGCTTTGGAATGGCTGCTTGTGATTGAGCCCATGGGAGGGTAAGGACAAATGTGGCCAGGTCAGGACTGAGTGCTCTCTCACTATGGAAAGAGTACTGCACAATGAATCCAAGAACTTTGCTGCATAAAATGCCACAGAAGCACTCCGCACTGCACACCCTGTGAGAGGAAAGCGCACCAACCTTCTCTCCTGCTTGGCCAGAGGGTCCTGGGTCTCCAGTTGGGCCTGCTCGGCCTTTGGGGCCCTCAGGGCCATCTTCTCCTCTTGGGCCAACTTGGCCCACCTCACCCTGAAATGCAAAGTAACATTGTTCATTTAAAACACTTCCAGATTAGGAGGGGGAGATTCTAGTCTATGAGAGAATCGGGCTTTTGGACTCTTGGTTTGTTGGCTCTTACTATGTTTGCTTGCTTTCTTATGAGAAACGGGTTGAAATAGTTAGATGTCAACAAGCATTTCATCATTGAATAAATAACTGAATGTGGCCTAATATTTAAAAAGTTGTGGAAGCTTGATGGAATCATGTGTACTCCCATCTTGCTTGAATATATCTGGGATGAAGGAGAGAGACAGAGACAGAGACAGAGATAGAGACAGAGAAGAAAAAGAACACATACAGAGGCCAATGAAGAGTAAAGATTAGAAAGCAGCTTTGGAAACTATCATTTGGAACACAAAAGTCTTCATTTTGGATTTTTTTTTAATCTTGAGCAAATTGGAAGCTGAGTTTCAGATGAATTGTCTCCCATCCTGACAGCTTTTACATGAACCTTAGGGAATCACAACTCCACTGAGGTCTGCTTCATTGATTAGATAGATGAAGTATTTATATCAGTTAAGAAATACAGTATCTAATGTCCTCTAATTGAGTTGATCCACTTTAAAATACATTATTACCAGATGTAAATACACCATTGTTATACTCTGCAGTTCAGGAAAACATAAAAATTAAAATGCATGTAAGTTGCACAACATGACTGTCAATCACCATAGTTTACAACATACACACAAAATTTAAAATAAAACCTGCTGTGGGATGTTCTGTATGGCAAATGTGTTGCTCTGATTGGTTGGTAAATAAAACACTGATTAGCCAGTAGTCAGGTAGGAGGAAGTATAGGTGGGACAAGGAGGAGAATAAAGCTGGGAAGTGGAAGGCTGAGTCAGAGACACTGCCAGCCGCCACGATGACAAACAGCATGTGAAGATGCCGGTAAGCCACAAGCCATGTGGCAAGGTATAGATTTATAGAAATGGATTAATTTAAGCTGTAAGAACAGTTAGCAAGAAGTCTGGTACGGCCATACAGTTTGTAACCAATATAAGTCTCTGTGTTTACTTGGTTGGGTCTGAGCGACTGTGGGACTGGCAGGTGAGAGAGATTTGCCCTGACCATGGGCCAGGCAGGAAAAATCTAGCTACAAAAAACATATTCCTTTCTTCTAGTAATTTGACCATACTATTCTGAAACATCCATGAACAACAGTACTTGGTTACATATAGTTATTGTTGAGGTGATATCTTGATAAACCCGCAGGTGAAGTGAGACTATCAAGATTGTATTTGGCTGTATAGCTCTATAATAGCATGCTTGTCTAGCATTGTCAAAGTCCATAGTTACAGCCTCAAAACTACAAAAAAATTGCACATAGTGCACACATCCTTCTGAAATCTCTATTAAGCACAGCTTATCTTAAAAGTGCAAATATGTCAGGTGTTCTGGCTGGTACATGCCTTTAAACTCAGCACTCAGAAGGCAGAGGCAAGTGGTCTCTGTGAGTTTTAAGCTAAGCTGGGATATCTAGGGCTACATAGTGAGTCCCTGTCTCAAAAACAAAAGCAAGAGCAAGAGCAAAAGTTGAAGAAAAAGAAAGTTTAAGAAATACGTACTCAATGTATAGTAGAGTAAAAGCAATCTAGCATCTAACACAAAACTACCATTTCTGGTAACCAGATTATTAAATTCATTCTCAATTAAATCTATGCTCTTAACATGTCGGGCTTATTAGAATTTAATCCAATAGGTATCTTCATACATTTGTGTGTCTCCTATAAAATTTAACACAACATTTAGAAAAACACTGGCATTATACTATTCCCACTATCATTATACTGTCCAATATTTATATAACAATTGAAGTGCAATGTCTTCGATAATATTTTATTTCACCTATGCTTGCTGAATTTAGTGTTAAGAAAAATTATATTTGTAAAAGAGGATAACATTTTTGTCAACTTGAAACAAGCTAGAGTCATTTTGGAGAAAGGAACCCCAATTGAGAAAATGCCCCCATAGTTTAGCCTGGAGGCAAACCTGTGGTGCATTTTCTTAATTGAAGACAGAGATGAAATGTTTGTGCCACCCTGGGATGATAGTCCTGGGTGCTGTAAGAAAGCTGGCTAGGAAGAGCCAGCCAGTAAGCGGCACTTCTTCCTGGCCTGTGTCAGCTCCTGCCTCCAGGTTCTTCTCCTACTTGAATTCTGCCCTGACTTCTGACTTTTCTCAGTGATGTACTGTCACCTGGATCTGTCAGGGAAATAAACCCTTTTCTCCTTAAGTGGCTTTTGATCGTGGTGTTTTATCGCAGCAGTAGAAAGCTGAACTAAAACAGTGTCTTCAAATTTATGTATTCATGTAAATCTTGTTACTCACTCTGTCCCCTTTAAGCCCCATGTCACCTTTGAATCCTGGAAAGCCATCTTCACCCTATCATGAATAAAGAAGATTGTAATCAATTATTTTGAATGGTGAAAAAATAAGTGTGTAAAATGAGTATTAATAATTGCAGGAAATTCTCCTAAGAAATAAAACTTCCAGTCATGACACCACTAACTGTCTATTGCATCCCAGACCTATTCTCTTATCCTTGGAATTTTATCATGTAATCACTTCCATAGTCATTGGCTATAAATTAGAGAATTTTTCACAAATATATTCATTACTATCTCTATCTCATGGGGGAATAATCATTTTTTAATAATAGCATTCCTTTTAAATATTTAAACAGAGAAAAAGTATTTAAATAATTATCATTAACATAAATTGAAGAACTTGACAAAATATTTTTACCCAATGTGACACACTTCTACATTGGAATTTTCATGATTTTCAGTTTTCTCCAATGACACTGGGTTTATCAGTCACTTCAGGGCAGTCCTCGGTCCTCATGTTCAGAAGAAGTTGACTAACATATAATGGACTCCATAATTTTTGTGTGCTTTTATTAGCTAGAGTTTGGTGTGGGGCTTTATTGTTTTTTGGGGGAAGAGGTATTTTGTTTTCTTGGTTTGCAGAGGGGTTGCTTATTTTGATTAAACTTAGGTGAGTAGGAATAGAGAGAGGATATGGAAGGATCTGGAAGTAGGGAAGGGAAAGAATATGGTTAAACTATACTTTAGTTTGACGATTGTTTTATAACAAAAATATAATAAAAGAAAAAGAATTTCATGATTTTATGTAATTTGCATTCAACAAATATATTTTATCTCAAATTGATCTCTAAACTGTATTCTGCTAACTGATGAGGAATTAGAAAGTTTATAATACATGCTACATTTAGACTGTCATTTTTCCATCACACATTAAGATAAGTGATGCTGAACAGTGGGCATCGTTTGGCACAGGGAAAAGACATTTTGACTACAGACATATTTTCAGCTACTTATCCTAAAACTAGAAAGCTTCAGGAATGGCTTTACTGCTTCATGAATTTCAAGAAAACAAACTGATTTATTTTTCATTACACTTTAAATGGACATTTACTGTGTACAAAGAAATGTAAAGCATTTTGAGTATATTTCTGGTGCCAACAATAAGTGAAGACAGAACATATCACAGTTTTATTAGTTTTTGAGAATTTTGAACAATTCATGCTCTCTCTCAACAGCTCTCAGACACAGAATCTTCCCCTACATTAAATGTTATGTGCTCTCTTTTTTAATATTTCTTTTATTTTTGAGATAATACTAAAATTACACCATTTCCTCCTTCCCTCACCTCCTTCCAAATCCTCCTATTTACCCCTCCTTGGTCTCCTTCAAATTCTTGGCCTCTTTTGTCTTTAATTGTTATTACATGAATAGATATATATGTATATACATATATAAAATTACTTTTAAAACAAAAAGTAATAATACTACTTTTTCATGTCATCAGTATATATTTCTGCTATTTATGAAACTAAACATCTAAGAAGAGTATATTACAATCAGTATTTTTATAATGTGAATAACTTCCTATCGCAATGCATAGTTGATATAAAAGACATGAAAATAATCAAAATAATTATTAAAATACTCAAATATTTTAATGATAAGATATTTCAAATATTTAATTCAGATATATAATTTTGCAATAGAAGCTTCTCCAAACAAGAAGAATAAAACAGTTCTTCAAATTTTATACATCATTATAAAGTTTCAAAAACAGTCTGATTGTATGAACTTTTAACTGTATGGGAACATAAACATGACCTATAGAGAGGCAACACCAGTTGGCAAGCTAGCAGGGATAGGGGAACTTTCACAAGGCTTCACTCTGAAATGAAGAGTTAAAGGCATTTAATGGGTGGTAAGAAAGAGAGGGTCAGTATTCTCCTGGGAAAGGGTCCTGGTAGGTCATGTGATCCTAAGCTGTCCACTCTAAACACATGCACATATAAGTAAAACTAAATGGAGTGATCAAGTTGTGCTTAAATATACACAAGTGTGGTCTTGCACATGTATGTGCAAGGATGTTGTTGGTATATGTATATGGGCATGTAAAACTAATAATAGAAGAGGTCATGAATTGGAAGAGGAGTAATAGACTTAGAAGGGAAAGATGGGGGACGTCAACACGGTGTAAATTCACTGCTTGTATGTGAAATTCCCTTTCAAAAAGCGTTTTTTTTTTTCAAGGTGTTGTATAGTTCCTAAATGCTTGGAAAAAATGATTGTTTTCTAATAACAATTCTCAGTATTTCCATAAAAGATTAATTACTAAAATTAAGCTTTGCAAATGCATATTTATTTTACACTCAGCAAATGGTATGTGGGAAACAACTTCTTTGTCCTAAATGTCCTAAATCAAGTATGTAGAAAGATAAGATATATTAAAGATAAATGTTAACTAGTATTAAATGTTAAAGACAAAATGCTAAAGATAAAATATTAAAGGTTAAAATGTTAAAAGATAAATAATAAAGATATATAAAGATAAAAGTATATAGGAGAAAGATATACTAAAGGTATATGTTAAAGAACAATGGATAGATTCAGAAGAGAAGTGACAACAGAATTTAGAACAATATTTCCAGTGAAATACACTAATTAATAACAAAGACTTTAGTATGTTCTCATGAATTGGCAAGTTTAATATTACGAAGTTGCCTAGTGTCTCAAAAATAATTCATTCAATGAAACTCCCACCAAAATCCCTATATTTATATGTAATAACAAGTAATGAAACAAAAGGTCATGATTTGATAGACAACAAGGACAGGTACCTGGGAGCATTTGGGAGGAGGAAAAAAGGAAGGAAGAAATGTTGTAATTATATTATATTCTCAAAAAATGATCCCAATGCAATTCTTCAAAAATCTTAAATTTCATATGGCAATACAAAATATCCAAGATAGCCAAAGCAATCCTGAAGGACAGTAAAGAGCCGGAGGCATCACCATCTTCGATGGAAAACTATACTCTAGATTTCTAGATCCAATTTCTGAAACAGCATGGTACTGACATACAAAACAGACTCATTATCAATGAATAGAATTGAAGACACACATATAAGTCCACATTCTTACTCCTTACCTTTATTTTGAGATTACACTATAATTAGACCATTTCTTCCTTGCCTTTCCTCACTCCAAACCCTCCTATGTATCCCTCCTTGCTGTCTTTCAAATTATTGGCTTTTTCTTTCATTAAAATTGTTTTTACATGAATATCTATATATATTTCATTATTTGTTGTATATTTTCATTAAAACACAGAAAAAATAATCACACCATTTTTAACTTCAAAATACTTCAATGATGAATGTAAATTAGTCCCTGCCTATGCCATGATTCAACCCTTAATCATTTCTTATGTCTTTAATTGCCCTTCCATTCTCATCCAAGTCCTGGGATTGCGTTCCAGAAAACTGGAGTTTGAGCTACTGTATCATTATCCTTCACACACCATGTTTTCCTAACTGAGTGATACTTTTAACTCAAGATTCAGCTCATAATTTTGCTTAGAAATTTTTCTTGATTGAAATTTTTCTTCCTAAAATTAACCTCTATTTCCTGCGTACCCAAAAATATATTTTTTACTTCAGTCTGTAATGACAAGGTCATAAACCATGTTCTTGCCTGGATTTTTCCAGTAAAACTTCTATTTTTATTTTTAAAGTTTTGTTTATATTTAACATTACACATGTGAATTTGTACCTGTATTGGCTTTTATCATTTTTGAAAATGTGCATTATCAATAATGATACTTTCTATGTGCTGAGGTTTAAAAATTTAATGTGAAAATTGTATGTTATTTATTTATGCTTTTGTTATAAAAAGTGATGTTTAGAAGTCCACAAACATTTTAGTCAATTCACTTATTTAGTTTCTTACTTGTACTTTTTTTCTTTACTAAAGAAAGAAATATCTGGGGACTAATTCATCAGAAAAACTTCTTAGGCCACAATATATTGTATCCAAATATAATATATATTTGTTATGACAAAAATATAAGCCAGTTTGCACTTAATCACAAATGGACATTGCTTTCAATAAATGGTGAAACCAATAATCATTCCTAATTAGCCATTGGATCTCTAGTGCTTAATCTCTTTGACACCTTAAAATCCATGTTGCTCAATAAACACTAAGTGAAAAATGGGAAAATATCCTTGTTTCAGTTGTTGACTTGTAAATTACGTAAAGGTCCAGAAAATCTCGTAGCTTAAACTACGATGGCTACATGAAATGTGAACTCCAGGCTCATGCGTTGAGTGCTTGTTCTTTTCTGCTAACACAGATTTCAATGCTGTGGGAGTTCAGAAGCTGTGGCCCTTCCTGCAGGACTAAGGCAGCATTTGGGTACTTTACACAGCCTCAAGTTCTTGCCGTGTCTCCACTGCACAGATGGAGTCCTATCTGTCACAGCTTTCCCACCACGACTGACTGAAATTCCTGAAACTATGTCCGCAAATAAAACTTTCATCCTTGAATTTTTGTTTAGGATTTATTTATTTTTTTTATGTTCATCAAAAAGACATTGAGGACAGAATAAAGAGGCATCTCACAAAGTATGAGAAAACAATGTAGAAGACCCAGAGGTACATTAAGAAAACGTTCAGCATCAATGCTCAACATCACTAATCATCATGAAAATGCAAAAGAAAGCTAGTGGGATGACAGCTGTTAAACACAAGGAAAGAATGTATGTGTGGATGAGAGTGCAGAGAAATTGAGTTCTCTGTGCTGCCAGTGAGAATGTAAAGTGGATGGACTGGAAAATTATACAATTAAAGCGGAAAATTTAGGTCTGAGTATGTACATGACAACTGGATGCAGAATCTTAAATGTATTTATACACCCATGGTTGTGAGAATAATAGCCAAAATATAGCAGCAATCAAAGTATCCATTAATACACTAATGGACAGGCGAAAATAGCTGCTGTATGTGATGAAATGTTATTTAGCTTTTGAGGGAAGGGAATCCTTAGCTATTATAAAAATTTGAAGACCTTGAATTGTTGCATCAAATATTTTTGATGCAGGGAAACACAAAGAACTAAACACTGGAAACAGTGATACAAACCTACGACACATCTAAATTAAAGTTTTTTTGTAGACTTTTTTTCCTCAGGAGTAAACCATGCTGTTTTCAAGATTCTAGTGGCAAAGTGGCCTTTTAAAGTGCAGGCTGTTTTGTGTACTGAGCACCATTAGAGAGAAGGGAGAGGTTGAAGAGCTGAAATGGCCATTCACTGCCTCTCCATTACTGTCAGTTCTTTCTCCCCTGAGACAAAGGTAATCATACAGAGGCCGAGTTTAGTTTAAAGAAAGCTGTGTGCTGTGTCTAGGAAGCAGTAAAAGCACTGAGGATTGTTTCGAACAATCCTAGTCAGTTGGTTAGTTTTATTTTGTTTTGTTTAAATTTAATTTTTTCTACTCATTTATTTAATTCTGTGAAATCAACACATAAAAGGCTATATTTGTCAGCCCTCAAAATACTCCTAATTAATGAAAAAAATATAAGACCCAATTTCTTTAGGTATATCATTGATCGCCATTACTAGGCATATGGTATGTCAAGTCATGAGATTTTGAGTTCTAAAATTAATAAATTTTAAGAAAACAAAAGGACGATGTAGAATTTGGTCAGAGCTGCAAACAAAAGCTACAGGGTTTTTTTTTTTTTTTTGGTTGTCATAGTGGAAGATTTAGGGGCAGACAGAAAATCAAAAACAAGAATTTTAATCTCAGTGTGCTAACTTCGTTCACCATTTGATAACCACAAATACCATTACAAAGGAAGAAGTTTTTATTTACTTTTGGGTGTTTAAGGTTTGGGGGATTTGACCTACTTGTGCATTCTAGGGAAGCATCTACCACTGAGCTACACTGCTCTTTAACAACCTTTCTGTCTCTTCTTAATCTATTATGGGCTGTATAAACTATTTTCATATTTTAAAAAGAAAATGAATATTGAAATTCATTGCAACATAGTGTAAACGAAAATAATTCTATTTAAAAAACTTTTATTTACCTAGAATTCTCAAAATTCAGCTATATAACACAGTTTGTTATATTAGTTAGAAATAAAGGCAGAGCATTTAAAGATTTAGATTTAAAAGTGAAGCCACCTCAATTAAACACCTTTCTTTTAAATATTGTCCACTTAAAAATTTTTGGTGGGTGCTAATTCCAGGAGGCAAATTAAATTGGTATATAGATATATAACATGAATATGTACATATGATACATGTCAAATTACAAACAACATAAAATACAGAAATTTTAATTTCAACGCTGCCAGACCATCACTGCTGCCCTGATAAAACAGGAAGACTTTAAACCATATTTACCTATGATGATCAAGATGAATTAAGATTGTCATAAAATTGATAACTTAGTTGAAAGTGTATCACATTTTTTAAGAATACAATTAACAATATCTTGCACACCTTTACTATCTTCCAGGAGTATTTTCTGTACAATAATAAATTTTAGTAGGGATAATAAATTTATATTTAGTTATCAAACCCTAATTAATACCAAATATATTCAATGAACACTCACTCATACTGTTATGATTCAAAAAAATCATTTCATTTAAACCAATGCAGCATTATTAAAATAAATAGCTATACTTACCTCAATAAAATTACTAATAAAAAGGCCTTGTGTTTGCACTTTGTGTTTGAAAATTTATGTAATTTTAGTACAAATTTGCCTAATCCTGATTGTCAAAAGTAGCTCCTTAGCACTGAAAACATATCTTTGAAGGATTTAGGAATGTCCAAATACATTAAATATTTACCTAAAAGAATCTAAATGCACTGTTCTTTAGGAAGAGACAGGTAATCTTCTAAAGCCCTATGAAAGAGCCATTGCCTTGCATAACCTGAGGCACCCACATTTATCTACCTCTGCTTGGTTTTAATTTTATTTCCTCCCAACAATATCATTGCTTCCATGAAGCATACGAAGACTTCTTTTTCACCATAACCCCCCCAAAAATACTATATTTTCTACTAATTTCAGTTTATGAGTTTTGGAGATTTTAGTTGAGACAAAATGGATGAACCTTGTTATGATATAACTAGAAATTGCCCTCATGTCATAGCCAACTCATGCAGACAGATGAACCTGTGACTTAACCAAGTTGTACACGTGTAATTAGAAGGGGGTTTGCGGCTAACTCGACATTCTTTTGCATCTGTTACAACTGAGCTCTCACCCTAGGATACCAGACTGTTTTAAGGGTTCAGTGACAAGCTTACACTTGCAATGTCTGGCTTGTAAGTAATTCCTCTGTGTATTTCAAGGAGAAAATAAATGCTGAATACATTTTAATTGTACACACTGGATGCTTAGAAATTAAAATCACCTAAAAGTCACATTTTACCTTTTCCCCTTTAGATCCCTTGAGACCTCTGACACCATCTGCACCCTATGGAACAAAATAAAAATATTAAAGGACTACGACACTGCAGTTGGACATGAAATGATGTGCAATAATTTAGCATTTACCTTTACTCCTCGGGGGCCAGGATAGCCAATAGGCCCCTGGGGACCAGGAGGACCCTGGAAAAGATCCATTGTGATGTAAATTATGGTACATTAACAATATTACTTATTCACATACTGCAAATAACGATTTTAGGAAGTAGTAGGTAAAAGTTTGATATTTACATAAATAGTGTACAGATATTCAGTAATTCTTATTATAGTTCATCATAATTTTTTCTATATGCACTAAATATATAGCATGCAGATCTACCACTGTGAGAATAATTTATAAAAAAAAGATGATATAGTCTATTTCCTAAATTAAAGTTAGCTATCCTAGGTGTACTTGCTGGTTATACAAAACATTTATAATTGACAGGACCTAATAACTGACAGGACATTATAACTGACAGGACCTTATAACTGACATGACCTTACAACTGACAGCACCTTATAACTGACAGCACCTTATAACTGACGGACAGAGACTTATAACTGACAGGACCTTATAACTGACTGACAGAGCCTTATAACTGACAGGACCTTATAACTGACTGACAGAGCCTTATCACTGACAGGACCTTATAACTGACTGACAGGACCTTATCACTGACTGATCTTCAGACAACCATTTTGTACCTACCAAGGCCCCCTTTTCTCCAGACTGGCCTTCTTTTCCAGGGTGACCCTATATGGAGCAAACATACACACTGGTGAAGATGTGATATTACTTGTAACTGTCAATCTTGTGAAATTCTTCCTCATTTTTTTAAAAAGAAAAACCTGAGATCATATACTTTATAGTTTAAACATTATTGAAAAATTATGCAAGTTTCATGGCTTTCAGTAATATTGGAAACTGGTAGTTAGAGAAAAACATTAGGTTATATTTGATGGGTATGTGCTTGAGTAAATGTGGAATCTTTTTCAAAGAATTTGGGGAAAGCACATGAAGGAATAAATCCTATTTTGGATTTATTAGCTATTAGTAATTCAGTCTCAAAGTCTTACAGCAGGTTACATCTGATTTATATTCTGTATGGAAATAAAAGGATAATGTGTATATGCACCCTAAAAGGCAGCAAGAACATGTGATGGAAATACACAGAAAGATCAAAGACACTCATCAGATTATTATGTAACTGAGATTCATTCCATAAATAAAAATATAGTTATATCACAAATATATTCTATAGCTTCAGTTAGAAATAGCACAAGAAATTTTGTATCTTTTTGTCACAAATTTAAATAAGAAGTTTGAACAGACAACATCAATAATAATTTTAAAATGAAAGTGGACATTATATGTGTGTGAGAGAGGTATTTCTCTATTTTTATATAACAGAACTTTCTCTATTTCCAGAGGATGAGGAACCCTCCTCAAGCCTGAAGAATGTTCGTGGATATTATCTGAAGACAGTGATGAATGCTGTGCACCTTGACCAGGCCTCTTTGCTGTCTAGGTTTATGTCAACTTACACAAACTAGACTCCTTTGGGAAGAGGACATCTCAACTGGGAAAATGGCCCAAGCATACTGGCCTAAAAGTAATCTTGTGGGGCATTTTCTTGATTGGTGACTGGGAGAGCCCAGCCCATTGTGTGGTGCCAAGTCTGGACATGTGGTCCTGAGTGCTATAAGAAAGCTGGCTGAGCCAGCCAAGAGGAGTAAGACATACTCAGTACTCCTCTGCATTATTTCCTCCCTATGCTCCTGCCCTGCTTGAGTTCTTGTCCTGACTTCCCTCTGTGATGTTACCTGGAAGTAAATAAACCCTTTCCTCCCCAGGTTACTTTTGGTCATGGTGTTTTGTCACAGCAATAAAATCCTAAGACCAACAGACTGAAAGGTGAGTTACAATGTGGATGAGCTCATATAGAACATGAGCTAATTCACTGCATTTAGAATCTGTTTCTTAAACACTACAGTCACTGAAAATAAAAGCAGGTTGAAATAGAGAAGAATATATGGAATTAGGAAGGAGGGATTTGGGCAGGTTCTGGTATGCTGTGTGTGGTTGACTTTAACTAGAGGCTACTGTGATTTTATTGAAGAGTTCTCAACAAAAGTGACAAAAGAAATGACACTGTATAGTAAAGAAACTAAGGCTTAATTACTGAATCAATTCACTCTTATTATAATTCACTTGTAATCATTTCTAAGAATCATGTTAAATTTATTTTTCAAGACTGCTTATGGAAATGTCAATGAGAAGAGAGATAGCATTGACTTACAGGAGGCCCATCAGCACCGGGAAGTCCAGCAAGCCCTGGCTTTCCTTGTGGTCCCTAATTAACAAGAGGAGAGAATTTGATTTAAAAGACAGGGAATTATAAAAGGCTCTTTTTTTTTTTTTTGGTCTTTCGAGACAGGGTTTCTCTGTGGAGCTTTGCGCCTTTCCTGGAACTCACTTGGTAGTCCAGGCTGGCCTCGAACTCACAGAGATCTGCCTGGCTCTGCCTCCCGAGTGCTGGGATTAAAGGCGTGTGCCACCATCGCCCGGCTATAAAAGGCTCTTAATTGTAGATATCAGTATAGTACTAATAACAAAATGAACTTGGGACAGTGGATTCTATATGTACAGACAAGCAGAAAGTGTTCTAAACACTTGATAATGGAAAACATACTACATGAAAACTGAACTTAGCAGATGCTAAAAGATATGAAACATGTTACATTTAGTCAGCTTAGCTGTTCTAAATTTTTACTTATTAAAGTTGACACAATAGTTTTTATATGATACAATAAGCTGGTGTCAACAGAACAAAAAAGCAAATAGTAAAGTTGAGAAATGTATTCATCCCCAACACTGATTAATAAGTAAAGCTTTGGATACTCCCATTGACAACACTATATTAATAACTACCCAGAGGTGCAGACATAAGCCCTATGAATGCTTTGGTAAATAACAGACCAAATACACAATTGTGGCCCCATAGGATTAAAATAGAGATGAAAAATTCTGATGCTGTCCTCTTAATAGCAGAGAAAACAACTTATTACCAGGGTGTTTATAGTGATGCAAACAAATGCGTTGTGCTGCTGGTTTTACAAGGGCATTACATACATAACTATGTATACTATATGACTTTTGATTATGGTGATGCATGAATATAATAACAATTACTGCAAACCTGCTTATGTCTCTTAATTCTGACAAGAGGCTGCATCAGGTCACTGACCTATGTCAAGTAGATTTGCACATGTGCTGGTTGTGCTGTTCACATCATGATGTAGCTGACTGCCTAATGATGTTTCTTAGACTGTACTATTGTCAATAGACATGGATACAGTTTGGAGTTCTAGTGACGGACGATCAGATTCTTAAACTGTTCTAGTACGTGTAAGTTCCTGTGTCAGTTATTAGGACCTGAAGACATGTATGTCTATGTTGATGTAAGAGATGTATAAATTAATAAGCTTCTAACAAAAACTAAAATGCAACTTCTCAGTGTGTCACTTTAGTCCTTTGTTCACTGAGTCTTTCTAATTTCATGTCATCCCATCATTGCTAAGTTTAAAACACTGTAAAGACAAACACTGCAAGTATACCCTTTCTGGGGAGAAAACTAGGAATTCTAATGGGAATATTAAGTATATCAAGCCCAAGACAGTATTGCTTGCAGTTCATTTCACTAGCAAGGACGTGAAAATAGCTGATAAATGAGAGGAATTTCACCAGCGTGTCTCAGTCTCCAACACAGTTTACAGTATTTCTGTTATTAGAGGGTATTTAGCATAAGTATTGAACCATGTTGACTGGACTTGCAGAGCTTTACAAGGAAGCACCAATTAAATCATGTGGAACAAAAAGCAGGAAAATCACCTTTTGAGGAATGGTTTTTATACCCTAAATTACTTGTATCCTTTTGGAAAGGCTTAAAACTTCAATTCCTTCCACCAATCTGCAATCCTACAACATCCCACAGCTCTTACTGTAAAATATTAAATATTTAATTGAAATATTTTGTCTGTCACAAATTATTGTTTATTTTAAAAAAAAAACAGTCTTTTTTCTTCAAAAACAAACCCAATACACCTGCATAGAATAAGTCCATTCATTATTCTGACCAGCACAGGTGCCAGCAGCTCAGTGAGCAATGCTGCATGAACCCTTGCCACTGAAATATATTTGAGCAAAAACAAGAAATATTAAAACTCTGGCAAAATAAGATGATTTTTTAATGAAATTGAATTCCATCCATCTCCTTTTGAATGGAGGTTTCATGACAACAGAATGTTTTATCTGCATTTTTAACTCCCTGTGCTTTCCCTGGTGAGGTGGGAATAAAGATGAATGAATGTCATATGGTTCATATTTTAATAAAAGTTAAAATTTATGAAGTGCTTCTGTGCAGTATGTTAAGCAATTTATATGCATTATCCACTTTGTCTCAGTGAGTCCTGGGAAATATCAACATCTGTTATTATGTGACAGAGTCCTAGTCTGTATGCATCTAGATACACATTCAAGTCTTCAAAGTCACTGTCTTTAACAGACATTTACTTTGTGTCTTGGTATTTCTCACTGAGCTCATAGAAACACATCATTTGTTTTCTGTAAATCAATTAACATGTGAGTAATATGAACTCTGAACTCACATATTAAATCACAGGAAATGTTCTACTTGTCAAAAATGTCAGAATAAATAACAGAGGTAGTTTATCACTGCAAACCACTAGTAATTTTTATGGAAATAGAATAAAACATAGGCTATAATAACTTTATTTGAAAGTTCTTAGAGATGAAAACATCTAATGTCAATATGATCACATATGAATGTTAAATTACACATGAAATAGTTATTATTCACCAATTTTAAAGTACCAAGTGTTTTAGACAGGATAAGAGAAGATAACAAGTAAATAAAATATTTACTACCTGACATAGACAAAATATTAAGTACATACCATATATTTAATCTTTATATAGCTGTCTTTTTGAGCTTCTTATTTCTGACAGGACAAGATGGTCTTGGAATTTACAGGGTGGACATGCTCAGAACAGAGAAAATACTGGAGTGCAACGTGAGAATGGTCGCAATGAGCCAAACCGTGGATTTTACTTTTGGCTCAGCAACAGGAATTCAAATACACCCAGTTTCCCATTCTCTTAACAATCCAAGGAATACATAATTAAGTTCTGTTGGATATGTAAAGGGAAAATGTTTCAAATGTAATTTATAATGAACGTGGAATGTTTATGAATTGCTAGATAAAAGATAAGAATGATCAAGTTTAAAAGTCACTGATCTAACTAGATACCCAAGAAGGAGGGTGCCGATCAATGATATATTTATTGCTTGCCTACATAAATGGCTTAAAATATTCTTTGCGACATATATCATATTGTATTTTTCACTATCTCCACTATACTGCACCATATATCCATCCACAAGTGGACAGGAAATACTACTTAAGGAATCTATAAAGGAAACCAGGGGAAGTTATCCTTTTAAATGCCATTTATTCTTGCTGTGGTCCAGACCTGAGCTACTAACAATAATAGTATTTGTCATTTACACAAGAGAAATGGGCCAATGGAAAGCTCCAATTTCCCTTTAAGCAGATCGTGAAGCAAGTTGTGTTGAAAGCAAACCTAATTACAGTTGAAAATATCTATATATTTTACAGACAGGAGAGATGCTCAGTGGTAAGAGCAATGGTTGTTCTTCCAGAGGTCCTGAGTTCAATTCCAAGCACCTACTTGGCATCTCACAACCATCTGTAACTCCAGCTCCAGGCCCATTGATGGCCTCCACAGACAGTGCACACATGAAGTGCACAGACATTCATGAAAGAAAAAGATTCATACACATAAAATAGCAAAATTTTAAATATTTTTTATACTTTTTTATTAAAAAAAAACTTGGAAGTAAATCAAAACATCACATACCATAATTAACCAGACATGAAGATTATGTTAACTGCTTTTCTAGTTTTAATTTTATCATGGATGTTTTGTTTTGGGTGATAGATTATGTACATAAAATATATTGGATACTAAAAATGTAAAATTTAATGTAATGTTCCACAGCTTCCATTCTGAATGCCTAATTCTAAAAGTATAGAAAGTCAGAGCTTACAGACTTTGAGTCAAATGACAGTTTTTAAATGAGAAAGTAAAGATGAATCAAAGTAAAGAGAAAACATTCACCATCTCAGCTTCTGAAATCATCATTTTTTGGAAATGTTACAAGAAGGTACAATCTAAATAATAATCCAACACTTTTTTCTCACTTACATCTTAAAGGTGTTTAAATGAATTCTATCCAAATTTTATGTAGTGGTTCAACTTCAGGTTACTTACTATATTACTTTGATAAAGCCATGTACAGAGATATCCAGATGAGCAGGCCTAACACCTTCTGATGGTTGCAGGTACAAACTAGCTTACCAGTGATTATGAAAATAATATATCAACTTACTTTTTCACCAGGAGGGCCAATAGGGCCTTGTGGACCAGGAAGACCCTAGTATAAAAGAATTTTGTTCATGTCAGGAATCATTTCATAAGGACACATCTTCACAATAGATGATAAAATCTAAGGCACAGAACTGATTTACAAACCTCCCCCCCCCTCTCTCTCATACACACATACACACATACACACACACACACACACACACACACACACACACACACACACACACGCACACACACACACACACACACACACACCTTCTTGCACTGCACAGAGAGTTTTGGAGCCCTGTGAGGAGTTTTACACAAGTTCCTTTTTGCAAAGAGCTTGTGATGGGAATCCCTCCAGAACCTTATGCAGATGTGGATTTTCACTATGGTATCCTGTGAAGACTCTATGAGTCCTTTTTGGTTTTTCTTGAACATGTTAAAAGAGGAAATAGTCTCCACATTCACAGTTTAAACATACTCAGTGCTACACAAAACTTTCTGACACTGTGACTTTTATTTCAAAAAGTACCATCTCAACCCATTATCTCCCAGGAAAAACAGTGGATTAGAGTTACCTGAGGTCCTGGATTCCCTTGCTGACCTGGAGGTCCAGGCTCCCCTTGAGGACCCTGTATAGGAAGAAATAAAGTACTTAGTAAGGTTTTTGTATTATATGGGCTTTTTTAATTCTAATTATTGAAAATTGTCCCCAAATCAGTTTTCACTCAAGAAGTCTAGAAAATATATTTAGCAATGTGCAAGAATTGTTTTTTTTTTTAATTTAGCAATAAAATATCTATTGACATGATTTCATAGTTCTTAACTACATACCATGTTTCCTTTTGGTCCTTGGGGGCCATCTATACCTGCCATACCCTTCAATGAAAAACAAAAATGGTTTAAAAATTTAGACATTCAGCATAGGCCCCAGGCTCCAAAAAGTCAGCCCATGTACCAAGGACAGGTCCTGGCTCCACTGCCTGGGGGCCTCCCAAACAGTTCAAGCTGATCAACTGTCTCACTTATCCAGAGGGCCTGATCAACTGTCTCACTTATCCAGAGGGCCTGATCCAGTTCCATGAGGGTTCCTCTGCCATTGGATCACATTTCATGTGTTTCCACTAGTTTGGCTTTGCTCAGCCTTGGTGTAGGGAGGAGGGGACTGGACCTGCCTTGACTGAGTCTGCCAGGCTGGGCTGACTCCCCAGGGGAGACCTTGCCTTGGAGGAGGTAGGAGTGGGGGTTGTATTGGGCAGGGTTGGGCATGGGAGGAGGGAGGATGGGAGAATTCATGGCTGATATGTGAAATTAAGTTAATTATACTGTAAAAATTTTTTAAAAAAATGTAGACATTCAAATGGAAAACATAAAGAATATCCAGTAGCCTGTGGTTATTTATGATTCTTGTAAAAATAAACAGAAATGAGATATAAGATTTAACAAAAATTAAGGAAGGTCTGTTCTCTCCTATCTATGTCTACCCTGAAGATAATATAACATCATTTTCCATTGTGTGGTAGGGATTAAGCATGAAACTGTAAGACCTACTGAAACAGAAGGAAAGAGCAAGTGGGGAGAGAGGGATCAGTTACCCTGATGGGCAGCGTCCATAGAACTTACAGTCTAGAAGGACAGTTAACTAGATTCTGTGATAAGCACTATACAAATGTCCTGTGGGAAATTTGGCAGCAAGTTTTCTTCTACAGAACCCAGACTACTCCCAGGAATACATACAGGCTGCCCAGGAGGTCCTGGAGTTCCCCGTGGTCCCAGCAAGCCTCGTGGACCCTAGAAGCAATAAAAGGAAAACAGAAAGCTTGCATAAGAAATGCCCTCAAAATGGGCCTCTTTCACTGAAATTTTTAATATAAAATATGAATTAAAATATTTATTCATTTTCTATCAGTACACTGCACATAAATGTTCCAAGTACCATCATTTGTAATATGAATATTGAATGTTTATTCAGACAGAAAACACAAAGTAGATGACAGTGGTTAGTACAGACACTTTCTTAGATCCAAAACATTTCCAGATGCATCACTAGTAATGTTTTTTAAAAATACAATAGATTAATGCTCTTACTAAGATACTTTTATGTCATTTTCTAATTTGATTGGCACATTGAATTTTGTTGTTATGCACACAGATTTAATAAACAGAAAGCCCAGAATCTCATTCATTTTCTTTTATATAAATTCCACTCTGGGAGAGCATTCATTTCCAAGCAAACAGCTGAGTATCTCTCTTTGCAGATTATAGAGCCATTTTCTAGATAGAGGGGTTCTAAACTATTAACATTTACATTCACATTATCTCTCTCCTTCTGCTCAATGTTCTTTTCCAGCTCTAGAAAAGTCAGTGTAATAATAACTCTACCTACTCACTTGTGTGGTGGTGATATTTCATGTGTGCTTTAATAAAGTTTGCCTGGAGATCAGAGGAAATAGCAAGCCATTTTAAGTAAACATAGAAGTCAAACAGTGGTAGCACACTCCCTTAATCTGATCACTTGGCAGACAGGGTCTCTGTGTGTTCAAGGTCATACTAGGGAACAGAGCCAAGTGTGGTGACACATGCCTTTAATCCCAGTACCAACCATTTAGACCTGGAGGTCTGTACAGACAGGCAGTGACAAAGAAGTGAGGTATATTGGCTAAAATAGCCAATGAGAGGGCAGAACAGCAAGGTAATAAAGGCGTGGGTAAGACAGGAAGTAGCTCGCATTTGGAAGCTGCAGAGCTGGTGAGGTAAGGTTGTCTAGTGGCTCTCACTATTTCCCTGATCTCTCTAAGGCTTTCACTCCTATATTTGGCTCCGTGTTTTTTTATTTAATAAGATCATTTAGAAATCCGTCTACACATTTCACTATAGTTGATCTGGCCAGCTTTATAATGGCAAAAGCAGGCTGAAGTTAGGGGAGGTTTTCAGGTCTGTTTTGATTTGTTTTTTCCTGTCTGGCTTTGAGTTCATCTCCCCAGCTAAGCTTCCTTATTATCAACATTCATTGGAGAAAAGTCACATAATCTTTATGCCTCATATGTGACATCTCAGCATCTTTCTTCTGACTAGGTTAATTGACACACAAAAAATAAATTCTGAAGTTACTGGTAATATTTGAAGATAAACTTTTTATCTGCAATAAAAACTAAATAATAAGATTTGTGACCCAGAAGTTGTTAATTTCCACATTTCTTTTTCTCAAGTTAGAAAGTTTTTCTTTACAACAAAAGGACAGCTGTATACACGTCACTTTTTAATATGAAAATTACTTGGCTAAATTGTGTAAAAGACAATATTTACTCCTGTTAGCATTGCCCAAATAAGTAATACCAACCACTATTCCTTTAAAAATAAAGAAAGTAATTGCTTACAGCTTCACCTGGAAGACCCCTGGGCCCAATCTCTCCATCTTCTCCCTGTTGTTCACAAAGCAGAGGGGGCACTATTAGAGAGGTGTCATTTCAGAAGGGCTTTGTCATTTGCGTTTTAATTGTAAACAGTTCTAGAAGAAGTAAAATCTTAGTATACCCTCATTCCATCATCTCCAGGAAGGCCGGGAGGACCTTGTGGGCCTCTTTCCCCCTAAGGAGTAAACATAAACAGGATAAATGTGGAAGAAGATGATTGTCTACGAGTATATATCATCGTCAAAACAACCAGGTAAAACAGGACGCTTGCCCAGGAAAAAATTATATTGCCTTTGCCTTTCTTAGAATAGTGTCCAGATAGGTAAAATTTTAAACTCTAACCAGCTTTATAAATTAATATGCACCGGGCGGTGGTGGTGCACGCCTTTAATCCCAGCACTCTGGAGGCAGAGGCAGGTGGAGCTCTGTGAGTTCGAGGCCAGCCTGGGCTACCAAGTGAGTTCCAGGGAAGGCGCAAAGCTACACAGAGAAACCCTGTCTCGAAAAACCAAAAAAAAAAAAAAATAGTAAAATTAATATGCTAGAAAAATGTTTCGTCGAGTTTTAATAAAAGTGATTTAAAGAAAACATGGGTAAAATATTTTCAGTTATTGAAGCGAATCATTGAGAAAACTATTTTGTTTAATGATTGTCTTAAGAATGGGTGCATTTGGTTGTTAAAAATGTTTTGTATTTTGCAATACTTCATATTAAATCAGCACAACTCAGGAAGACGTAAAGGGATTTTCAATTTCTTTCACAAAACACAATTGTACATCTTAGCACTTGTTAGACAAATGTCAGTTCTTTTTTAGGGGACTATAAGATTAAATTTTCTTGTTCATTCTCTAATTTACCTAAATACAGTCCTAGGTTTGTTCTTCATTCTGGTGAAGAAACATACAAATAACCAATCTTATTAAAAAAAAAAAAAAGTGTCCCTAATTTCCCACTTAAAAAAAAAAAAAAGAAAGAAAACCTATTGAGTTGTTACTATTTAGCGTATTGATTTCTTTAACCTTATAATTAAGTAGCTCTTGCTTTGAAGGGTGCATCACAACAATGTGGCCAGGATGCCTACAGGCATCCTCATTTGAGTTATGTCCACAGATAAGATGTAATAATGTGGCAATGCTCAAGGAAGAAAATTCGCTGGGCAGTGGTAGCACAGGCCTTTAGTCCCAACACTTGGGAGGCAGAGCCAGGGGGGTCTCTGTGAGTTCGAGGCCAGCCTGGTCTACAGAGCGAGTTCCAGGAAAGGCGCAAAACTACACAGAGAAACCCTGTCTCGAAAAAATCAAAGAAAAAAAAAACAAGAAAGAAAATTCTCCAGCTGTTCTATAAATGTGATCTTTATTGCATCTGTGAGCAGAGAGATTCTGCTTCTGTTAGTTTGCACATAAGGAATATTCGAATATCTTGCAAATAGTGAAAAAAACATATTGGTACCATGTACAAAGTTGCATCTACATTTCCTCAATATTCATTAGATATAAAAATTTACCAAACGTAGTCATCAATATTTCCGTTATTACTCTCCTGATTTCCAAAAGTATGCTACTACTACCTAAGCTCCTATGATTCCTATTACACCTGGGATGAAAGGTAATAAATGTTTCTTACCCTATGACCTTTTTCACCCGGCAGACCTGGAAGTCCATCAAATCCTCTGTCTCCCTATAAAATTACAATCAGATTATCATCATATTCTCATTCTGGATCAGGACTCTAATTTAATGTCAAGATCACTTCATATCAAGAAATTTTATATTAAAATGTGATACTGTCAAGGATAAAGTGGCATACACGATCTGAATACAGAGTTATAAAGTTCTGACCTTAGACCCAGGTTCTCCTGGCATCCCTCGTCCTCCATCTGCACCTGGACGGCCCTGAAAATGCCCAAAGTATGGTTAAGCAAAGGGAGTCTACTAACACTAAGTACAAAGACTAACCCATGGCTGAAGTTACAAGAAAAAATACCATACCCTCTTTCCAGGTTTTCCTGTTGGACCAGGTGGACCTTGGACACCTCGAGGGCCCTATAGGAAAACATTTGCATCACATTGCAGAAATCTTGATCAGTAAAGTCAAAAGAGATGGTTTTAGAAACAGGTATACTTTGTGTTCTTCTGTAATTATTTCAACACAAGGAAAGTCTTTCAGTGTAAAAATTCTGACAAAGCAGAAGTCAGAAAAGCAATTTTCTTAAGTGGCTTTTCATATTTAAAAAAATCTATGTAACTACATTGCATAATGTTTTATGTGGATATGAATACATTCAAACAAAAGAAATGTAATGATATACTTTTAAACCTTTATGATCAATTACTCATTTAATTCTCAGAAAGATAGATTCTACATAGCAGTCACTGAGCTCCATAAACACCATCATTTTGTTCTTATTCCAATCCTTTCCAAACAGCTTTCTTTTCATTACTTACATGTCCTCTCCTAGATGATTCATTTCTCAATCAACTTATTACACTGGATTTAATCTCCTCTGAGGCACAGTGAAATCTCCTATAACATTATTATCCGTTAAAGTTTTCAACTTTATCTGTTTCAAGTATATCCTTGTACAACTTTGCACAGTGCCTGGTGCATGACTCTTCAAGCATCCCCAAAATCAGGGAGGATCATTTTCTAACTGGAAACATGGACTTGCAAATCAAAGACTAAAAATGTTTGTTCTGGAAATGTAATAATGAGACTGGCTAATAGTTAGAAATCAAAGAGTATAGCTATAAACAAAAACTGTTGGAGAATAGTCTATCATGAATCAAGCCAGAATGGAAGAGAATGAATACCAACACAACTGCGGCTCAGTTTTGTTTTCTTAATTAACTAATTGTATTCTGTGAGTAGGTGCCTGGGCGAATGTATGTGCACCATGCATATGCATAAGTCTATGGACTTCAGATGAGGGCATCAAGTGCTCTAGAAGTGGAGTTACAAGTGGTTGTTAGCAGCCATGTAGGTGCTGGGAACCAAACCTGGGACTTGTGAAAGCGATACTCTTAACTGCTGAGCCATCTATCCAGCTGTGCCATTAAGGCAGTCTTTAATGAAAAAATATGCTTTTTTGATATCAACTAACTCTTTAGACTTAGAGAATCAAGAAGGACTGTATATCCTAAAACACCATCACAGAACACTTTCAGGTTCATCAATTCTGTAAACAGATGAGTACACATATTGCTTCCCAAATTTCGTGAAACAATAAACTTCCAAGATTTTTATGTGGTGTATGTTAATATTTTCCTGAAATTCCCAATGAGTCAGTGTTTTCCATCTTTTTTACAGCAATGTTTTTTGTTTGTTTGGTTGGTTGGTTTTTGTTTTTTGGTTCTGTTTTGTTTTTAGAGACAAGGTTTCTGTGTGTAACCTTGGCTATCCTGGAACTCACTCAGTAGACCAGGCTGTCCTCGAACTCAGAGATGCCGGGTGGTGGTGGTGCATGTCTTTATAGCAATGTTAATTAACCATTCAAAGCAAGGCTAGCACATCTTGAGCTAGTTAAATATTGTTATCAGTTTTCTTTACGTCTTCTCACAAGAAGTTGTAGCTTCTATACAATGGAATATTTATCAACAAGAAAATGAATGTAGTATTGATGCACTCAAGTATCATGAATCTGAAAACATTTTCCTGTATCAAAAGATCCAGTAATAGATGATGATATAAGGTATAATTTTATTTAATATCTTTTTTCTGGAAAATGTACTAAATTCCGTGATAAAGAACAGATCAGTGGTTGCCAGGTATTTGTGTGTTAAACAAGGTTCTAAATGTAAAGCAGCAACATTAAGAAATTGTTTGGTGTCTTTTGGACATGGTAAGAATGTTGCACTTCTGAATTCACAGCCACTGTGTTGTCTGCACATGATCAAGCACTGAATATTCTAGGATGGAATGATTATCACTCTTAATTGAGGACTTTGTGGGAAGGTAGATTCAGTTTTCTTTAAAAGTTCCTAGTATCTCAACCATGTTCCAGGGGATGGCCCCATACCTATAGGTATATGAGAAGCACAAACTAGAGAAAATAGTTTATTCAAAAGAAAAGAGAAAAAAAATGAATAAAAAGAGGACACCAGGTTGGGGAGGACACCAAGGTAAGAGTGGGCATGAGACACATTAGGAAGAAGAGCTGGGAGTAAATACAATTGAAATACCTCATTAGATATTCTTAAAGAAATAACAAAAACATTATAAAAAAGACTTTAAGAGAAAATTGGATTTATAGAGAATTTTATCTTAATTATAGTCACAAAAGTATATAATGAGTATGATTCTATTACTCCATATCATTTTTAAATAAATCTAATTCTAGTTAAGAAAATGGTATTATTTGGAAAGAGTAAAGAGAAGGTAATGAGGGATGAATATAACCAAAATATATAGATGTATAAAGCTGACATAGATAAATATTATTAGGTATGTTAAAAGTATGATTTCAAAAACATGAAGAAAGAAGAAAGAGAAGGAGAGGATAAAGGATTGAGAACAACTATAGCCAGTGTAAATTTGTATTGCTTCAGTTTATCATGCAGTATTTTCATTTTAAAAATGAGTCTATTTTGAAGTTGTTTTTGTTTTCCTGTTTCTACCACAAATATACTGACAATATAACGTCTTTATCTACTTATTAGCTAATACACAAAGGTCTGGCATTAGCTTACATTGAGTGTGCTAAGCAATGTTCTTTAGACAATATACTAAGTTTACTGTCTGTGGAAGCACTGGCTCCGGAAGGAGGAGAGAACAGTGTACCACAGCTGCAATTGCTTCTCTGGCCAATAGCATCATGTAAAAGCCATCTACTTTCAAACCTGCTAGGTCCACAATTTAAATGTTGTTTAATTAGCCAACTAATGGAAACCAACAGTTTATTCAAAATTTTTTTTCAGTTAAAACCATGTTTTGAGCCTAAAGGAAATGTAAATGCATTTACTCTTAACATTTCAGTTGTTCTACTACCTAACTATAGACCATAAAAAAATAAGTGAAGAGAGCAAATTATTGTTTCTTACCTGAGGACCTGGGTCCCCACTCTCACCTTTGGCTCCAGCAGAACCAGGACCCCCCTGAGGAGAAAAGTAAAACAGAAAACCAATTAATTTATGTCACCTAAACTCTTTAATTTAGCGCTTTCACTCAAAATAAAAAAAAAATATCTGCTAAATCAGTTTGACCTTACTAATGTAATGAGCTGTTCTAGTCCTGTGCTAGTGTGCCGTTTTTAGGCATATCAAGTGCATACCAATGTATAAACTGCAAATAAAGCACTATATTCCACTCACAGATGAACAGAAGCTAACTTTTAAATCGCACTGAAATTTTCTTTAAAGTTTTTACCATAACAAACACTGCCTGATAAACAAGATCTGAGTAATCATTGAACTACGAAGTAGGATTATGGCAGTGTGTTTTAGAGTCAGGTGAACACTGAGTTCATTCACACAGTAAGGATTTTGAAAAATTGACTCTTTTATAGACATTTATTTCTCAGGTGCTGCACTTAATAGTAGTAAACTGCTTCAGAAAGATGCTATTGCTATTGTTATAATTATTATGAAATAATGTCAGTGCATTTCCCTCATATTTTTTTGATTTTTTCCCCCACGAAAATGAATCATTATAGCAAATAAAGTTTACAAATGTAATATAATTTAAACAGAACAATGAAGGCCTTGTAGCTTAACTGGAGGGGAAAAATAAATTTCTTTATAAAGGATTTGTGGAATTTAAGAATATATACTAGGTCATCCATACTCTCTAAAAGCTTTAGAATATCAAAAATTAATATGGCTGTAATAGCTTACTTCATGTGTTTACAAGTGTTCTGATTTATTTAAAGCAGTATACATTCTACTAAACTCAGTTACCACAAAATAAAACAATGAGTGAAAATGTGCTAAATCTGAAAGCAGCTTTCTAGAGCCTCCTGCTGGCTTCAAAGTAAAGTAACTCCTGTTCTGCCTCCCAGGAAAGCTGAGACATCAAGTCAAATGTATTTTTAAATTATAAAGATTACTTCCAAGCTTCTAATGAACTCTTGCAACTGATTTCATGTTAAAAATGGGAGATTCTGTATTAAATTACATTATTAATCATTAAACTCAATACAATTATAGAGAGGTCAGTTTATTTTTAATTAATTGTATGTGTTATATCCTCTTTACATGTGCATTACTTGCTCAAAAGATTATAGTTACATTCTCTTACACCTAACCAAAATTATCACATCACTGATGGGAAAGAAATGAACAGGATTATTGTTTCTACTTTCCTTTCTATCTCAAATTTTGTAAAATGTTGCATTTCCCTGATGTGTATATATATTTTTATCATTAACATGCAAATAAAATATATTTCTTTGTTAAGTGACTTACTGTATTTTTATTTCTTGTGTTTTGAAAAGCAGAACAGTAAGAATAAATGATGAACATTTGATAATCTGTTTAATAGTGTATATAATTGAAGGTCTATTGAATATGTAATATGAACATTTCCCACAGGAGTATATATCAAATATATATATAGTATGCAAATTTAAGATTGAGTTAAAGGAATTATAAATTCATGGAAAACAAAACACTTTCATTTTTATTTTAATATATCAATGTATTTATTATTTATTTATAGTCTTTACAGTACAGAGATTAAACACAGGGCCTCATACATGCTGAACAAGCAGCAGTTCCAACCAATATCTCCAGCTCTTGTTAATGCTTTCATTTCTTACATTTTTATTTTACTTTTCTTTAATTTCTATATATGTGTGTCCACATGTGCATATGCAGTCATATGAACAGGTACACCTGGAGGTCATAAGCAGTAACAGATCCCCAACAATAGCAGTAGAGCTATTGGTCCAACCCAACATGCTCTGGGAACAAAACTGAGAAATTCTGGAAGAACAGCAAACACTCTTAACCACTGAACCATCTCCCCAGGCCCCTAAATTCTTTCATTTTGAGACAAGATTTCCCTACATAACAAAAGCTGGTCTTGCCTTGCTTTAGAGCATACAATCTACTTAGCATGGCCTCCTGAATACCTGAGGTTGCAGTCTTGAATCATCAAGATGGATTGTAACAGAGGTATGCATAAAATTTATAAATACAACTAACTGGCATACTAATATCCTAATGTAATTGTAATTAGAAGAATATATATTGAATATGCTATGCTGTCTTTTTTCGTAGGTGAATTTCTGGCCTCTTTATCAAAAATCAGGTGTCCATAGATTTTCAGATTTATTTCTGGGTCTTCAATTCAATTACGTTGATCAATCTGTCTGTTTCAATGGTCATTTTTCCTATGTTAATCCTACCAATCCATGAGCATGAGAGATCTTGCTATCTTTTGATATCTTCTTCTTCAATTTCTTTCTTCAAAGACTTGAAGGTTTTATCAGACACATCTTTTACTTGCTTTGGTTACTTACCTTAAGATATTTTCTATTATTTGAGGTTATTGTTTTCTTTAATTCTTTCTCAGGCCATTTGTCACTTGTGAATAGGAGAGCTACTGATTTGTGTGACTTTAATTTTCATTCCAGCTACTTTATTGAATGTATTTACCTGCTGTAGGAGATTTCTGACGGAGTTTTTAGTAGCACTTGTGTATACTATCTTATCATCTGTGAAAAGATACTTTGATTTCTTTTTTTCCAACTTAGGGAAAGGGAGGAATATTTAAATTTAAAAATTGTCTTAATAAAAATAAAAGAAAAAGAAAAAAATCTGGGAGGAGTTGGGGAAGTGAAACTGTAATCAAAATATATTATATTAAAAGTTATTTTCAATAAAAATAAATGAACTATAAAAAAATGCACAATAATTATCAAAGATTACAAATGCACTTTAGTGAAAACTCTAACATACAATTAAATTTCAAGAATTTAATGCAAAATTGCTTTTTAAATAATTAAATAGAAAGAAAATAAATTATAAATAGTTTGATTAACAGTATGTGACTTTACTATATGTTTAATTCTCTCTAATTTGATGAGAGCTTTCATAAAACCTTCTGATTAGAATTATTAAAAATTAAACTGAAAACTCTTTTAAAAAGAATCAACATCAGTCATGTATAATAGGCTTGCTTGCCCGAGGTATGAATGGAATCTGGAAGATGGTGTGGGAAGCATATTAATAGGAAATTTTTAAAATAGATTTCATGTAACCTACCACAGGACCTGGCCTTCCAGTCAGACCCATGGGGCCGGGTGGGCCTCTTAGAGCAATCTAAAAGACAAAATGCATCAAGTTCAGAAACACTTGCCTAGTACTATATGGTAACACAAAGTCATTTAGGCATGATATCCTATGAAGTACATAACTCACAAAAGTATAAGAATTACATGCTAGGGAAAGTATAGTCAATGGAAAAATGGAAGTAGACAGAACATCCTGTGTAATTATCAGCCATGTTTCAACTGTTACCCAGTTTTACACACTATACTGTAAAATTTAATCATTTAAAATAATTGAAATAGATTTCAGAAAAATAAGAGAATGTCTAATAAATCCCTACTATAAAGCACACTCTAAAAAATTAGAGCATTCTTCATCTTTGTTGTGCAGGCATAATCTTTGTTGAAGCTATTTATTGAGGTAAACAATTAGTGGTATTTTAAGTTAAATTGTTCTAGTATTGTTTTAGGAAAAGTCAAGATGATTAAAGTGAGGCACTAAAACACAGAACTGGACAGAAAGTTTTATGGCAATAAATATTTTTAATGAATCTTGAACTTAGTACTAAGTAATGCATTTATTTGTTATTTACAGACATAATAGACTGATGGGATGCATTATTTTTAGCCTAAATAACAGAAATGTTAATTTAGGATACTTGAGAAGCTGGAACACAGAGCACAGAGAAAAATACTTGATAGATGTTAAATTAGTTTGATGTACTATTTTGGATATTTTTTTTTATTGTATTTGTTTAATGTTAATTGAATGCATCAGGGCCTTTATGTTACATCTATATCACATAATTCTGATTCATGAATTTATAATGAGTGAAATATGAATGTGCATTTCAAAAATAACCTTGTGATGGAAAATATGAAAAATCATAAAATAATAGTGCATGAAACAAAATCAATAACATTTCCAAAGTTCCACCACTAATTCACCATGAAGATTTGGACAATATATTTTTTAATTCTTGAGATTAAATCTGAAAAATTGGAATTAAAAATATTGCTGCCTGCTTTTTAAACAAGAAGACTAATTATATAAACTGACTATAAAGGCATCATTATACCATAGTGATGGTATTGGTGATCATAAGTGAATCTGTCAACCCTCATTGGAGGAGCTTCCTTTTGCAGTAGAAGGTGATTAACACAGAGACCCACAACTTGACAGTGTGCAGAGAATGAGAGATTGAAGGGTGTTCGGCTGTAAATAAGAGCTTTACAGCACACCTCCTCTCACTCAGGGACCAAGGCAGAAAGGTTGTAAGAGACAGAAAAAGTGGATGGATACAATGAGGCAGTGATTTCTGGACACAACCGAACATGAACAGAGAGCTAAAACGGCAGTGTGCTAAAACCCTGCACAAAATCAAGGCAGACAAATTCAAAGCATGGAGTAGGGAGGAGCTCAGGATGTCCACTGTCAGCTTTATTAAAGGATGTGGCCCACCATAGTGGCCCAGGCTCAGGAGGCGGGCTTATACGCATGTACATACTGTCAACACTAAATGAACTCAATGGATTTACAAAAACAAAAACAAAAACACATGAAGAGAAGACAGTGGTGGTGGAGCTAGTGGAGGAATTGGAATGGAGGTAACTGGGGGGTGACTTGATCAAAACACATCATGTGCTTTAGTGAAATTATTAATCAGTAAAAAAATAAAGAGGACTACTAATCACAGTCGGCAGCATCTAAGTATTTTAACTTCAAATAATTGTCTGAAGTTTTCAAAAGAATGGGATTTATAAGGAAATATAGAAATAATTAGTTATTATAGATAATTTTAGAGGTATAGTATGTCTTTACCTAATTAACACATATTCTCATCATTCAACATCACACAATCAAATAATAATCTTTTCAGATGAATAATAGTCTTAAGGATATAAATATTGAAAATGAGTCAATACTTTCACATACATATTCAGTATTTTACACATACATAAATTATGATGGTGAATAAAAAGTTACCTTAGAGATGATACAGATAAGTTATCATATCCATAACAATTCTAAATCCTACCCATACTTTCTTCCTTCATAACTAGGAGAATAAGAACAAAGGCATTGTATGACTTCTGATTCCTTCCTTATTAATTGTCTGATTTTTTTGTTGTTGTTGTTTTGAGACAGGTTGTAGCTTTGCATCTTTCCTGGAACTCAGTCTGTAGCCCAGGCTGGCCTCAAACTCACAGAAATCTGCCTGCCTCTGCCTCCCCAGTGCTGGGACTAAAGTTGTGCACCACCACCACCTGGCAATCCTCTGAATTTTATATGTACAACCTAACTGCTATAAAGCTAACTGAAAATAAAAAAAAAAAAGAATTATACTTCTTTCATACTGTGTTCTTATAGTTAGTGCCATAATCATCAGATCACACCTTAGCAGAGAAAAATCAGCATATGAAAGAGAAGGAATACTAAATATTTATCTCTCAATATTCTGTTAAAAACAGGGTTTTTGTATGTCATGGGATATTGTCAGGATTACAAGGTCATTTATTTAATATTAAATTAGTATGTATCAGTACTGGAAAGATTAATATACTTTTAGATCTTTGCATTTAAATTCCATGTGACATTTAGAAACACTTTTCCATGGACCTACACATCGTGATTTGATACAGAATCAAGTCATGTGAGCACGTGGTCATCTTTCCTCACCCGAGCCTGCTGAAGAATCGCCTGAGCCTGAGCTTCCTGTGCAGAGATGGTTGGTCCTTTGGAGCCATCGCCCCCATAGCGGAACTAGGAAGAGATAATGTGAGCACATAATTGGCTTTTGACAAACTTATGGAATTAGGTCCTTTAACCGTTAGATTAAAAGGTAATTAAAAGATTAATATTTACAAACGTCCAAAGTCACTTCATAATCACACACACACACACACACACACACACACACACACACACACACACGTGTGTGTGACAGTAAAACTCTTCCTCTACCTCATACATGGCTCTGTACAATACATTCTGTCATTTTCAAAGCAACTATAAATCACTTTCCAATTTCAAATTTTATCTTCACTTATATTCTTTTTAAAATGTCATTTCTTATTTAATCTACAGAAATGCTACCCACTCTAGCAGTTCATAAGAATTTCAAGTATATTAGATTCAGTAAAATATACAGATACAGTTATGTTCTGGTGACCAAAACCTTCAGAATCTCTAAGAAGACAAAGGAAATATAAACATCACTCTTATATACCCAAAACAGCAGCTTGCTACTACTATTACTCCATAAAATTCTTAAGCTCTGCCTTAATTTTTAACTTGAAATGTTGTTTGAGTCAGTTTTCCACTGCACATAGTTATTTTTTAATTTTATTATACGAAACCTAATAAAAATATTTTCCATAGCTGTGTGACAAATAATTTTATGAGAGACTCAAAATTAAGATAGGTAATTTTTGAGTAAGGATGACACTAAAGACCTAGCTTCTTCAAGAAGCTTCAGTGGTAGTCAACATTGGGGAAAACTGTATACTAACGTATTAAATAACCTATCATTAATCCATAATCCAGGATTGCCCTCATGATTAGAAAGAATATGTAAATTTCACTGAACAGAGAATAATCAGAGATTAAAACTGGTTTAGTATAGAGATAGATATCTATTTGTCAGATTCTGTTCACTAAAATGCCCCTATTTTCAAGGGCTCTTCATTTCCTGAATTCCCACATTTCAGGAATATTTCTACTCAATGATTCAATTACAGCTTTTGGTTTTTTTTAGTTACATAATGAGACGATATCAAGTTGTCTTAATAAAACACTTTCTAAAACATACTGGTAACATCAACATGGTTCCAGGAGGACCAGGTAGACCATCAGCGCCTGGTAAGCCAGGACGTCCTGGGGGGCCCTAGGAAAGGAAATAAGCAAAAGCAGTTAGTGCAGTACATAATGGCAGAGAATCTGAAATTGCTGAGAATGCACCTGCCCATTCGGAATTGGTTAATCTCCTTTATGTAAATACACACAGGCAGCATTGGATTCCATTGTACTAGTTGCAAAGAACTCAAATGATGAATGGTTACTAATGCACAATCAAAATACAATGAAAATTATGTTCAAAGTTGATTTACAGCTTAAAATTGCCTATGAAGCCTTCCTATATATTCTCAGGGGTATCATTGTGAAGAAAAAGTGAAAAATTAGGTTTCTACAGTTGAAAATAGAATTAATTAGACAAAATTTGGTTAAGTATTACTTAATAGATACTAAGGCAATAGCTATTTAATATGTAAACAGATATTTTAGGTATATCTTCTAGCTATATTAAGTTATGTATTATCTTCAAAATAGATACTTTAATTAGTATAACCACTAAGGTTAACATGATAAAATTAACATTAATTTTTTCCTTACTAATATGTCTTAAAATTGTGTTTAAGAATATACTAAAAAAGGAATATATTCAATGTGTATATGCAGTCATGCACATATATGTAGAAAGCTGTGTATGTTTACAACATAGATATACATGATTATAGAGTATCAGATACACACACACACACACACACACACACATATATATATATATATATATATATATATATATATATATATATATAAATTTTTGTGTATGTAGATGATACATATTTGGGAAGTATGTAAGTGTCAGTTTTCAGTAAAAGGAAACTTACTTTTATACAGTCAAATCATATTTAGTAAAAGAAGGATCAAACTCTAAAAACCAATAACTACATACAAAGGATGCAATTCAAACTCTCAATTAAAGTGATTTGAAAAATAAATAACAATATTGAGGACTGTGGGAGATACATCACTGGGTAAAGTGCTTGCCAAGGAAACATCAGGATTTGAGTTCAAATATCTAGGTCCCACACAAATGCCTGGCTAGCATGTCAGTTACTGGCCTGTAATTCCAGAACGCTGGAGGAGGCAGAGACAGAATCCCTAGGTCAAGCTGGCTAGAGAAACTAGTTCAAAATATAAGATGGAGAGAGACTGAGAAATATACCTGACACCAACATTTGCCTGTCCTACTCATTCACTGCTACACATGTGCATGCAGCAGGCACATACACCGTACAAGCACACACGCATGTGACTACAGATACATAAATGCACACATTGCTCACATACACATTCAATAAAAATAAACAATCATTTTCATCAAACTAAATATCTGAAATTATGCAGATGAGATTTTTAAAAATGAATATCTACAGGAATAGCAAGAATGAATGTCTTGAATTTAAGTTGGAAAAACCGAGTCTACTCTAACTGTTCCTGTGCATTTGGGACTTGACAACAAAAGGGGCCTACTTATCATGTTGCAGATAAACTCTTTATAAATTCTAAATAAATTTTTATCCCCATTTATACATGTCTGAAAAGTTATGCAGAATGCTGCACAACTGTGAATTTGTAGGATTCTCATCATCTCCCCCAACAGAAGAAAGGTAGCATGTTAAGTGGAAGAATAAACTAAATTAAGTCCACGTGCTGCACGGTCGCAATGTGACAACCCTTCTTCACTTACCCGATCACCAGGGTCACCGGGGGGCCCAGAAGGGCCTTGTTGACCTGGAGGACCCATCAGACCCTGCAGAGCAACAAACCAGGATTAGAAGCAACTTCCTGCCTCATTAGTATTCAAGTAAAGGCATTCCCCTAAAAATCAAAGGGTGCTTCACTTCTATTTTATAAATATACCCTTGACTCCCAAACAACTGCCCTATTTAGCTTCCTGTGAAAACACAACATATAGGAAATGGTTCTGCATCCAGCACAACTACTCCTCTATGAGGCTGAGCTCAGGGTGGAGGCAGATGCCAAGGGAAACAGGAAGGGAGCATGCCGATGAAAGTTGCTGTTGTGGAGGCTGGTCCCCAGCTCCTCCTGAAGAAATGGCTATTCATAAGATTAGACCTCAAAAATGTGGCTGTGAAGTGGGACAAGCAAGCATTTAGCTGGTCAGCATTTTAACATTTTGTCTTGGCCGTCACTTAAAAGCATCCATGTCATATATTCATACGACATTAATTTCATATCTTATACAGGCACATACACATGTACACAAATATAATGCATAAAGAAAGGAAAAAATTCAAAATTTATTTTCAGCCCTGTGAGTAGTATCATTTTTACAGACAAATGAAAAATAGGTCAAGTCTACCAAATCCTAAACTTGACAGTTTTCCTCTATAAATCAAATCAATTTAAAATATAAACAATACAGCTGTGTGCCAGTAATCCTATATTCAATAATTTTAAAAATCAAGATCACAAATCATTTACATACCGCTGGTCCTGCTGGCCCAGGTGGTCCTTCAACAAGCATTCCCTATAACAAAAAAAAGCCATGCAACCTTTAGCCTTTCCACTGACTATAAGAGCATACTACATATTATGGTTTTTAAAGTAAATACTAAATTCATATTATATAAACCCCTTAAAATATGTTTGTGTGGGAAAACGAAATCATATAAAATGACAGAAGACATAAATCTTGCCATTAGAGAACCTATGAGCAAATTGAAAGTGAGGTAAAGAGAGAAATAACGTTAGGAAGGAGAAAGAATATGTTAGAGAAAGAATCTGCCAAGTGCTTCTGTAGAGAGTGCAGCAAAGATGTCTGACCAACCTCTTCCCAAGCACTTAGACAATTTCTAACAAAACAAATAAAAAAATTAAAACAAAACCAAAAACAGAAGCTCCATAAATATTTGCTATGTTCATGAATAAATGAAAGGAAATGATACCTAAATACTTTAATTCCAGAAAACTATACTTCTCTGTATCTTAAGTGAACAGTTAAACATACAACTTCCATTTCTTATGCATTGCTTTTCTCAAGTTGCTGGTTAACGAAAACTATGATTTTTAAAATTGTTTCTAGAAAATATGTATCCCTTAACAATACCTTGAGAGTTCAGATAATTAATACACATAGAAAGAGCAATACGTTGGGGTGATATACACATAACTCCACATAATCGTACATGTAAACAATGATTTTTTTGGGGGGAACATTCTGGTCCTGAAACTTTAAACAAAAACAACATACGGGCCGGGCGGTGGTGGCGCACGCCTTTAATCCCAGCACTCGGGAGGCAGAGCCAGGCGGATCTCTGTGAGTTCGAGGCCAGCCTGGGCTACCAAGTGAGTCCCAGGAAAGGCGCAAAGCTACACAGAGAAACCCTGTCTCGAAAAAAACAAAAAAACAAAAAACAAAAAAAAAAAAAAAAAAAAAAAAAAAACCAACATACGTACTGACACATTCAACATTGTCCTCCTTAACACTCTTGTCCACCTCCCTCGCCACAAATTTCTCTCTCAAGTCCACATCTATCCTGTGTATTTTATTATTGCATAGTATACTTGGATGAGATACAAAAAATATCTATGTCAGATACAAAAAATATCTATGTCAGATAGTACATTTCTAATAAAGTAATTATATAAATTATACAGTAAAATCATAGACTGAAGTTGAAAGATCTAAAGTCATTATCTTTCCACCACCAAACATTTTTAACTAGAGAAAAATATATGTAAACTCAGATTTGTAAAATAAGAGAATTGGACCAGAACAATGTCAGCCACTTCAAATTCCAAAACTCTATAAATGCATGTTATTTTTTATTTTACTGAAAATTTGCTTTCCAGAAAAGTCATTGCCCACTCACCTATTTGTGTTAAATTAGAACATATTTTCATTGAAAATGCATGAACATACATGATGAGTCAAGGTGAGGGTAGTTCATGAATTAGACAACTGTAGTAAGCTTTAAAACATATTGAACGCACTTACAGGTTCAACCACAGCTGGTTCCCCCTTCTGCCCTTTCTCTCCATATGCACCATGGCCATTTATCTGTTAAGTGGAAAATTAAAAATGGTCAAAATACCTTTGAATAGATGAAGCGTTTTTCAATTTTTTAACAAAAGAATCATTTAACCATCTAGATACATTTGAAGCAAACTTGTAAAATGTGACCATTTTACAAAAGAAACATTAAGAATGTCAATACCAACAAATACACACGAACACTGTTCAAGTGAGAACAAACCATCACTTCTTTAAATTGTCACAGAAAGTTAAATGCATTTGTAGCCTCAAAAGTGCTCTAACACATAAGAACTGTCACCAAATCAAATGCAGAAAATAGTCCAAACCAGAAAATTAGAGCTAATAGTCCGAAAAACAAGAGAATTATATATTTATCAATGATGAGAAATTTAGGGTACAAGTCAATGTACAATACTTTAAAATGAAGACTACAGTGACAGTCCAGGACACAGTCGCTGCCAACTCCCACTAGAAGAATTTATCACGGCTGTCTAGGCATGGTCAGTACTCACAACGAACATAAGAACTCAACTTCGTTTTAAACCTGAAAACACATGAGAATGAACACAGAAACATCCCCGAGACACACGCAGGGCACAGAGCCTCATGCTGACTTACGCTTGTTTCTGTGAAATCAGTTTCTGCTGGAACACCTGGGCCAAATTCTTCATTAGGGGACGTTGTAGTCCGTTCTTCATATTCCTTGTATTCATAAAAATCATATTCGCCTAAATCTCCATCTACCAGCAGATCAGAGTCCCTGCCGTCTATTCCTTTGTTTCCATATAGAATATCCTCAGAAATGTTTCTCTGGACATCATAATCCTCTCCAGTTAGATATTCTTCAGTAAAACCTTCTTCAACTGGATTTGGCTATTCATTTAATTTGCAGGGAATTGGAGAACATGAAGTTTACTGTTAGCAAAGCAAGGCAAGCATCTGTAACTACAGTTTAATGGCATGTGATGGGAAGAGAGCTTACTACTCAAGCAAGACCAGAGCCAGAAAGAGGCTGTTCAGTACCACTGAAAGCAATATACTTGTACATACACTGCTATGTACAAAGAAATATTGCTTTCAAAGCACCTTTCCCCATCAACTGCAAATATTCACATGGAGTCAACATATGCTTTTACTGTCGCTTAAGAAAACTTGTTCCTCATTGAGGCATTACTTTATAGCGTAAGATCGGAACAAATAAATTAAGCATATAGTTGAATATTTGCTTAGTTTTCACATATTATTAGATAATATAGTAAAACATAATTGTTACAAAAACAAATCTTGTAATTAGATATTCAATCAGTTAAATGTTAGCACCAATATCTGAAAATTATTCTTTGCATTAACTATTCAGTGTTGTGTACATAAGGAAGTGTCGTTATCATGCCTTATGATTGTAATCAAGTTAAAATTAAAGAATGCACATTTAAAAATTTGTTCTCAAAGGCAAACTGAATACAGATAGTAGAGAAATATGGACTAAATAAGTATCACTATAGAAAATTATGTGAATGAAAACACATGTTGTCATTACTATAACATTACTGTATTTGATATAAAAAGTTCAAAATCATAAAATATTACTCTTAAATATGGAACACATACTTCTGCAAAGAAGTTTCATCTCACCTACGCTGCAATTATGTTCTTAGCACTGAAGTAAAAGACCAGAATGAAATTATATAAGAAAGTCAACATCTTGAGCTGTTGTAACATCTCATAAGACATAAAGTTAAAATCTATTCATACCCTGAATATGAAATTTAAGAGGACGTAATCAAACCTACCTACATGGAACACTTTCATGGAAAACAATCAAATGTTTAAACTATATTACTTTAATCATAACTGAATGTAATATCGTAAAATTTTTAAAATGTAAATAGCATTAAAATCTAAGACCACATTTGCTAAAATGCTTGCTGTCATCAGAATGGATGATGATTGCTACCATGCAATAAAATGCTAATTGTATCAGTTGTTGATACAATTCTCACATCAGAGGATTCTTCTCCTGGAAGGATCATGCCATGAATACTCTTTATAAAATGTTACAAAAGCTTGCTCAGCTGTAGGAGCAATAAAGAAAATGATAGCAGCCATTTAAGTTTGACGATTATGGAATTTGCATGAAGCAAAGTGTCATGCAAATTCTGATGTGACATCAACTGTAAATGCAAAGTGTCTTGTAATTATAAACTAATGACTCTGTTTCTCTAAGAATGACAACTCAAGGGTCTCAGTGACTGGGATGTTTCTCCAAGGAAATTCGTCAAAATACATTATGTATTTTGAAAGCCACACTACGATTATTGCTGCCTAAGTGGATTACCTCATTCGATCCTGATAAGCGCCTAGGAGACTGTGTCTGGTAAGTTTCCATTGTTCCATAGTTGTAGTCTTGAAAATCATCCACAATATTTGCCTGATGATAAATTCAGAAGAAAGAGGGTTAGGAAACTTGTAAAGTAACCTCAAGTAGGTGAAAATCATGATTTAACTGAGTTAGAGTGTTAGCCAAATTGGAATTGGTCTAATTGGGTTAAGACTAAGACTCATCAGAGATCTTCCATCTCATCTAGGACAGATCTTGATTGCTTTTTCTGGCTACCTGGACCCCTAGTTTGGCTTTGGCTGTTGCTTGGTAACGTTTCTTCTTCTTGGATGCGTGTTTTTCAGATTTGGGGGATGTGAACTTTTTAGAGTTTTTCTTTGAGTTAGTGGCCAATGTCCTCTTCTTCTTTGTGTGATTGGATTTCTTTTTCTGTAAAATGTCATGAAAGATGGAATGGAAAACATGTAGTGAGAAAGAAAACAAGGAGCACGGACAAAAGGGAGGACGAACAAACATAAAAATGGTCGGCAATCCTCAAGGCAGCCTCTGTCAAATAAAAGCCATTATTAATTCGCAGAAGTGAATGACAGGTGTGAGGTGAGTCTGAGGGATGACAAAGAGTGAGACACCACATACAACAGACAGTGGGTTTTACCTCTGTTTGGGCTACTGTTTCTTCAGTGACAGTGGGTGTCTCTGTTATACTCTCAATTTCTTTATAGTCTGTTTCCCCATAATCATAGTCATACTCGATTATATCCTCAGGTGCATACTACGTCACAAAGGAAGAAATATTGGGCAATTTGGTTAGTTGCAAGTAATATTATTAACAGAGTGGAGATCATCTGCTTAACCTTTACTCAAAGTAAATGTTAAGAGAGATCTGGCATTAAACACAAATATTATTCTATTGTATATAGAATCTAATAACATCAGTGTTATCGAGCAAGCTTTCTAAGAACAGAAAAAGTAGTTAGGGCTGTGAAACAAATAAAAGTTTTGAATAAGGATTCAAACTTTTATTAAATATTAATTCACAGGTAGGATTTATGGTTTGGGACATGGTTGTTAAGTATCCACTTTAATTTTGATTTGTAAAAATCTGCTGTGAAACGTCTCCCTATAAAAATAGTCATTTTTCTGGGGCTGCGGCTAAGTGGACAAGCACTCAACAGGCACTCGCTTCTATCACAAGCATGCTGAAAAATAAGATAAAAAGGACAGCCTTTTCAATAAATAATATGATGAAAAATAAAGACATGAAGAACAGTCTCATGAAAATATGAGAGGATATTCACATCTATCATGGGAAAATGGAAAAAATGCATGAAATATATAGAACTATAATTGGAAAATATAGACTTAAAATGTATTCCCAATTCTCTCATTTTCTCAAAACCAGTGATTCTCAAATTTGCTAAGGCTTAGACCTTTAATACAGTTCCTCATGTTGTGGTGACCCCCAAACATAAAATTATTTCGTTGATAATTCATAACTGTAATTTTGGTAGTTATGAATCATAATGTAAATATCAGTGTTTTCCAATGATCTTAGGCAACCCCTCTGAAAGAATCATTTGACCCCTAAAGCGGTATAACCTGCACGTTGAGAACTACTGTTCTAAACTAAAATCTAAATGAACACAAGAACTACTGAAGTATTACTTTCAAAATTAGGTATATCTTAATTAATAAATCATTTCCATCATTGTTACTGTTTTTCTTCTGAGTTTAGTGACTAATGCTTACAATATTAAATTACAATCTTAAAATATTTGAACTGAATACACAATGTTATAACTTAGATATTTCTGCATTAAAAAGTTAATTAGGGACCAAGTATATTTTTGAGGTCAACCACAACCTATCTATGGAATAATGAGGATAGTGTGTTCCCTTACAAAGCTATCTTCATGAAGATTTTAATTTTTGTTTTTAATTAAGATAACTACACTAAGACTATATAGTGTAAAAAAATTAAGAACTAAACTCAGTATCTAAATCCCCAAATATATACCTACAAAAGTACAGGACAACATCTATGTAATTCCCCAGATACTGTAATTGTTAAAATTATACTAGTTCCCTTTCTAGCATCTCTTGGCTTCTCAGTGAATCCTTTTTAATCTGCCAGGAGAGTAACTAATGACTGTAAACCTTTTGGAAAATTGTGGTCATAGTACCCTCTACTAAGTTCCAGTAGATAAAGTAATATAAATGAATGCAGTTTCAGAGACAGACTATGAGGCATGTCTAAACTGATCCTGTAGCAACTGTGCACACCTGGCATTTAGGGACTTTCCCTCAGCCTTTGTGAATGTTTGTAGATGATGTAGCCAAAGGCAATAGTAAAATATAAACACAAAAATATCTTTAGTGCTTTATGAGTGTCAAAATATCAATTTGATAAAAATTAATACAGATTATTTAGAATTTGGTACAATACAAAGCTGCATATAGACAACAGATTAAAATATTTTTTGCAACTTTATAAGTTAAATAAAATATCTACAACTGCTAGGAATTTTCTGTCTCTGTCTCTCCATCTATATATATATGTATTGAAAGTCTATGTATATATAGAAAGTATATATGAATACATATATGCATGGAAAGTCTCTCTCTATAGTCTATATATAAAGCATATAGAGAGAATATACTTATATAGAAAGTATATATATCTAAATAAATATATATATTGAAGTCTATATATATCAAAAGTATATATATACTTTAAATACATAAATATATACTTTATATATAGATTTTCCATGTATATATGTATATATATACTTCCTATGTATACATAGATTTTCCATATATATATATATATATATATATATGAGAGAGAGAGAGAGACTCCTCTTGACAAATCTGGCCTCAAACATGCTGTGCACCCAAATAACCTTGAACTCTTGATATTCCTGCCTCCACCATGCAAGTGCTAGGTTAGGCATGGAACCACTAAGTCAGAATTTAATGTAAGCATTAAGTAAGAACAATGTACCAAAGGGTAATGCTTCTGTAGCTACCAGCACTCGTGTGGGAATAAGAAATATTGAGTGTCTATAACTACTCATAGCTGGCTTGAAATAAAATATGAAAAACAAGAAATATTTGCAGGTTATTTTACTGTTTACAGTTTTAAATGCAATCAAATTATACATTATAAACTACTAAAAGAAATATTTAAAAAAAAAAACATTGGAAATCCAGTTTTAAATGTGAACAATAAAAGAACATTTTGGCTAAATTCTGGGATTTGAAGATGCATTTGTAAATGTATGTCAGTGTTTATCAAAGTAATAAATTTTATGTCACATTTCTTCTGGTAGAAGAAATGTCTTCCAATCTTCATAATTCTCTCTACTCCTGGATCTTTCTGCAGATTAAGAACTGCCAGTATGCTCACAGGTGAAGTGAAGGAATTGGTAAGTGTACTTCCTCAGGCAGTGGGCCACATCTTTCTCAGTGGATTACTCGAGAGTGAATCAAAAGGACTGTTCCTTATAATCTCATTATTTCACTCTCTGCCTAGTCACTGCTAAAAAAAAACAATTATACCTATATGATTCTTTGTCTACATGAAGCTGTATGGCATACTTTGGAGAATACTTTTCACTTCTCACTAAAGAATTTTGAAATACCCTGAAAATGACTGTAGAGAAGTACCAATTGTAATCAATGAAATGAAACCCTGAAATCCTGAGAGGGGAAAATAAAATAGATTTTACATGCAGAATGGGGATGGGAAAGTGGGTATAGAAGCAAGGGGGTCAGTTGTGTAGAGAGACATGCTGTGGGATGTTCTGTATGTCAAATCTGTTGCTCTGATTGGCCAATAAATAAAACACTGATTGGCCAGTGGCCAGGCAGGAAGTATAGGCGAGACTAACAGAGAGAAAAATAGAGAGAACAGGAAGGCGGAAGGACACTGCCAGCCACCGACATAACAAGCAGCATGTGAAGATGCCAGTAAGCCACAAGCCACGTGGCAAGGTATAGATTTATGAAAATGGATTAATTTAAGCTATAAGAACAGTTAGCAAGAAGCCTGCCACAGCCATACAGTTTGTAAGCAATATAAGTCTCTGTGTTTACTTGGGTGGGTCTGATCGGCTGTGGGACTGGCAGGGGGACAGAGATTTGTCCTTACTGTGGGCCAGGCAGGAAAACTCTAGCTACAGAGACAGAATGGAGGAAGAGAGTGAGGGGAGGGATGGATGGAATTGGGGGACATTTGAGTGCTGGCTTGGAAACCTAGTGCAGTGGAAGCCTCCTAGAATGTATGAAGGTGATCCTAATAAGGACTCCTAGTAGTGGGGAATACAGAGTCTCAGCTGGCCATCTCTTGTATCCAGGTGAGGCTTCCAGTTGCAGGACTGTCAGCATTCAATTGAGTTGTCGACCATGGGGGTCCCACGGTAATCCCCAAACAACCCAGGCTACTGCAAAGACAATAGCTGAAAATGAACAGTGAGGCTCCCAAAGTAGCTGAGGACAACACCCATACAATTCATTGAACATGAAGTGGTCAAGCTGGTGCCTGCATTAGAGCCTTCACCCTTATGTTCTGGTCTCCTTGATACTGGAGGGTATTCTCCAGGCTACACCAAGGAGAAGTATGGATACCAACTCAGCCACAAAACTTTTGACCTACAATCTGTCCTGCCTATAGAATATGCTAGGGCAATAGTGGAACAGAACAAGTGGAAGGGGCCAGTCAGTGTCTGGTTTGATCCAGTCCATGGGAGGAAGCTCACATCAGGGACTGCTCTGGGGACCAAGAAGCAGAGACTAAGCAGTCCAGGGACTGAGGATAAAACCAACAACTATTGGTCTCAAAAATAAAAACAAACAAATAGTATCAGTAAAATGACTCCCAATGACATTCTGCTATCCCCATAGATCAGTGCCTTATTCAGTCATCATTAGAGAGATGGGAACAGATACAGAGACCCACAGCCAGACATTATGTAGAAAGAGACTCTAAATGGGAGGTTAAAATTAGGTCCCTCCCCTTGGAGCTTTGGTAATCCTCATAAGAGGAGGTTGGAGGGATTATGGGAGACAGAAGGGATGAAGGACATTAACACTGGGATAACAAGGCCCTCTGAGTCAACTAAGCAAGATCCATTTGAGCTCACGAGACTCAGGCAGCAAGCACACGGCCTACACAGGACAGCACCAGGTCCTTGGGGTATATACTCTGTGTGTGATTTTTAGCTGGATGTTTGTGAGACTCTTGGCTGTGAGAACAACTGGGTCCCTGACTCTTATGTCTGCTCTTGGGACTCTTTTCCTCTTGATGGGTTGCTGTGTTTAACTTCAATACGAAAGTTTTGCTTCATCTTGTTGTATTTTATTTTCTCATGTTTGGTTGTTATCTCTTAGAGACCTACTCCTTTCTAATGAGAGATGGAAGGGGAGTGGATCCAAAGAGGAGGGGAAGTGGGAAGGAACTGGAAGGAGCAGAGGGCTGGGAAACTATCACAGGGATGTACTGTATGAGACGAAAATCTATGTTCAATAAAAGAAAGCAAATGACAGGCAAAAAAACAATATGATGTGGCAGATAAATTAAACTTTACTCCATGAATACTCCAGGAGAAATTTAGAACTGGGTTGAAGATAAGTTTTCTGAAATTTTTCTTTCCTCACATTATTGTTTAGAAGAGAAAAAAAATAGGGCAACCATAAAAACCTGTGCCTTGATGAGAACTGTCATTGATAACGGATACTAACAAAAAGATGGTGGGAGACATCCATGTTAGGAAGCCACGTTTCTCTAATATTCATTCATAAAAATCATCTTTTGCTCTGCTTCACCTTCCATTTTAGTCATTAAAGGAAAGAATGAAAATTGCTTCTTCTTTACAGGTGAGTATGATACATTAAGGAAGAATCATACAAGCCCAGTGGTGGTGGCACACGCTTTTAATCCCAGCACTTGGGAGGCAGAGGCAGTCAGATCTCTGTGAGTTCGAAGCTAGCCTGGTCTACAGAGAAAGTTACAGGACAGCCAGGACTGTTCCACAGAGAAATCTTGTCTCGAAAAACCAAATTAAAAAAAAAAATACAGAACTCAGAACTTTAATATCTAATTTCTTTAAGTCAAGAGGATAATTTAACACAGTAAGAATATCCCAAAGAGACATATTCTCAATACCATTTATGGTGTTAAATCCACTGCTGAATGAAGGTGTTAGCCCTGAATGGAAATCTGTCTACAGAGTACATCTCTCCTCATTCCATGATGAGGATGTAACTGTGGCAAATACACACACAACTGAATTTAGAATGGATTAGATGTGTTACTTAAAGAAAAGAGAAGACTTAGAAAAAAATAAATATTTGAGTTAGCTTACCTATGTAAATTCACAAAGTAATTAATAGAATATTAAGCAATGTTCTGACCCAAGTTCCACATTACACTTTATGTTTAGACTTGAGAAGATAATATTGCTTTGATATTTTTTAGGCAGACTACCTGAAAATTAACTAGGAAAATACACATTCAGTATATAATGACATTTAATGGCTACCATTTAAAATTATAATAAAAACTGCTTACATTTTTTAGGACTAATATAGAACATTTATTACATTCAATGGTATAGTTTGGATCCAATAGTATCAATGTAGCTAATTAGGGGGAGTAAGAGTAATTCCTCCTGAAAAAAATTAAAGTAAAAGTTTTCATTGTGACACATTAGTGTAGAAGCTAGTAACAATTGTCAATCACTACTCCACAGAACACCCGCTTCTCTTCTTCCATTAAGCAGGGTCACTTATTTGCTATAAGAAACAGATTTTATTTTACTTATAAAAGTGGCAAAGACCAAATAAACATCATTAGTTTTGAACACAGAACTAGTGACACACTTTTGACCTACAAGCTATAAAAACCTAAAACTAACCTAGTGGTTTTCCTCCATGGAAACCACCAAAAATAAATTTAGCAAGTCATAAAGAAATAAAAGAATAAGGCACTTGAAAATAGTAAAACAAAATATTCAAGCAATTTTTCTTAGCTCTTTCATATCGGCCTTGTCACTGGCTTCTTAAGACTTTACCCTGCTTTTAAAAAAAAATGATACTAATGTTAACTTGTGGAAAAGACTGGGACAACAGAATTCACTGGGATACATTACAAACTACAGTAATATCAAATTTTTGCAACTTTGAATTATAAAAATCAACAAGTTTTGTATCAGTTATAATAATAAAACAAATATAATGTCCATTTATTCTGAGTAGTTAAAATTCAAGAGGTTGCATCTAATAGTGTAGTTTTTTTTTAAAATAAGATACACACTACTTGAGTTATTTTTAAAATAGAATTGTGTTCTCAAAATTCAAATCCCCTTTTATAATTTGAATCTCTCAATTTTAAGAAAATAAATGTGAAAAGATAGTTTTCTCAGAAAATAGCACACTAATTGATATCCAGTACCAATATACAGCCCTGAAAACATATTCACACAAGTAACACTATAAGGAGTAATCAGGCTGTGTATATATTTGAAAGAGAGTGAGAGGAGTACATGGGAGAGCTTGTGAGGAGGAAAGAGAGGAAAGGTAGAAAATATAATTATATAAGCTCAAAAATATTTTTATATCATATTAAAACAAAAACAATACTTTCAAAACAAATTAAATCACAAACTATTTCCTGTTTCATTTCTCTACTTTCCTATGATAAAAGAAATATTTTTGAAAATCAAAATATAAGTAAGCGTTTAATTATATAATAGGGACTGAAGTCTTCAAAACCAATATCGATCTTTATTTTTTTCCTCTTCAGTATGAAATGTCAAAAGTTGGGAAATGGCTACTACATCATAAAACATACTCTCCTCATAGTAAAGTGGTTTTAACTGATTAAAGCAAATGCCTGAAATAAAGCTTTAAGTAATCAACCCAGAGAAAGAAAAAATACCAAATTACTTTTGAGTAAATTCTTCTTCAAAATATTCAAAGACTTAATTAAAAGTATAGTTACTGAGTAAGTATGCTTTAAATGCAGGTCACAGCCACATCTCTGGACCTGAGGGCCTTACCTCATCTATCTGCGGCTCCTGAGCTTGGGCAGCCTTGGATGTTGAGTCACAGTCTGGACTATAATGGTCACAATAGTCATATGCTGCCTTGGGGTCACCAGTGATCAAGAACTGCTGAATATCGCCCTGCAAAGAATCAGACATGGAGACAGTCAGCATAGGCAAATACACAGGCCTTCCACATGTTTGTAAGGTCAGAGTAGCCTACATTTGAATGTAGGAAGAAGAGAAATTACTTAAATGCATATCATTATAAAGATGAGTCTTATAAGACTGAGAGAAAAATTCATTATCAATTACACTGTTTTGCCTTATTTTCTGCTATAGAAAATCTGCTGTGTATTAATCTATCTATTAATATTCAGCTTTACAGAATTCACAATTGAATATGCAGAGTAAAAGACAAAGAAATACATGCCAAAGGAAATGTACTTCCATGGCTAAAATGTTGAATAGTTTACACTGAGATGTTATTGTTAGACAAATCTGGACGGGAATTTCTCAGTAGAATAATGTTCAGAAAATGAAAATGCTCACCCACAAAAACGAACAAGTACTACAGCAGAAAAAATATACATAAAAAAGCATGGATTTGGTACATTGCTAATGAGAGAAAAGAATATTTTGGAAAACATTTAAAATATAAAAATCTATATATATTTATAGAAAAACAAATTTTAGAGATAATAACAAGATTTTTCTAAAATGTTTTCATTCCAGTAATTTTAGACACAAAATAATAGAGATAAACACATTTAATTCATCAAGAAACTGCTGTGATATGAATTGCCACATCATTACTATAGCAATCTTAGAAATATAACTATGGCCAGAAGCTGTTCACGCTGACAAAACCCTGTAAGATTGAATTCTTCTTGAGAACATAATCTGCTGTACAACCTGGTTCAACTTTGAATAATTTCAAAATTAATCCATCTTTATTGAAATTTTATTAACTATAGTTACTTAAGATTGGATGAAATCATGAATACTAAATATAAAAGTCTTGAAAATAGAGAACCAGGAAAGAATTTATAGCATAATCATCAATATAGGCTTATTGAGAAAGTATTACATAAAAAATATTGAACACAGTATTGTAGACTGTGAAGGGTTCAATTTGATTGTCAATATGACTAGATCTATAATCACCTAGGGGGAAAACCTCTAGGAACATCTTCCAGGAAGTCTGTATTGGATTAATTAAGTTGGGAAGAGTCACCATATATGTGGGTAGCATCTTCTAGGTCATAGAGCCCTGGGCTGAATAAAAAGGAGAATTCACGCTGAGCATCAGCATTAATGGGTCTCTTCTTTCTGTATATGAACACAATAGACCAATTGCCTCAAGCTCCTGCTGCTGTGCATTCCCAACAGTGAATGATTGTATCATCATGCTGTGAGCTGAGATAAATTTTTCTTCTCTTAAGTCCCTCCCACCAAGTACTTGGCCATAATATTGAGGGATATAACTAGCACAGACAACAAAACATAATCGTGATGTCATCACTGCTCAATGTACAAACTTTCCTTACTCTGATGTCGAGTCAATACTGCGATTTCTGCATCTCACAGTATTTCTATTGTTATCTCATTTTAAACCTGCCATCACAATTTCCAAAATGATTGTGCTGATTTATGTTCTCACCAACAGTAACTAAACGTGCTCCACATCCCCCAGCATTTGTTGTTTTCTGTCTTTTGATATTAAAATTTCATTTCCATTATTATTTATTATTTACTTATTTATTTACTAATGTATTGTGTGCACAAGAATACAAGCATGTAGGCAGACTCTTGAAAACCTTCCAGGATGTGGGTCCTGGAGATTTAACTCTCAGGTCACAAAACTTGGCAGCGAGCACCTTTACCCACTGAACCACTCAAGGATCTAATAACAGCAACTTGTGTCTAGTGATTATTAGGGTTTCTAAAATATACTTACTTGATTATATGTTCTATTAAGATATATGTCTCAATATTTCACACACTTTATAAATTATCACCATTTTAAAAAAAACTGTGTATAACATGTATAATGTATGTATATGCATACACATATGTGTATACATACATTACACATATATACACACACATATATATACATATATGATATGTAAAGGAGTAGCAGGGGTGAATATAACCAAATATGTTATATGAAATTCTCTAAAATTTAATAAAAATATATAATTTTAAAAATATGTCCTTGAAAATGGTCTAATACACAGCATCGAAATTGCTGATTTAATGTCTTTGTTCTGAAAGGTTAAGAGAAATTTCTACTATTGTTTTTACAAATATTTACACATATATAAATATATGTGTGTGTGTGCATTGCTATTTCTTTTTCTATTTCATAACTTTCTATAGACTGCTTGTAGTTTAAAATTGAACCTCTTAGATGAGAACTGTGTCAGGGCCTATTGGTTTTTGTGTAGTAGTTGCTGGGGTTACTGTTTGCTCAGGATTGTTTTCTTTATTTTGGACATGGAAATATCTATTCCATTGTATAGTGACGAACAAAGATTTGCCATTTGCCGTGTTAACTGGTTAGAACCTTCAAAAATCTCAGAAAGCTCTTTATATATTAGAGCACATCTACTAATGTAAGTCTCTCTGCTTGCTGCATAGGCTCAGGGTCAGCAATACCTAAGCTATGAGGACAGTTTTTAGGTCTCTACTGGATTTACACAGTTCTTCTCTATACCCAGAGGGAAGCTGAACTCTGAATCTGTTACATTTATTCAAGTAACTTCAAGTAATTTCATTTTGTTATTAATTCACTAGTTTGTCACCTTAAAAAGTCCTTTGAACTTGCGTAGGTATGTATGTATGTACATATATGTTCAGATAGCACAGAAATAAGGAGAAGAAAAGTAATTTAATTTCCACTAAACATGAAATACAGCAAGTGCAGTGAATCCAGGTAAAAATACTATGGACTTCTATTGGTGACAGTATTATTATTGTTTCCAATATTTACTTGCCTATATCATAGAGCAATATAGGAAGTTGATGAAATAAACATTTTTCTGAGTGTTTTTTTCAATATTTTGTGTATATATAGGTGAGTTATGTCATTGGTTACTGATTTTTGACAGGCTGAAAATAAATGCATGCAAGTACCTAAAATATACTGACAGCACTTCACAAACCAAAACTCATCAATCAAGCCACAGTAGACACATCTGGACTGCCAGAGACGACTCACTCCAAAAAAGGAGAACACTGAGTGCACAGTTCTTCATTCTGGTGCCCCATAAAACCATCCCTGGGCAATCCTGGGCACAACCACTACATCCAGGAGTAATTTCACCACTAGTTTTAATTAGAACCTAAAATTCTAAATTTTCTTCTCCAGTTACCTGGATTGTGAGTTCCTTTAACTGAACTGAAATGGACAAATTGAGAATTCCTACCTAACATCCATTCCAGGGTGACAAATTATGAAGTTCCATATTTAATTGCTGAAACACACAAAATGTAGTGTCTCATATATGAATTCGATTTTTTAAATAGATTTTGAGAGGAATATTGTGTTTCCAACCACTTGCTTTTCTATTTATGGGACTTTACTTCTTTAATGGAGTGTTGCTAATATTTCCACTATAAATCCCTATTTCAGTATTTAATGGTTAGCCATAAAATATAGTATTGGAAATTTCTGTATAATTTCAATAGTACTATTTTCCCAGAAAGTATTTCACAGTGTTTTGTATTAATCATATGTTGTGTTATGAGACAGTCTATAAATAAACCTGAGTGTCATAACAGGTGTAATGAGCTGTAAATATTATTTTTGATGCTATAACATTTTCCAGAGCAAGAAAGGGCTGAAATTATGAAGTAAAACTGGCATCTGTAATATTCCAACATTAGAGGCATGAAAATGACATCTTGGTTCTCTAATGCTCTAGAAGCCAAGGTTGAGGTAGAGAGCATAGAATTACCTCGTGATCTACAGCTGCATGAACTAGCTCTATACAATATAGTATTTTCATATAGACTGTGGGGACTTACTGCAAAAGAGCAAAATGATTGCAAGAAAACCAAATCAAAGCTTTGTGAACAAATGAATAGCACTTTGTACTGTCGAAAAATCTCACCAAAACTTCATCACACTGCCAATTATATCCGTAATTATTTAAGCATCTTCCAGACCAAAAATGAATGCATACATTAACACTCTTATGACTTTGTTTTGAACTCTCTGTCTCTCTCTCTCTAATGTTTGCAAGTAATAAGAGTCTGGCTTCAAGTCCAACTGGCCCCTCTCTGTGAGACCAATCAGTGTTTGGTTGACTTCAAGTCTGCCTGACCACTGGCTGTGCCATACAGCAGTAAACCTCAGAGAATAAACAATGAAAGTCTAGGCTCAGATAAATTGTCATAATTAATACATGATCTAGTTGAATGATATGACCTGTAGATAGATTGTTTGCGTGAAATATAACCACAAGAATGGCAACAGACATTCGTATATATAACTGGGTAGCTTCATGGGATGCTGGGCTGATTCTCCATTACAACTGAGATATGACAGTCTTTTGAATGTCAAGCAATTAGTATCTATACTTTCTGTAGGCTTTTGGTTTGGTCTACATCTTAGATCTCAGTTCTAATATTAAAACTTGGATATTCCTTATGTTCTAAAGGTTCTCTTTCCATTTGTTATATCTTAAAGGGAAGAAGGAAAACAGACATTGATGATGCATCTCGATTTTCAGAAATTCTATAACTAAATAGTATATATCCTTTTTAATTTTTTTTTATAATTTAATTTAATTTTACATATCAGCCATGGATTCCCTTGTTCTCTCCCTCCTGCCCCCCCCCCCCCCGCCTTCCCCCCAGTCCAGCCCCCATTCTAATCTCCTCCAGGGCAAAGACTCCCCTGGGGATTGAGTTCAACCTGGTAGATTCAGTCCAGGCAGGTCCAGTCCCCTCCTCCCAGGCTGAGCCAAGTGTCCCTGTATAAGCCCCAGGTTCCAAACAGCCAGCTCATGCACTGAGGACAGGTCCTGGTCCCACTGCCTGGATGCCTCCCAAACAGTTCAAGCTAATCAACTGTCTCACTTATCCAGAGGGCCTGATCCAGTTGGGGGCTCCTCAGTTATTGGTTCATA